CCTGACTGCTCATTAGGTGGCCAAAGTATTTGAGTTTCATCTTCAGGATCTGGCCTTCTAAAGAGCAGTCAGGGTTGATCTCCTCTAACATCTTATTTGTCTCTTGAGAAACCTATATGCGGGTCAAGAAGCAACAGTGAGAACTGGGCATGGAACCACTGATTGGTTCAAAATTGAGAAAGGAGTTTGGCGAGGCTGTATTCTGTCGCCCTGCCTATTTAACTTCTATGCAGAGCACATCATGAGAAAGGTGGGCCTAGGTGAATCACCAGTTGGAATTAAAAGTGCTGGGAGAAATATCAACAACCTCAGATATGCAGATGATACCACTCTAATGGCAGAAAGTGAAGAGGAACTAAAGAGCCTCTTGACGCAGGTGAAGGAGGAGAGCACAAAAGTTGGCTTGAAACTCAACTTTAAGAAAACTAAGATCATGGCATCCGGTCCTCTCACTTCCTGGCAAATAGATGGGGAAGAAATGGAGGTAGTGACAGATTTTATTTTCCTGGGCTACAAGATCACCACAGACTGGGACTGCAGCCAAGAAATTAAAAGATGCTTGCTTCTGGGGAGGAAAGCGATGGCAAATCTAGACAGCATACTAAAAAGCAGAGACATCACACTGCCAACAAAAGTGCGTATAGTCAAGGCTATGGTTTTCCCAGTTGCAATGTATGGCTGTGAAAGTTGGACTATAAGGAAGGCTGAGCTCTGAAGAATTGAGACCTTTGAATTGTGGTGCTGGAGGAAACTCCTGCAAGTCCCTTGGACAGCAAGGCGATCAAACCGGTCATAAAGTGTAAGGACTTGCAATATGTTGAACAGCAAATGAGAGAATTTCTGTAATAACTCAGCTACCTGCCCTTCTTCTTTTTGACTTTAAAAGCTTGAATACTATCAAAATATTACTATGCCAACTCTTAAATATTAGCACTGGAATGTTAGCATAATGCTAACTCCTTCTTCTCTGCATTAACCATCGTTTGAAATCATATCAATTACTTTTAAATGTGTTATGAAACTTAATGGTTCAACATTTCAAATTGTGATTTATAATCTCAAGATATATAGGAAGGAATTACATTAACTCTGCAAATGTTTATGAATACAATCCTCTACTGAAGTAAGCCGTGATGTTCAGTGGGGCTTACTCTCAGGTAACAGACATAGGACTGCAGCTTTCCCTTATTGGATAGGTAGTGTTTCCTGCACCTGTAACCCAATTGCTGCATGAAATCCTTCAAAATCTCATTAATACTGGAAGACCAACTGCTGGTCTTCATCGATCTTTTCTTTTAGAACAAACTTGTCTGTAATGCAAATCATTAGTTATTATTTCTCAACCTTAAGTTTTCTATATTAAGTTTATCATAACATTGGTAATAAAATGGAGACTCAAAGGCATTTATTTTCTGTACTTTTTTTTTCTTTTGGCAGAGTGGGTGGAATTCTCTCCTTATGAAGTGGGATTCCTGAAATATGGAGCTTCCATTCATGTAGAAGATTTTGATAGTGAATTCTTCATGGGAAAGTTGGTGAAGAGGCTTCCAGAATCTCGGATTTGTTTCTTGGAAGGTGAACTTTTGATCTGTTTAATCATGAGCTAAACTGAAAAAACATGAAAGTCCATATTAGTCTAAATTTGGAAAGCCACAGTCTGCTTTGGACAAGTTTAGGTCTTCGGCACAAATTTATAAGTGCAGCAAGATCTCTCACTCACTCCAACATGTTATATTGCACTATCAGCATGCACAGAGTCAACAAATGAAGTGTTTGTCTTTCCAACGCCTGAATTCAGACAATTAAGCCAGCCTGAAGTTTACAAAATAATTTTCAAGCTTTTCAATCAGCTAGAACGCCTCTTCAGCTAACTGGTAAACAAAGAAGGAAAAAGAGGAGGAGGAGGAGGAGGAGGAGGAGGAAGCTCTCTGACATGAAACCAAGGAGTTTTCAATATCGACCTTTTTTCTACCTTTCTATCTCCATCCCCCCCCTTTAAACTTCAGAATCTAGAAGAGTTCTAGAGATGTTGAACAGTATCCTATGGCTTTTGGATCAATTTAAGAAAGAAATTGCTCCAGAGTGGTTATTGGAATTGTAGTATGCATGAGTGTATATAAGATTCAAACTTGGTTCCTCATGATACCACACACTGGCATCTGGATCAGTTTACTTATGGTCTTACATTATTCCCTAGATAGAATTGTTTAAAATTTTGATTAGTATTAGCCAACAGTGGAAATGGATCTCTCCCACAATAAAATATCAATAATATTCATAAAACAATTAAGATACTGTAATAAATAGACAAAATAAAACACAATATATATAATCAACAAAAAGTTAAACTGTTTTTTCTGAACCCAAGTTCCTTTCATGATTTTTCTTTCTCTCTTTCCAATCATGGTAGCTTGATGCTGCACCACAGAATTTCCTACAGATGCTTATTTTGTCAGATGATTCTAGCCAGTGCTTAAAAGAATGTCCCGTCTGCAATCAGTTTGTTGAGATACAGTGTTGTTTAAGTTTCCCATGTGGTTGGACTTACAGGGATCTGGACTAACATTTACTCTCAAAATCTGCTGGATTGTTTGTCTTGGTCCTCAACACCAGAAGAATTTTGGAAACACTGGGTCGAAGATGTTGCAGATAAAGGTGAGACCTTAGTTACTGACTATAGTATTATTTCATGCTTTAAAAGAGGGGAGTGCTGATTGTTTAGACTGCCTCTTTGGTGGTCTAAACAATCAGGGCTCCAAAATCAGTTATCATGTCTTTGTGGTTACCCATGGAATCTAGGTACCTGTGATTTACTTGGTGTTATGACAACACATCACTGGAGATGAATGCAGTGGCAATTTCTGGTGCTTCAATATCAATATTTGTGATTTTATATTCACAAATATACATATTTCCTTTCTCTGGTGGGGGGATTAATAATCACTGCATTGGCCCAAAAGGCCTTGGTTCTACTTGGTGGGTTTCACATTTTCAGGATGTGTTCTGGCTGACTGAAACCTTATGGAACAGGGTACATTAAAATGGCGGCAACAACCATCTTAACCAGCCCTGAACGGTTACAAATTAGAGAGCCATATACATGTTTTCAGAAATTAACTTCCTCCATATTTTGTTTCAGGCGAAGAAAGAGCCTTGGATGATAGATATACAACTGTTTATAAGCCTCCAAGCTTTGGGTCTGGAAAGCTCTGTGAAATCTTTAATGACATTTTAACAGATCGTCCTTTAAAAGGAAAAACCCACAACTTCCTGCAAAGCCTTGACTTTGATAAAGACTATTTGCAACAAAAAGAATTTATTGAATGGAGAGGTAACTAATAGTCACATTCCCTGAAAAGAACTAGGTCTTTGAAATTTAATCAGTTTAAGTGAATTTCCAGTTGGTTTTCCAGTTACGGGAGTTCAAAGACAGTGAGATAATTCAGATGACAGAAGAGAACAATGCGAAGAGTTGAGCTGGTGTCAGATAAGTTATTTCAGGACCCTAATTTCTGGGCTGCTTTCAAGCAGAGGACTTAATGCTAACAATCCAAAGGCATCCTGCACCTATTCCATCTTTTCCTCCTTAATGGATTTTTCTGAATTAAGAAAAAAGACTGAGGAAGTGTTGGGAAAGCACAGAGATGTGGGTGGTTGGGGAGCAATACAAATGGAAGGTGCTATCTAGATCCCCTGTTAAATTAGGTGAATGAGGCTTTCATTGTGTACTTGCACTGTCTCATCTAGAAGCACTTGTGGAGAAAGGATTGTATTTGTTTGTTGATTTATGATAATTACATAATGCCTCATGACAAACTGTTATTGGCGACTCACACAATATAATGGGTTAAAATCAGGTTAAAAATAATAATGATAAATAGAGTAAAAGGTATTGGATAGTTTAAATCAGTAATAAAAATTTAAAATTCTTGGCACTTAAAGATAGCACTGTGAATACTAGGGAACGGCCTTGGGGAGGGCGTTCCATAAAAAGACTTTACAAAGGAGAACTCTCAGAATAGGAAAAGGGCATCAAGATGGGTTGCCTCTGAAGATTTTTACTGGAACACACTAGACTTTTCATGCCTCTTCTGGATCCAATTATATGGTCCCAGCTTGAGACTTGCCTCTTTTCTTCAAGACTGCTCATTATTGAAACTCACTCACTGTAGGAGTTAGTATCTCACACATAATAAAAAAGTAATACTCCGTTACACATTTGGAATCAATCAACAGGTTAATTCCAATGCCTCAATTTAAGATTAATGTGCCCTCCAGGACCTCTGCATTAAGCTGAGCAATAAAGCACACCGCAGGCTTAACACTTTGTACTTCAAGAACAAAATAGCACAAGAAGAGACCTGATAGATCAGACCAAAGAGGCACCGAGTCGAGTCTTCTTTTACCACAGGGGCTATTAAGCAGATCCACAAGCAGGATGTGGCTGCGACTGCTCTGAAGAGGCACACTGTCTCCAATAAGTGGAACGAATAAATGGTCTATGACTAAGTAGCCTTTAATAGCCTTGTTCTCCATGCTTTTGCTCCATCCCCCTTTAAAGCCATCCGTTTGGTGGCCATCACTACTTTATTCTGATCCACTTGATCAAGTATTTGTAGTGCAGGCAAAGTGAGGTGCAAGCTAGTCCTAGGCTTTTCTGTGTGGCGTGGAAGTGACCTTGGTCTGCCCAAGAGCTCTGAGTCAAACATGAAGCCTGTCCATCAATGGCTTCTTCATAGGACCCTTGGACATATGGTAGCCCTGTGGAAGAACGTGTACAGTCCAGCTTCTGATAGTTGAGTGCATCTTCCATCATGCGCTGGATTCAGCTTTTGGCATACCTCACTCATAAAGAAAAGTCCAGACTGCCGTGTCAACCAGTTCTGGTCCGTAAAGGTGACTTTCCACATTTCTGGAATGAATCAACATTGCAGCTGTGTTGCTGTCAGCCACCCAGGTCATTGTGGGAACAGACTCTGTGGCTGACCTCATGCCAGCTATTGATGAAATGGCAAGCACAGACCAGTCTCTAAACTTTACTGTGTTGGCTTCTGACTACTGTAACCAGGAATCAGCTGTGGATTATGTTTTGCAATTGTCTGTTAGTAAACATGTCGGATGTTAAGTTTTGCAAAAATTTTCAGGTTATAGTTTAGGTACTTCTAAACTAATATGAAGCAAATTGCTTTTGTGCAGCACTAAATGAAGTTTCTTCAGTAGGAAGTAAGCAGATTATTTTGAAGAGGAGCTAAAATAAGGCAGCATGTGCTATTATTAGTGACAGATTTTAACTACCTACAGTCATTTTCACACACAAGAAAGAAATGTTGATAAGAAAGGCTGAAAATTGCTTTCCAGATACTATGTTGGATACCTCTCCTAACAAGCTGACTCCAATGGATCAGTCCCTCTGTTTAATGGATATAGGCTATTTTATTAACAACAGTGGCCCACCACTTTTTAAGCCAGAAAGGGATGTAGATGTTATCATTTTACTGGATTATGAAATGAGCACAACCTTCCAGGTGAGAAGAAACTGTTTCTCTCTTGCTTTCCATCTGTTGTGTGTTTGTGATCGGGTGATATTCTAGTGACCTTCTCGTTTTTCTAATTTTATGTTGGGTTCATTTAGAACTTCAAGATTTTTTCTTGCCCAATATTGGGCAAACATACATACAAAAATGTATGTATGAGGAGAAATGTGTACAAAATATTGAGGAATTTTCATGCAAACATTAGAATAAATTAACACATTTTTCCTGCTATACATACTTGGGCATAGATGTTTTATTAGAAAACTCCATTCCAAAATTTGTAGACGCAAACAGTTAGAAGAATAACAGAGTCTCTGTTTGCATACTGGCTCAAAGGCATGAAATGCAAACTGAACAAATTTCTTCCTTATCCATTGTTCTGTGGTTTTGTAGACAACAGGCCAATCCCTCGTCCAGTTCTTGACATTTATCAAAAAGAACCTGGCCTCTTGGTCACAAGAAAGGCCTCTTCTTGTGTCCCTGGAGATAGAGTAGACAATATTGTACAAATAATTTGACGTGATACCTTTTTCAGAGCAACCATTGTCATGGGGATTCTGGTTTGTTGATTCTCGTGGTTCTCAGATTCTGGTTCTCACACACAAAAGTAAAATTCCATGCAAACATTGGGCAAATCAGAGACATTTTTAATTTAGTTTCTTTAATTCATTATATTTATATCCCACCTTTTTTCCTCTCAAGGAACTCAAGATGGCTTACACAATTTTTCTTCTCCTCCGCATCTTATTCTCATAACAGCCCTGTGAAGGTAGATAGGTTGGGGTAAGAGTCTATGACAGACCCAAAGTCACTCAGTGAACTCAATGGCTGAATGGGGACTAGAACCAGATCGCCTGAGTCCCAGACTCACACTCTTAACCACACCATCACACTGGCTCTCCAGGCAGATAATAACACCCCTTTTGAATAATCCATAGCAGTTGGCCTGCACGTGCAGCCACTCCCCTGGCCTTTCCTCTTGTGAGCTGAGCTGCTTTCTTTGAACAATCACCAGCCACAGACCATTCTCCTTGCAACTTTCTTTATTGCTTCCAAGTACCAATCATCCAGAACAGATCTTTGAGCATGCACAGGGTGATTTGGTAAACCCAAATCTAGTGTTTACCTCCAGGAACTCTCCTTATGAGCATGCCTAGGTCCCATCCACTTGGGAGGGACTCTCTGAAGACAAGCACATCACCTCTCAGGGTGCCGCTCATTCAGTTGGGCCTCCCATCTCTCTTGACACCTCACCACGGGGTCAACAGCAGGGACCTGTCCTGTGTTTGAGAATTCCTCCTCCTTGGGACTGGTCCCTCCAGCTGTACATCTTAGCCTTTCCCAGGAACTGCCTGGCTTGGTGAAGTGCCTGGCCTTGAGATAATCTCCTCCTCTTCCTGCATCTGAGAATCTTCCCATAGCCTATCCTCTGCAATCTCACTGAAATAGTCTTCATTTTCTGATCAGTATCTGGAATGCAGCCAGCAGTCCGTGGGAATGATTGCTCAAGACTGCCATTCCTCTTATGCCCAACATTTCCAGCTTAGCGAGGGCGACACTTCATGCTCACCGCCACACGGCTATAAATCAAACCAGTTGAATCTGATCAATAGAACGGTGGTTGTTCAGAAAAGAGTTATGATTTACGGATAACTCAGAATTTTGTTCTTCCTCGCCATTAACATGTTTCACTCTGGATTAGGCCAGTGTATTGTGGTGCCCTTTCCCCAAATATTAGGGCTAGAAGTGTTGTGTGCATGCATGCATGTCTGTGTGGTGTAGAAACTAAGGATGTTGTTTTTAATGGGGAAACAGCAGGGAGAAAAAGGAGTGAAACAACCATTTCCCTGAGTGCTGCTGTTCTGAGTCAATTAACTCTTCAACCCAGCTACTTAAAAAAAAAAGAGGGACATAATTTTGACTCTCCCATAACACACGTATTTGAGTTTTCCTTCCCCTTATTAATATTCTTAAAATTATAATTCACATCTACAAAAATTGCTGTCAAATCAGAAAATGCAACTGCAATATGTGAATTGGATGTGAGTATATACTTTTGTATTCACACTATACCTTCCAGTGGCTAGTAACAGGTTAATGTGCTGCATATTACTGCTGATTCAGTTCTAGTAAGCAAAACATGTGTCTTATGGATTGGTTTGTGTCTTCTCCAGCCAGCAGAAAGGTTGGCCAAATACTGTGAAGTGCAAGGTATCCCCTTTCCAAAAGTTAACCCAAGTGAGGAAGACCAAAAGAATCTCCAGGAGTGCTATGTGTTCTCAGATGAAAACAATCCCAAAGCACCAATAGTGCTTTATTTCCCACTGGTGAATTCCTCCTTCAGGGAGTTCAAGGCACCAGGTAAGTTCAGTGTTCTTAAGTTTATAGACTTCAAAAAAGTATTCTCTATCTTGAGCATCCCCAGAATTGTCTCAGTTTTGTGCTTTATCCATACAAACTTGCTGAAATTCTTCCTAAGAAACATTTCCCAGGGAATAAAAAGGAAATGTGAACATTGCATTCAAAGCATGACAATTCTTCCTGCTATTGTCTTTCAGAAAGAGCAGGCACAAGAGATCCTAGTACAGAAATTTGCATGGAGATCTTTTGCCCTCCTGCAAATTGTGGATGCAGAGACCCCGGTCTAGATCAGGACTGAGTAGGGCAAAGAGATAACCCTTTCTAGTGCTGAATTCAGATTGCAGCCCCCTTCTGCTGACTGTTTTTGAAAGAAAAGTTCTATCACATCTAGCTTGACCTAAGTAATATTACTTCTCTGTTATGGTAGGCTTGTGTCATATATCACATAGTCAGTATGGAAACAGAATAAATCATATGCACGCAAAGGAATTATGGGGAAAGTGTAATCTTATGCAATATCACACACTGAATTGCTTCTTTTCCTATTTGGTGATCTGGTCTAGTTCCGCATACTTCCTTTTAGCAGACACCCACAGGAAGAGAAGGGTTCTGCTCAGATGCCCACCTCTACTTTGCTTTCTCTCCAACTGACACAAGCCTTGCATGCATGCACAAATCTACAAACATGGCTCAGGGAGACCTCAGTCCAACTCAGAGGCCTCCTTGCATCCCATGCATGGAATGAGGTGTGGTGTTTGTGGTCTCCCATGCTGCCCTGCCTTGCATCAAGCATTTTATCTAGAGGACCAATTCTGGCCAGTTAGATAAAATGATGGGGGAGGAGAGAGGAGGCTGGGGGGGGGGGGCTTTGCTTTCTTACTTCCCAGTTTCATCCTTGGGTAGGTGGGAACCGGTGTAGTTCTTCTGGCACCAGGTACAAGGTGGGGCGCTGGGAGGCTTCACCTTTGGAGTCCTAGTTTTGATATCGCAGGATCTCAAAGCTGGGACTCCAGATATTCTTTCAGCCTTCTAGACACTTTCTGGAGGCTATGGTATTGTGCCCTGAAACAACCCACCAAAGATCAAAGACCACTCAGAAGTCTGAACACTTCCTGTATCGTGACAGTGTCCACTCTTGATTATTTCATAATATCAGACTGATGCAGTTGCTTTTTAAAGAAGACCCTGAAAAATGAGTAGTGGAAGTAAAGCATTTAAATACTGGATATAAACAGGCATGTTGTCATTGCTCATTTATCGGTGCTGTGGGTGTTTTAAATAATAAGCTCAGGTTGCCTGGAACATGATGTGCTAGACCCAGTTTCTGTATCTAAACACTTCTAAGGTGTGCAGTGGTGTTGCTGTTTAGCTGGGTGGGGCAGTAGTCTCTCCTACCTCATTTCATGCTAGTGTGATTGTTTTATAGATCCATGCTTTTTTCTGATTTACACATTGGTTTTACAGTTTAATGTTGCCATGCCATGTCATCCACATCTCCCTTCCCTTATGTCTTTTCTAAGTGTATGCATGAAGATGGGTTAGATAAAATCTACAAGATTCTGGCTGTGTCTTTCTGCTGTCTCTAAATCACTAAATAGTACACTAAGCAAAAATTATTCTGTTTGAAAGTACCCATAAATATGAATTATATTGCCTGAATATATTGACTCCATAATGTAAATGTGGTGGAGTGAAAAAGACACATCTGTAAATAATGGGCCCCACATAAGATTCCACTTTTCCTCACAATAAAAGGTTGATGAGAATTTGTGGAAAGAATGCATGAGCCCAGATTCTCAGTGCTGTGCCTCAGCCCTAAACTGTTAACTTGAGGCAAGCGTGAACCCCGGACAGTAAGACACATGTCTGAGCCACAAACTGCAGCTGTAAAAGTATACAGTCAGGAAGCCCAACTAGGCCTTCATGCCATGGGAGATAGACTAAATTAAAAAAGAGAAGGGCAGGGGGAAATTGAAGATTATCTGAAAAGACTGCCTCAAATGTAAACAGGGATTGTACTTACCTTGGTGGGATTCTATAAACATCATTCCAGATTTATTTGGTTGGAGAAGCCTCACATAAACCACACAATATGTACATTTTAAGCTTTAGTGCAGAACACTGTTAATGTAGCAATGTTTGTGGCATCAAATGTGGCCCCTTGAAGTTCTTAGCAATGGGTCCAAAATGAAATACTTACATGGGCTGCCACTGCATGCAACAAGATAGCCAATGATCCCTCAAGGTAATTAAGATACATGCTGGTCCTGAAGTTTACCTTCTGGAAAGTGCAGCTCTGAAGTGCCCTTTAGATATTTAATTTTTTACAAAATCATGCACTCAGCAGGAAAGTGTCAAAGCTTACAATTAACTGAGAAACGTTGTGCCCACTCCTCACTCCATACTGCCTTTTATGGAACAAGGGAGAACAAATACGGTTTCTGTTTTTGTTCAGAAAATATTATCATGGCCCTTAACTTGTCACTTCTTAAGCACTTACTCCTGGACTTAGTGATCAGTTGATATTTTTGCAGTGGGCTCAGACGGAAGATATTTCTTTGGTGGAACAAGAAGCTGATGCCGATTAGGCAGTATGAGGCCAAGACTAGTACTTTGCATTCTGATAAAAAATCATTTCCAGAAATGCGCTGCAGTTAGCAGGAGAAACACAGCTCTCAGGATGCTGCTTGATCATTGCAAAATTGATGCTGATAATTAAGGACAAACACATGTGAATCCTAGACAGGAATATGTTCATATTTCTTATCTATAAACTGCAGCTGTAAAAGTCTACAAATGAGAGGCTATCCAATGGCAAAATATAATAGGCCTTCATACCGCAAGAGATAGAGAAAATTCCAAGCAGCTTTTTTACTGGTCTAGCAATGTTTGGGTGTCTATCTGCTCCTCAATGCTAAGATACATTATCTATATTATCTGTAGCTATTTTTATTTTTTTTTAGGGGTAAAACGTACTGCTTCAGAAATGAGTGGAGGTAAAGTAAATGTGAACAGGTGCAGCTCACCATACAGAACGATTCATTTAACCTATACTGAAGAAGACTTTGACAAACTGATCAACCTGAGCACTTACAACCTCCTTTGTAGCAAAGACTATGTATTCCAGGCCATCCAGCATGCTATACAAAAAAGAAAAAACATTTAACTGTGAAAGCTGAAAGCCTAGAAAGCAATTTGGTCTGCTAGAGTTGGAAGGTGGGGCTATGCCATTAAACTACAAACACTGACAATGTTGGAGGTAATGTTAATAATCTCAATGTGGTAATGTTGCCCTTATACCATACACTTCGTAATGGATGTTTGTTCCCATCCTGCTAGGCTTTCAGAATGCTTATTCATTAACATTTGTTTTTCAGTCATCCCACTTCAGGGTCACACATAGTTTATAGTTTAGTAGATAACAGAAGGAACTTAGTGAGAAAGTGTGTTGTTTTTGCTGGGGATTGATGATGTTGTTGAGCCACTATTATAATGCGTTGCTGAGATTGTTCCCTTCGTGATACATTAAAAGCTGTGGATGTTTCAGGGATTTATTCATAATATTTTGAAGACGTGATCCTCTACAACTGTAATGCAAATGAGTGGGTTGTGTTGGGTTTCATTATCTACTGAACTGAAGAGTACAGCTGTCATGATTCAGTTCTAGTATGAATAATTGTACCATGCCAACAGGTATTTTCTTCTCATTTCCTTGCTACAAGGATCATTTCCATCCCTATCCAGGAGTGATACATTGCATCTCTGTGTGCTACCAGCATAGCAAGTAGTTAATAGGTCCATTAATGGAAGAACCCACGCCTTGTTGAAGCCAAAATACTTTTCATGTCCTTAGAATGAATCCCTAGCATGGCAGTGGCTGTACTTTTCACATTGGAGAGGGACTGTGGCTAAATGGTAGGGCGCATGTATGAGGCTCGGATCCACTGCCAGGACTGGGAAAGGCTCTGCCTGAGACCTTCATAACATGCTTTTGCATATGATGAAATTCAGGATAGATATTGATAGTTTAAATGAACTACTGATCTTTAGACACTTCCAGATAGCTGCTTCTCTGAATGGTGGTATCATTAAACAGGAAGGCTGGGGCAGGAGTACCTCACTGAAGGGGTATCAAGTTTGAGTGGACTTGGTACCCTCACACTCCCATTAATTCTGCTAGTTTAGTTAGACTAGGAGAACACAGCACTGTCTTCACATGAATTGCAGTTCTTGGACACTCTGCTGCAGTCATCTGCTGTTCACAAAAAGCTGATTCTAGAAGTTGCATGATACTTGCAACCTGTAGTATATACCTGTTGGCTTTATCTTCATGAGCAAAACACACTGGGAATTGCAATGGAAAATATGTATTTAGATGGTTGAAAAGAACAGACTTTAGCTTCTTGGCTGTAAATGGAATATGCCCTGTAAAATCTGGTTTCTGTTTGCCTATGAGTGCTCTGGAAGATGTTAATATAAACCAGTGAATGGGCCTCACAAATTACGCACACTCTTTCTCCACATATATTCAAAAGATGTTTGTCTCCACAAAACATTCAGTATTGAAAAGTGGTTCTTCATCTGGGGCAAATTATTATTGGCTCTTTAGGTAATATTGGGGTTAATTTCATTTATTCCATTTCAGGATCTGGTCTAAAACTATTTGCATTTTTGACATAATGCAAAAACCACCTAACTTTACCTATATTTATCTCATTATAAAGAAATTTGAAATGCAAATTGGAAACACAAAATATGGCCAATTGAGTTCTTAGGCTGTAATACTATGCAGTATATATTTACCTGGCAATGAGTCCCTTTGAACTTGGTGATAATTACACTGTTGGGCACTCAGGGTTTAATTGGGTTACAGTTGCAAAATCAGCACTTGGTGAATTCAGCAGAATGACTTCCCACACTAGAGACATTCAAAAAGAATCTTGATAGCCACCTGAGTGGGATGGTGTGACTTGGTGTCCTGCAACAGCAGGGGATTGGACCTGATGGCCTTCATGGCCCCTTCCAACTGCAGTATTCTATTTATGATTCTACATTTGAGTATAAATGATTCACTATTGTGAACACATAATTTAATTTTATCATCTCACACTTTCAGTAAGATGGAGTTGCCTTTCAATATAACATGGCATTCTGTTTAGTGGTAATGCTGAATTTGGAGAATTATTCAAATGTAGAATCGTCATTAAGAATATGAAAACAACTTTTTTAGGCCAGGCTGAAGGGGCATGCAGCCCACTATTCTGTTTCCGACAGTGGCAAGCAAGGAACTTAGGAGTTCATGATCTGCATGGAAGAGTGACCACCCTCTCCTATCCTTTATCTGGCTCAACTACCTCTGAATGTAGCAGCTCTATTCCGTTGATGTGTCTGTGGTCTCCTACTAGCACCTCAGCCATTGTGTCCACTAGGCATTTAAGTTATTTAAATTATTTTTTAAAGAAAGCACCTTCATTTTTAATCTGTGTGTAGCAAAACATACACAATTAGAAGTGAAGTCTGGTGGGGCAAAACAGGAAAGGATGAGGAAAAATAGCTCAGTAGAGGAAATTTCTCCTTTTACTATGAGGACATCTCAGGAAGAACCAAAAACTTGTTAATAATAAAACAGATACAATAATTGCCTTATGTGTGCTTGGTTTTATTTCAAGACATGCATGAAAAATGTTCATTGGTTTAAATCAGGGAGAGATCAGAATACAATCTTGTTTCCTTCCCACATATTATCCAAAATCTAGTTGTCTTTACAAAACAGTTTTCAGACATTAAAACAAAGATGCATAGATGTGTTCATGTCTTTTTCTTGCTAGACTGGCCTTTCTCTTAATTCTTTAGGCTGAGAAAAAGCTCACACAAATCAGAGGCACTCAGGGTGTTCTTACCATAGGTGAAACTATTGCATTTTTGCTGAATAAAGTTTGGATGTTTCCATATTTTAAAAAAATGTTTCATGCATTTATTGTGTGAAGTGCTCTCCACAATGTCATATGGCTTCCCTGACTTAGTTTACACTAGGATGTATGAGCACAGGCTTTCCCACCATCAGGATCTGTGACCACATGGAAATCCTATGCACAGGACAATAAACTGTGGGTGGCAAGCAGGGAAATCCATGCAGCTTTTGAGATGGGGCTGACAAGGAGGCCCCCTGCTTCCATGGACTTGCTCATGCCTAGTGTTAACCCACAGTGTGCTTTAAGGGATACAGTTCCTTTCTTAGCCCCTTTAGCAATACTTCCTGTTAAATAATGAGCAGATCACAATGGCTGTATTTGGTGCTGTTACACTTTTATGTTCTACAGTTCAAGCTAGCCTTCAAAACACTCTATAATAATGCTTAATTATTGGCAGTGGCACTGTTTTGTTGTGTTGTTTTTTATATTTTTTCATTTGAAATACCTATTTCATTGTATACTTGGTTCCTCTCTGAAGGCAAAAGGGTGCTACGTAAGAGCCCAGTGAAACTTGAGCATTTTCTTCCTTATGCTATTTCTTGGTAAAAAGCTTTTGAAAGACTCTTTCTTTCTTTTTCGTCTGCTTCATGACATCTGTCTCTAGTTCTTTCCTCTCTGGAGTCTGCTGATTGTATAAGCTCTTGGTTACTCCTGTTGTGAGTTCAGCTTTGGCTCCTGAAAAAGGATAAGCGAATATTATTTCTTTCAGCACTGAAAGGGTGAAGAAATCTCATAAAAATATTTAGCAGGACAGTTTTTTACCACTTCAACACTGTATGGCAGACTATGCTATTTCACAGAAACATGGCGAACCATTTAATTCTATGGCATACCCCTTTTCTCTCTGCTGAATGAAAAAAAAACACACTTTACTGGTAAGATATGTGCTATGTATTAATTTTGCTTAAGGCTCAGTCCCTGGCATCTGTGAATAAAGAATCTGAAAGAGCAGGAATGGAAAATGCCTCATGTCTGAGATCCTTGAAACCTGGTCCTGGCCAGTGTTCAGCTACAGCTAGTGATTTTGTAAAAGCTTCTTGCCCAGAATCTGCATTTAATACATCTGACTGTTCATGTACCTCAGTACCATCTCGGCTGATGGGCAGCAGTTCTCCAGTTTTTTTCTCAGTCCTACCTCTACATTCAGATGTAGAGCCAGATGCCAGAGACTGAATCCGTGGCCTTCTGCTTGCAAAGTGTGTGTTCCTCCAGTGAGTTACAACCTGTACCTGCCAGTGATGTATTGTCATCACTTAATAACAACAATCATCACCAAACTGATTGATGATGACATATCCTACACAATTTCTAAGTCTGGTTTTCCTGGATTGACACTACTCAAGGAGGAGAAGCAGAATTTAGACAAGGGGTCTTAGACATAACACCCTCTGCATCTGTTGAATAAACTTGGCTGGTAATCTAGTGGCTTAGTTGTGGAACTGACAGAAAAATATATAGAGCTGCCTTACAGACTGCATTGCAAATTCTATGGAAGACTGTCCGGTGGTCTGCCCATGTTTGGCGTATTTCCTCAACATAGGAATGTAAGTTGAGGGAGAAAGGCCAAGGATGTAACACGAACAAGAAGGGGCTTTACACAGCAATTGTGCCACTAGAGCAGCTTTATAAAAGATTTTTCTCTACCAATTCAGAATAATTCATTGCCAACCCTAGTTTCTCACATGATTTGCCTGATTTGGAATCTGAAAATCTAATAAACATTTCCCATGGAAGATATAAATTCCCCAGTTTCTTGGCTTATATATTCCACTCTTCTTTGGGGACAGACTGGATAGGAAGGTAGCATGATCCACCACAGAGTGTTTGCGGAGCCCAATAAAGTGGATGTGTTGCTTAAGCTATGCTAGGGGTGGTTGGTCCTCCCTTCACATTATCCTTCAAGCAACATTTCCAGCTGTTTTTCTCCCAGCAGGGTTATACTCATGGTTTGGCAGCACTACCGAGTGAGAAAAAGGGGCTTTTGGGAGAAAAGGCTGGTGGAAGAAGGGTTCTTCAACTTCTTCCTGCTCATCCTAATAATGGATTACATTGTTTCTCCCTCTTTATAGGGGTTCAGCTCTTATTTGATTCTGATGCACAGATTTATCACTATTACATCCAGTTTGGCTCTTGTTTAGCAATCAGAGCACCTTGCAGCATCCTTTAAATAATTAGGGATTGGATCCAAAATTATTCTACCAGCAGGAGACATCCACTTGTGGAATAGAATTTGCCTGCCCTTCCTTCTCCCCTTCAGCTCCCTGCTTGCCCTCCAAGTCTGCTCCATATGGGAAGAGGGAGGGTGCAGGGAAGGATGCATGAAGGAGGACAGGAAGCAGTAACCTTCCAGGGCCAGAGCAACAGTTCTGATTCAACTCTGTTTCAGCTCTCCCACAAAATGAAGGTTTCTTGCTCTGCTTGGAGTGTATTAAGAAAATAACCCCTGGCTACTTTATATTCTCCAGGCTTAGGTCTCACTAAAAGGCACCATAGATATTTAAAACAACTTCAGACTAAATGTGACCTATGGAATTTCCTGGGTAGACAGTGCCAACATAGGAAGCTGCCTTGGTACAGGGCAGATGTTTGATGCATCTAAGGCAGGGTGGGCTGCACCAGCACGGCTCTTCAGGCTTCCCTTGGAGATGCCAGGGATCAAGCCTGGGGCCTTTGGCAAGGAAAGCATCCTCCCTTCCACTGAACTCCCTCTACCACGTATAGTTCTGACAGCCACTCGTTATTTTCCTCTATCTGAGAAATGCCATCCAGCATGTAGAGGAAAGGTATGCGCCAAGCACAAACCAGAACTGCCTCTACCATCCCTGTACTTGTGGAATGCCTGCTTTTCACACCACCATCTGAAACAACAAAGGTGGCTTATGGAAAAGGCCAGACTATTGTCAGGGGGCACAGTCCCATGGTTACTTTGGAGATGGAAGCTGTGTTACACTGAGAATAACTCCTGAACAGCACAAGTGGGGCCAGACCTTGAAGCCGTTCTTAGGAATCCACTGTCACATCTGTTCAGTCTCTGCCTGGAGAATTGTCCCCTCCTCCTTGCCTGCTTGCTTACTTTACCTTGGTCTTTCTGTCCCAGAGTTCCCTTGTCTTCGCCATTAGGATAAGGCTGTACTTTGCGATGGCTCTGGGGAATATCTGATGGACTGGCCATCAGCAGAGTTGCTGGATCTGATTCCATGGAAATTGCAGAAGAAGCATCTGAAATAAGTTATTAACACATCTCTAAAAGTTCTGTGACTGGGTTAAATTACCATCAAAACTCTGGAAATATTTCAAGTCACAAACCACAATGTGTTCTTATAAAGGCAATGTTGCTGCACGGATTTTCACTGAGATGAAAACTTGTGACCTATCGAACTGCATGCAACTGTGTATGGTAGCCATCTTCATTTTATTGCAGAGTTGGTGTTTCAAAACCAGGGAAGTTATCAAGAATTTAGCAGGCCACAGGAATGTCTCACCAGCTGTGTTCGTTCAGTGGGTCACAAGTTGAACAGGCCCAAACTAAATAATTGCAATTCATCTCTGACCATAAAACCTCTCCCTAATTGATAAACGATGGAACCTTTTACTATCACATATGCCAACAGAAATCACAATTGTTTCTTTCACATTTCCCACCTCTCTCTGCAGTCTTTTCAATGCTTTCAGAAAGAAAGATAAGAGCCAACAAATGACTTCATTCTTTTTATGGAATTCAAGCTCAAATCTATACCAGTGCCATAAACTATAAAGTCCTATCATGTACCTTTTGTTGTATTTATTTCTGGATGCGTATTGTATATTGTTACATCCCATATTAAAACAAAACTGAACTGATACTACTGAATGTTAGAATAAGTTAAAAAAAGTACACTGGATTACCATAGGTAGACAAAAATGTAGCAGAACATGTTTTCATTTCTGTCCTATGTAGTTTTATTTTCCTGAAATGTATTTTTAATGAAATGAAATATATATATATATTACCAGAGTCTTCAGAATTCTGAGCAAAGTTTATGCTAAAATCATGTGTCAATCCTTCTGATTCAGGAGAACTTTCAACAGGTCTTTTTTCTTGTTTAACTCTAAAGGAAGGGTTTCTCCTGTCAACAAGATATGAAATAAATTTTTAAATAAAGAAAATACAGTAGATTATAAATACTTTCAAGGTATTTGACAAAATCAAGAGCCAAACAAATTAAATCAATGAGAAAATAAAAATTAATTACCCTTCCATCTTTTCTTCTTCTGCACATTCAGCAAAGCAGGGCTGGGTTTAGAAACCTGCTTTTAATTGCTGTTCTATTTATTTGTTGCCCTGTTTCCTATAAAGCTCTAGGCTACATCACCTACAGCCATGTAGTGATCAGACTGGATGCTCCAATTTACCACTTTAAGTGTGCATAAAGGAAAAGTGGAAACTTCAGATTTAATTATACAGTCGAAGGACATCATTTAGTTCTCTAAGAAAAATGGTTTTGGCACTCGTTATTAAAGTAATCTCCAGTGGAGAAACTGGTTTATGATCAAGAATCTCTTTCAGTTTTATAGCAGCATCCTTGAACCTAATGAATTCCACAGGCCTGCTTCCCAGCAATGCTTGTACTATCGTCATTTCTGATCCTGCAGCTATGTAGCCATTGGCACAACCAGTAATCCACAGTATGCCCAGGCCGCAGAAGACAGTTAATTTGCCATTTTCTTAAAGGATACAACAAACTAAACATGCGTACTGAATTACAGTTGATCAACCTCACAGAAATTAGTGCATACCTGGGAAGGAAACCTTTGCGAATCTGCCTTTCAGTAGAATCTCCAACTGCAGAGATCCAAGGTTTCATCTGAGGCTTTTCTGTGTTTGTGCTGACCAGTAGCTCCTTCTGTAAAGAACACTCGTTGCCACAGTAGTCTTGAAGAAAGAAAATGTGATAGGAATAAAGGAGAAAAAAGGTTATGGAAGATTCTTTTAAGCCCCAAATAACGCCACTGACTATATAGTGTCTGGGAGTATAGTATAGGATCTGGACTTTCTTTTGTCTAGTTACATAGAAACAGAGCGAGTCAGAAGGGTCCTCCCAGGCCATCTAGTTTGACCCCTGGCTCCAGCCAGCTCCACTCATGACATGCCCACCATGTGCATATTACACATCTCTGCTGATAATTAAGCCATAAGCATCTTGTAAACATGTTGTGAAGAAGGACAGGGTAGAGATTAGGGATATGTGAGGAATCTGCGTTGGGCAGAAAATCCACCTGATTCCCTGGTTTTGGCTTCCTGGACTCTAGTCCACTTTGCAGCAGCCCAGAGTCCAAGTCTGTGGGGCACTCACCAGGAATCAAGCATGATGCGCTGCACAAGCAGCTCCATGCTTCCATGCCTGTCACTGCTGCCAGCAGCAGCAAGCAGGGGAAAAGGTTGGCCACCAGAAACAGAAGCCTGTGGGCCTGCTCGCAGTGCCCCCTTTCTCCCCTCACACTGCCAGTGGCAATGAGTGGGAAGGAAGGTTCGTGGTGGCAGCTGGCATGCCCACTCATGGTGTCCTTTTATCCATGCACCAGTGGTAGTATGTAGGGGAGAAGGTTGGCTGCTGGGAATGGCAGGTGGGGAGGGATGCTGGTTTTGCAAACAGGATTCCTTTGGAGCTCAGCTTGCTTCCTTACAGAGGGCTAAGCATTGGAAAGAGTCCAATGGCATGTGGGAATTGGATTCTGGAGAGGCTCAGCACATCCCTAGTAGAAATATTGGGTATCAGGGGAATGTTCCATTAGCCAAATCCTACAGACCCACCCAAATTATTTAATAATGCTTGCATCCAATCCTCCATGAGCTTCTGAGAAGGTGCTGCAAAGTAGTATTCTGATCCATCACTTGGCCTGTAAACAACACATTAACTGAGTTATAGAACTCTGCCAGAATGAATAGAAAGAAAAACATCCCAGAATACCCATTTCCCTTTTTTGTTTAACATTGATTTTTATTTTGACATCAACTTGTACGTAGATGTGGCCAAAAGACCACCACAAAACAACACATCAAAGCCACCCATGTCTGCAGTTTTGGGGGTGGGACACAAAGGGGAAAGTCCTCTTTACCCATTCACAGATCTCAGATGAATTACCTACTGATATAAAAACTGGTCCTAGCTATAACTCAAACTGAGTGTTTCCTTCCTTCTGCAGACCACAATTGAAATCTAATCATAATTTTGATATAGTTTCACATTTATCTGTATTTTATGGCTGACCTCCTTGTGTAGTGTTTTTACTGAAACTGTAGGACAGACCTTGATTGACTGACTGACTAACTGCATGAATGAATGCAATGTATACTTTGGGGTGAGTTACGGAGCTGATCATGTGTGCACCTTTCTGCATTGTGAGAGCACCTTCCTGAAATGGCCTGGTGTAATTGTGAAAAATGTGTATTCAGTGTTGGGGAATAGCCAGAGAATGTCTGCTTTAGTGAAACTGTGAAGGACAGAGGCATGTTCACAAGCAGTCCATGGGGACTATTGTTTTGATTTTATTCCACCACCTGCAGAAGTGATGATGCATTTGTAGTGTTCCGAAGACAGCAGAACTCCATTCCATAAAATCACGTTGCATCTATGCACTCCGGCACAATCCAGAGCATAACAAACCAAAATGTTGTATAACTAAGTTAAACCAGAACATACCATTTACATTTGGCTTACATTGCCACTAATATGATTTACCTGAAACTGAAAGCATGTTCTTTCCTAGAATAGTTTGCTAGCTTCTCACACCAGGCTCCAGTGGTGTTAAGTGACAAGACTGGAGCTATATTCTGATAAAAGAAGGAAAAACAGAAGTGATTGTAGCTAAACATTTCAATTTTATCTTTTAAATTCAAGTTCTTCCCCACTTGTATCCTCAAAACCACAGGTGGACAACTTGTGGCCCTCCACATGTTTTGGCCTATAATTCCTATCAGTCCTAGCCAACAGAGCTAATGGGGGGAGAAGGTGGAAGATGTAGGCTAAACATCTGGAGAACCACAAGTTGCCTAACCCCTGCAGGTATATCCGTGCTTCCTTGGAAGTTTATTAGGGGTGAAGAAAGAATGAGAAGAAAGAAAATGGTAGACAAGCTTCCTTAAGGAACAGCTTTCCACCACTTCAATGCTTTGGAATGTGCATCTGTTGCAGGGAGATGCTGCGTTCATTCTAGGACCCAGTCACAGCACATATGGGGTAACAATAGCCATAGGTAGTGGCTAGTGGTCATAAAGGCAGAAAGAATGAAAATGATTGCTCTAGAAGCATTTTCCTTTGCACTATTCTAACCACAATGACTAGGCATTTATTGGACTTGTCCTGAGCATTATTTACTGCTTAGCATTGTATATGAGGCATAATTCAACTTTCTGTTAATGATAAATTTTTGAATCTTAATATTGTAAGGCATATTCATCCATCAGATTTCAAGTTTTGACCATACAACATGCAAAAGTCTACCTCTTTTACCAAATAAACATCTAATGTTAAATATTTCTTTCCAAAGAAATTTGGTTTTCTATGAGGGGGAAATTATAATGCATAAAAACAGAAGAGCAGCCCTGTTGGACACGACTTCACAACCAACAACAACAACAACGTAAAGAAATACTTCGTTTTTCTGTCCTAGATCTCCTACCAATCAGCTTTATGGTCTGAAGGTTTTATTATTATGATAGATGGGGAAAATGTCTCCCTCTCAACTTTCTCCACACCATAATTTTATACACTTCAATCATGTCTCTCTTTACTTGCCTTTTTGATAAGCTGAACAAACCCAAATGTTGTTAACTTTCCACACAGGGGAGTTGGTCCAGCTCCTTGATAATTTTAGTTGCCCTTTCCTGCACGTTGCAGCTCTATACTGTCCTTTTTTGAGGTCTGCTGTCCAGAATAAGAGCTAGCGTGGTGTAGTGGTGATGAGTGCTGGACTGGATCTCAGGTCCTAGACCCAACTCAGCCAGGAGGCCCACTGGGTGGCCTTGGATCAATGCTAACTTTGCTCAGGAGTCTTCCAAAAGGCTTTGTCAAAAGCTTTTTTGGAAATCCAAGAAAACCCTTTCTAATGGATCAGTACTATTCACATGCATTCTTTAAAAATAGCTGTAAGTTTAGAAACCAAACTACCTGGGATGCTTCCTTTTCATCATTGTAGAAGTCAAGTTTTTGTCTTTGAAGTATAACATAGTATTTGTTCCAAGCCCTTGTCTTTGGCTACAAAAAAGACAGAACAAAGTGAATAATTTACCACCTTTGATCACTGGGAAAGATTGTCTATGGGTATCCTCTACTACTACTACTACCTTTAGTTGGAGATTATTTGTTAACTTGCAGTTTACATTTACCCTGATTACATTCATCTAACAAGTGGTTAGATTTTCACTTCTCTTTCCTAAACAATGCTACTGGGTGTTAGGATAAGCAAAATAAGCTAAAATACCAACAGAACCTCGGAAGAGCTCAGCTTTTCCACAAATTAATAGACAAAATCAGTAATACGGGCCAAAGTGAGACTTGCAAATACATTGCACCTTAAAACATTTCATTCTTTGTGTTTTATATCAATATGAAAAATTTAAGTGAACAAGACAAATCTATTATGTCAGAATTTTGCTTTGCAAATAGATGGATGTAGAAATTATAATTTTTTTAAAAAAAGCATGAAGGGGCTAATAAGGTTACAACAAAGAGAAATTGGGTTAGAAAGTTTGAGAAACAGATGATAGAACAAATTACAAGCAAAAAAATCTCAGTAGTATGATCAGGAAGAACAATTGCTCTTAAATTAATACAAGAATTGCTTCTTTGATATATCTTTTACAGTATCTTTAGTACTGTCTTCACAAAACAAGCAATCACATACCTTTCTTTGCTGAAAGCACATATCTTTCAAGCTGAATATGCCCCAATCCACCCTTCCCTTCCACAGCATGGAGGTCATCTAGTTCGTACTTACTTGCTTTCTTCCTGGAAGGATCTGGTCCCTCTTTTCTAGGAATCCCTCCATGCTTTTGTGATCTGCAGAAACCTGAAATATACAAGATCCTTTCAAAGAACTTAAACTAACTTGTTAGATACAGCAGATCATAAAATCTCATTCAAGATATGTGCTATATGTTACCAATGTAGCAGCTATTCAAGAGTACACAGTGTTTACTGTTTCACTATGGAGTAGCTATACTTATACTCTACCCATATACATATGCCAGTGGGAATGGATGAATCCTAGAATTCTATTTTGAATTGTGTCACTTTCACATGTGCTCACTCAGATTCAACTCCATTTGTAGTACATATTTCTCTCATAATACAAATTTCTAAACATATTTTTCTCAAAACATGCTTTTTAAGATGTGGGGGTACTGAACCAAGAATACTAGCAGAATATTCAGGAAATACACATAATTCTTCACATTATTCCAGAAACTGCAGACCTGGTCAGTTTGCATGGGAGCTCATGAAGACTGAAATACTCAGGAAATCCTACATGCCAGAAACTGATGACTAGAAAGTGAAAAACTGTGCAAGTACTTCAGTGGGGACTGAAGGAAGTGGGGATTCACAACAAAGCAAGCCTTTTCTCAAGAAAAATGGATTACAATATTTGTTGTATGCTAGTCTGTGTAATTTAGTTATTTATTTAAAGCATTTTCTCCTATCTATATCTAGAATAGATCTCAAGATGGCTTACAAAACCACAAGCATAACAGCACATTAAAAATATAGTTTCAATATATACAAAAATGTACTAAAATAATTCCAATTATATAATAAAATCATTCAACCATTAACATGCTGAGTAAATTAAAAAAAAAAGCCTTGGCCTGGTGGCAAAATGAATAAAGTGGAGGCGCCAGGTGCACTCTCTGGGGAGCAGATTCCATAGCTGGGGTGCTACCACTGAAAAGGCCCTTCCTCAGAAAGCCTCACTTCTAACCTCTTTAAGAAAGATCTCAGTGCAAGAACTCAAAGTTCATGCAGGTGTATATGGAAGGAGATTAAAATGTACTAAAATGTACTACAGTACTAAATCTATATTAGTACATGAAGTAAAATAACTACAGTTGTATGAGAATTCAGTTTGGTATTGAAAATAATTTTCTAAAATTCATAAAGTTGTCTGCATTTGGGATAAAAGAAATTTGAGATTTTTAAAAAATCAAATATGGAAGAAACTGAAATGGCCAGATTCCTCCATCCAGGCCCAGCTTGTGGTAATAAATTAAGTTCTCCATCTCTTTTTTTCCTGACAGATGCTCATTTTAATAGTTATAAAGCAGGCAGGTGCTTCATGGTTTCCTCTATAATGGGAAAGGCGGTGCCATTTGGCTGAATTTGGCTGGTACAAGGGCTGACAATTTCTTTTCAGCTTATTTCTGATAAGACATTAACAACTTTGCAAAGTTATCATGTTTGGAAGAGAAGAACTTGAAATTTTAAAAAACGGACTGCCAGATTCACCCTTCAGGAGAAATGATGGACTTACCAGCCTACTTCACTGTCACACATCCCGATTGCATGATATTCCACATGCTTTGTGTACTTTGAACATGAAATGCATATAAGTAATGTGGCATAGATATAAAAGAAGCCATGGATTTCAGTAGCTTTCAGTCAGAGTAGGGATCACATGATGAGAGCTTACCAAAGAAGCTGTTCCTAATCTCTCAGGAGGTAAATTAGAGTGCAGCAAAGTTACGGAAGTATCAATCGATCCTGTTCCAGGCAAAGCCATCAATCCTTTGGTTTCAGCATTGGAGAAGGAGGTATCATTAATAATTTTCTCATCTGGCAGTTTGAAATCACTCACATGGGGTTGTAGCACATCATTGTCAGCTTGCTGGATTTTCATATCAGAGGACCATGAAGAATGCCCAGAGTTTCTTGTTTCTGGAACTGAATCCTGCAGGCCAGGTAATTCCGGTGCAGGAGGCACATTATCCTTACTGGGGCCAGCCATGATCTGGTCTTTTCCAAGACCCAACTGCTGTGAATACTCTTCAGACTTTTGCGGAAGGGAGGCAATGTGTTTCAGGGGAACCCACAGAGCGGCCACTGATGATAGAGAAGGTCCTTGCTGAATTTTCTTCGGGTCTAGTGGTCTTGTATGTGTGCTTCTTCTGTCTGAGTATCTTCTTCTCAGAGAGGGGACCTTGACCAATTTCCCTGGCTCACTCTCCTCAGTATCCATTCGCTTCAATAGTTTCAGTTCACTCTAAAATGGACAAAGCACAAGTTGAATGGAGCAATTAAATACATGAAAATTAACAGCTGACAACACCGATTGCTCTGTTAGGTGTGACTTATGTGGAAGTTGCAAGGTTCCCGGCACTCTGTCAAACTATACTTTGCTTTCTGGGCTTGGGCTTGTCCATCTTTTGGAAGGGGACATGGCTGGTGGGCAAAGATCCTTGCTGTAATGTGGGTCCCTGCCTGCTGGCCCTCCCACGGTAAAGGAGGAAGAGACTGCTTATGAGCAGGCAGACCTGTCCAGGTGCCCCATGTGCTTTCTCATGTGAAAAGCAAAGCTGATAATGAACGCTGCTTCCTCATGTCCCTCACGCTCTCCCCACTGCAAAGGAGGAAGGAAGGTGACAGCTATCTTCCTTGCCTCTCTATTCCTTTATTTGTCTCTCCCTTGCCTATTTTTGATACTTCTGGGTCATTTGCATGCAGATGAACAAACTGGGAAAGAGGCAACAGATCTCTTCATTTATAATTTCCCAAGAGACTGTGTCTTGGCTTAACGCAGCATGCAGCAATCTCCCCATGGGATCCTTCATTTTAACCACTCTAAGCAATTCAGGGAATCCATTCTTGTGCGCTTGCTTGTTGAATTAACTAATTTCCCAACATCTGTAGCTTTCTGGGCAGTGAACAAATGTCATAAATACAGTAACATACAATAGAACAGAAGAGCAAACATCAAGTCCAGGCAAGTTAATTACTGCATATGTGCTTTCTCATCTAGGACAACATACCATTTCAGAAGTCAATTTATTGGCAACCAGGTCTCCCATGAAATGAACTAGCTCATTTTGAATGGGGCTGCAGGATGCTTCTTGAAGGACAAGTTCCATATACACCTAGAATTCTTACTGAATACAAGTGTGTGTAACATGGAATCTGTGCACTGTGTGGACCCCCTTGCCTTAGATGCACGCCCAACACTCCCCTGTGAATTGGTGGCTTGCCATACACTATGTTTTGCCGTGGTTGCCACAGAAATTCAATAGTACGCAGTGGTGGTGTGGCCCCTATGGGGTTCAGTGTGGTTTAAACAGGAGTCCATGAAGTTGCTTGTTCCTGACTGAATATCCAGTAGGCAAATTTTCTGCTCTCTCCAGGAAACTTACATGCCTTGAGATAATTTGAACTTGCACAAGACTGTCAAACTGAGAAAATAAGACTGTGTATGGATGTGTCCCTGGAAAAATTGTTTTTAGAGTAGAGAACACTGCGAAGTAGGAATCTAGAGCAGAGAACAAAATCCCACCAAGTTGCTTCCCCATCCCCACCCTTGATTTAATAAACACGGGTATGGAGATTTTGCATCATGAGGAAACTAGAACTGTGTGGTTGCATCCTCTGACCCTCCCATGCCCCAATATCTGGCCACACCATGCCCCAGTCCTGCCCCTGGCATGCATAAATGGGGAAACAACAAGGAAAAAGGCTTTTTCTACCATCGTGCCTCATTTTCGCAATGCCCTTCCTAGGGAGGGGTGACTGGCACCCTCACTGTTTAGAGTCTGTCTCCAGGGTTTTTGTTTTTTGTTTTAACTTCATGCTTGCTTTTAGCACATTATGATTTTATTTGTTTTCAGGATTAATCACAGCTTCAAGATATTGTATTATTAGTTTTTAAAAATTGCTGATTTTTTTCTGCATATTGTTGTTCTATGAGCCACCCAGAGAGCCGTCAGGCTATGGGGCAGCATACAAATGTCTTTTTAAAAAAAAAAACATGGACAGCTGCAAAGAAAGCCTACAAATGGAGACCTCCGGGGCAGGTAGGCTTCTCCTTGAAAATATCCACACCTGGAGAGAAGGACAAAGGCGCCATGCTGTGCCTGATTCCTCTTCACAAGAGATGTTTAAGACCCTGCTTCCTTCCCATGACTTTTTCTGCTCTATTGCTCTATATCCATCAAGTCTGGAAGCTGATTTTCTCTTAAATAGTACTCTAAATTGGAGAACTATTACAAATACTGGGAGCAAATAGCCACAAAGAGAGAGCCAAATGCAAAATAAGAAGCAGACTGTGTCTGAATTATCTGCCAGCTTAACAAGAAGCACAGCTATGAAAGATCTATTTGTTGAGAAAAGCGATGTGAAATACTGATAATGCTTATCTTTGTTTGACAACACAGCCTGCCCCAACAGGTTTTCCTCATTTTTTTTCCACATCACCTTTGTCTTTCTATTCAGCTGAGCAAACTTCTCCTTCTGCACCTCTAGCATTTTTTCAAGGTCTTGATGTTTCTTCAATAGATGCTCAACATCAGAGATAGAACACTGGGGAATCAAGGTAGTAGAGATAAGCACTTAACACAGACATACCATGAAAGACAAAAAGAAATTTGTTAAAGAGATTTTTCTAAGTTAGCTATGAAACTTCATTTGAAATAGGTGAGCCTTGTATGACAGGTTTTTCAGAGGACCACATTCTAATCTTGAATATTAGGGAGTCAGTAACACGCCATGGGACTCCTGTTCTGAAGAGAAGATTTCTCTCTATGCAAAGGACCTGCCTACACAGCTGAGATGACATGATTGGCAACCATGCGGGGGTGATAATTGCCATCAGCACTGCAATCTGCAGTGGGTGGAACACTTGAAGCCTTCTCTGCCAGCCACAAAATCCCCCCCACTCCTGCCACTCCCATAAACCCTGATACTAAGGAACTTTATGTAAATTGCCCTATTTGCACAAATTTACACAATGTGCAGAAATCATGACATTTTGCCAATTTTGCACAAATTGGAAGCTGAAAAACACAGCTAGTATTTTGCATAAAATCAGTCACAAATTACAGTACACAATATGATTTTCAGGTGCCAATTTCTGCTCATTTCCTTTAAAAATGCAAACTGTGACCTCTCAGAGAAGGAAGTTTGTGAACTGGCTCAATTTACCCCATAGAAGAGCAACTCAGCACCAGCAAAGAGTTGATAAACCAGAATCCAGCAGGCAAGATCATGAAAATCTATTGGATTTTCACTCACCTATCAGATTCCTCATGCAAACAAAGAGAGAAGGCTTAAACCTCCTCACTATAATGCCTGATAGATGTATGTCAATTGTATTAAGCACTGTGCAAAATACTAGTTAGATACAATCCTGTTCCGTGAGGATATACTTGTAAGGTGACCCTTGATGTGTCATTATGGTGTGTAAGATAGCATGATACAAGGCAATTACTAGGCCACACTGATTGCTTGTACAGAAAAGCAGTCAACTTTATGTTGCCCTTACTCACCCCATAGCTTGGATCCGAGACAACACTCTCCTTGTCAGTGAGCCAAGCTTCAGCTAGATCCAGCTCCCTTCGTAGTAACTGGATCTCCCAGTTTTCTTCATACAAATCCTTCCTCAGGTCCCAGCATTCCCTCACTTTTCTCATTAGCTCCAGTAGTTCATCAAGTTTCTCTTCAATCTATAGAAACAAATTCCAAGATATAAATACAAGAAGTGGAAAGAAAGGTAAAATGAGGTGAGCATTTCATCTGGCATTCACTGAATTTGTGACCTCTCTCTGGAGAACGTCTTGAGGCTTTTCTACTTCTGGAAGTTTAATTCTATATATTTCAGAGTAATGGTATATTATTTATTTATGACACTTATTAACCACTTTTCTATCACAAGGCACCCAAATACAATAACCACAACAGCAGTAACAATTGAACAAAGCCTCCCCATATCACTAGGGAAGATTATAAAGAGTTGGTAGGTACCTTCAGAATAATGGGATGATACCTATAAGCCAAGTCCAGACAGACTGATCTTGTTTCCTTTTTTGATTGAACATCTTTCTTGGTAGACTGTGGAATTGCTATGGTCATCATTTGTCTTGACATCAGCAAAGCAAAGCTCCTCATCCTGTTCTGAACAGTAAGATAGCTATGCATAGACTGGATGCATACTAGGTAGACCCACAGCCTGAAGACATGTGTGGAAAGACTGGCTGCTCATCAGATGGGAGGGCAGGTACTGAGTGGAGCACCACAGATTCAGTCCTCAACATTTTAATTAATGACTTGGGACAAAAGCTTATAGGTATGTGAGGGGGTGTCACACAGAGGTGGGTAGAGACCTGTTCTTCCCTGCAGAGCGGGGCAAGACGTGCTCCAGTGGAGTGAAGCTCAGGGAACCAAGGTTCAACTTGGATGCCAGGAAGTACTTCCTGACAGTTAGGACCCCAAGGGTGTGGAATGGGCTTCCACAGTAGGTGGTTGAAGCCCCATTGGTGAGGGTGTTCAAAGATAGGCTGGACATGCACATGGTGGGCATGTTGTGAGTGGAGCCAGCTGGAGCCAGGGGTCAGACTAGATGGCCTGAGAGGCCCCTTCTGACTTGTGCTGTTTCTGTTTCTATGTTTCTTTTTGCAGATGACATAAAATTAGGTGAGATAGCTAATACTCAGAAGCCAGAAACAAACTGTTAAATGATCTTGATGGGTAAAAAAACAGAGTAGAATAAACTAGCATGAAACTCAACTGAAGTGCAAAGCTCTTCATTTAGGAAAGAGAAATCAACAACAGTAAATATAAATAGGATCTTGGAGTTTCTGTCGATCATAAGCTTAAAAGGACTCAGTATACCGGACAGCCATTTTTCAGGACTGCTTTAAATTGGACTCCTGTGCTGAGCAGGGGGTTAGAGCTGATGGCTGAAATGCTCCGTTGCTACTCCTGGATTCTATGACAGTGGGAAGATAAAATATCCATGTTGTCAAATAAAATGTTCCAGTGCAGCAGAATTAACAGTTTTACCGTGATGTCCTATAATGTCTCTTCAGATATAAGCCTCTTTGAGTTTAGTAAGTCTTACTTCCAGGTAAGTGGATTTCAATATACAGGATTGTGGCTTCAAGGCTCCATAAAGGCTACACTCATTTATACTGGCTAAATTTTCATTAGCATTTGAAGGCTTATTTCACTGAATGCATAAAATGGCCTGTGATCTTGACATGCTTCCAACCATGCATCAGATTTTCCATGTACCTGATGAAGTCAGCTCTGGCCTAGAAAAACACATATGTGAGTGCTAGTCTTTAAGATGTCAAGATAAACTGAAAAACTCATTCTGCCTGAAACTGATGGACTTTCAACACATTTCCAGCCTGAAGGCCAAAAGTGGGCTGAACTGAGTGTGCTTGACTTCTGCAAAAGTGTTCAAAGTATTTGTGCAGATTTGGAGCCAAGAACAGCATATCTCTAGTGCAATTAGCAGAAATCATAATTTGTCCAAACTGATGCCAATTCATCAGATACAAATTGTTTTTGTAACGTTTAACATAAGAAATATGGAGGCATCCTCAGCCCACCATGTATGCAAATATTCCTCCTTTGCCACCCTGAATCTTTTTGACAGTTAATTTTCAGATTTGTGCAAAATCTGGGCCTCTGCTTCATTATTTGTGCAAATTTTATGCACATTGCACAAAATTTTGCACAGATTTTCCTAGCTTTAAAAATAGAACTTACACAAACACAGCCTGTTTTAAAATTGGAAGTCTTCATGCTGGCTCGACTCATTTTAAATTGAGTTGGTGCCAGCGTGGAGTGGACCAAACAGAATAAGTGGGGCTGAATTGAGAAAACCTGTCTGTTTTATACCGACCTGTCAGATTTATTACACATTCCTAAAAGCTCAGCCTTTAAAAAACTGCACATATGACAATTTTTCCATAAATATATTGCTTTTGTGCATGAAACTGCATGGATCTGGTATACATACCATCAAAAAGCAAACATTTGTATGCTCTATCTATAGAGAATCTGCTTTTTAGAGTGCAGTATTTCCAGATAGGTAATTCCTAGTGTTACCAATAAAAAATACCCCATAGTTATTCAGTCTTCCTTTCATGAATGGAATGCAGTAAGAAAAATAAAGACAGAAATCAGAGTGGAGCAGGAAGAATGGAAAGGTTAAAAATGGGGGTTGCCCCCATCTGAATGCTAAATGTCTATGTAGAAGGTGACTGCACAATAAAAGTCAAATCTGGAAGCACTCCCAGGCTCCCAGACTGTTCTAGACTAGCAAGCTGGGTACTTACTGGACAAGACAAATGCATCTCTTAATCAGTTTCACAAGTAGTACTTATTTGAAATATCTTTATTTAAGGGAAAGGATTTGGGGATTAAATACAGTGAAGTTCACAGAAGCAACAGGTTATTTTAACAAATTCTGAAGATCCTTTAACCCCCGTCATCTCTGGCTCTCCTTACAAATCACATGGAGGCAAACCAAGTATCATTGCAAAGGTCAAAGTATGAAGTTACACGGATCTCAAGACTGTGGAGAGCTTCTCTAATGAAGATCCCTGCTCTTCCCCCTTTCATAACAGTCTGTGAAGGGCCACATGTCAGGTGAAGCCCTCAAGGACCTGAAGCTTAACCCACTTGTTCTTCATCATTTTGCACTTCTTTACCAAACACGCCTTGTGCCTTTTCAGATCACAAGAGCGAAGAAGCGGGGTTTTTTTTTAAATCCTTTTTGAAGCTTCACCTAAGCACTCAGTGTGCCTTGTATGGTACAGCAAAGTTTTATCCTCACACGGACACCCCAAGAGAAGGTAACTCCTTGTGGCTGAGACAAAAGATATACTTGGCTCCCCCATGTCATGCAGCTGAGGACGCCAAATCCCATGTATGCACATGGCGGTTGAGATAAAGCACAAACGCAACCACTGGTCAATACATGTTGCAGTCATTTTTGAAGATAGATTCAAGCTCAGTCTGAGTGATGGAGGCCAAATGGGAAGCGAGTTAAGCGTGGAATCCTGCCACCTCAACCCTAGATGCATGGTGTTGTAACCCCCCTCATGATCAGGCATGATCATACACGTAGCCAGGGCACGGCTCATCACGAGTTAGAGGCATGGTCAGAGTGTTCTTGTTCTCATGAGAACAAGAACACAAACACGGATGTGCACGCTATGCTAAGCTGACAACAAAGCAGGCTTCGCTCCAGCATTACCAGTATCACCACAGACATTATGCCCTTGTACCCACGCTTGCTTGCTTTTGCATGATAAATGGGCAAAATGTGCTCTCCCCTATTGTTTTTCTGTTGTTCCCCCATTGTTTCTCTGTTGCTCCCCTATTGTTCGCTGTCATTCAAGCATAAGTGTAAAAGAGTATAAAAATCAAATGTCTCTCCTCTGCCTGCTACCACAGTCTCACGAGTGCATGGTCCCTGCCGGCAGGTAAAATAAATCCCTCTCGATAATTCCAACCAGTCTCTGGTCTCGTCCGTAATATCGTGCCATACAACACTTGGAGGCCCCAGCGAGATCACCGAGACTGTCGGTCCTGCGTCCTCCCGATACCAGGGACGGGCCCACAGGCATCTTATGCCTCTGCCCTGGCTCGGTGGGACGTCTGACTAGCCGAGAGAGGAATTACCGGTAAGTGCGCACGGCGGTTACCCGCCATTTCTTAGTATCTGCAGATCTGGTATTGGAAAGGAAAGCCTGCTGGACGCAGCAAGGGCTACTTTCCGGTCTGAAGCGAGACGTCGCTTCCGGCCTCAGTTCCTGTACATCTATTTAGATTGTCCGTCGTTTTCTTTTGTATAATAACCCTTTTTTACAGGATGGGAAATGGGGCAAGGACAGTCCATCGCGACCACCCCATTGCAATGCCTTCTGAATAACTTTTCTGATTTCTTTGAGAGGGCTTCAGGATTCGGGGTCTCGGTTAAGCCAGGGACCCTCCAGACCCTTTGTGAGTTAGAGTGGACCTCATTTGGTGTGGGATGGCCCTCAGAGGGCTCCTTTGATTTAATCCTGATTAGGAATGTGGAGGCTGTGATCCTTGGGAATCCTGGACACCCAGATCAAATTCCATATATAGAAATGTGGCTGGATATCGCCAGGACAAAACCTAGTTACCTTGAACGGTGTCAACGGAAACTCCCAGGATCATGGTGTCCGTCTCTCCTTATAATTAAAAGGGGCGGAGAACCCCACGACAGATAACCCATCGCCCCATCCGCGAAGCCCCACATCCTCACGGATGATCAAACAGGGCCTCCAAGTGTTGTATGGCGCGATATTACGGACGAGACCAGAGACTGGTTGGAATTATCGAGAGGGATTTATTTTACCTGCCAGCAGGGACCATGCACTCGTGAGAGTGTGGTAGCAGGCAGAGGAGAGACATTTGATTTTTATACTCTTTTACACTTATGCTTGAATGACAGCGAACAATAGGGGAGCAACAGAGAAACAATGGGGGAACAACAGAAAAACAATAGGGGAGAGCACATTTTGCCCATTTATCATGCAAAAGCAAGCAAGCGTGGGTACAAGGGCATAATGTCTGTGGTGATACTGGTAATGCTGGAGCGAAGCCTGCTTTGTTGTCAGCTTAGCATAGTGTGCACATCCGTGTTCGTGTTCTTGTTCTCATGAGAACAAGAACACTCTGACCATGCCTCTAACTCGTGATGAGCCGTGCCCTGGCTACGTGTATGATCATGCCTGATCATGAGGGGGGTTACAACACATGGAACCCTCCAAGCTGAGACACAAACGCATATCCAATGGTCTGACTGAGGAGCGGCAATTTTCACCACCACTATGCTTCACTATGTGCAAGGAACAGGGAGGAAGGGAGACTGGGGCACCAGTAGGAATTGGCATTTGTCCGCAGGTCCTTCTCCTCTCCTCGTGCCCTGGCACAGCCTTTCCCTGCTTTGCTGAGGTGCACTCTGCTCTTGTGAAGATGCCTGCCTTCAGGAAGTAGAGCGCGACCCTTGATCGTAAGTCAGTCATGTCCAGCCCAGATCTTGAGAGCCTCCACCCCCAGGCCATTAGAAAGCCACCATGGACAACCATAGTTGGCACAGCATTGCTTGCTTTAGATCGGCACAGACATAATTAGGTCCAGGGAACCATCTACCATTTCACCAACCCAGCCCTGGAGGTACAGACGAGAGAATGATTCCCATCCCCTACCCTGCTTTACCATTTGGATTGAATCTGATATTTGCCTTGGCTCTGCACTTCCCAAATGCTTTGTGCCCCTGCCTTCAGACTGGAGGATGAAGGCTGGAGCTCATGTATGCCTTGCATGGAAACCTGCAGAGGGAAGCAATGTATTGTCCTTGACTTCACATGCTGTTTCAGAGGTACAGCAAGGGGTCAGGCACAAGATATGCCTCTTGAGGACAGGGGCATGTTCCTGATGACTGCCTATTCTGGCTGGCCATTCGTGGTTGCACACTTTCAGGGCTTTATGATTTATTTATTTGGCCAGAAGCATGGCTTCTAGATCAAGAGAGGTATTATTGGCATTCTTTACTACTTTGGTGTGCCCGCAGCTCGAGTATTGTGTTCAATTCTGGGCCTCTCATTACAGGAGGGACATAGCAAGGTTAGAATCAGTGCAGCAAAGGGCTGAGGGGGTGTCATGCAGAGGTGTGTTGTGACCTTTCCTCCCCGTGGTGGAGGGCAGGATGCATTCCAGTGGAGAAAAGCTCAGGAAACCAAGATTCAAGGTGGATGCCAGGAGGTACTTCCTGACAGTTAGGATCCTGAGGGTATGGAATGGGCTCCCACAGGAGATGGTTGAAACCCCATCATCATGGTACAAAAGGCAGCAGCTCTACAGAAGCTAAGTAGTCAGGCTCTGCTTGGCAACTAGATCAAGAGGGGGAGATGTTTTAGGGAGAAGACTGTGGGACAGACCGTTGGATCCTACAACCTATTTCCAACCAACTGATTGCCAGAATATAATAGAGGTCCACAATATACATAATGGGGTCAAAGTTGCTGTTCCCAACTAATATCCTCCCATTAAAGGCAGACAAATGCAACATCTCAGGGAAAAAACCCTGTGCAGAGGATTCATTTTTCCTGAATGAAAATAGAAGAAAAACTCTCCATATAGCAGTGGCTTAAACTCTTCATGTAGAGAAGCCCTCATTGTATCACATCGAATCTTTCAGAAACTTACCTCCATGGACATAAAATGCCCACTTTCTACTAGGCTCTTTCCAACTTGCTCCAAATTTTCGTATTTCAACCACTGCTTCTCTAGCTCACGCTTGTTCTCCTCATGACGTTTGATCAGCAGCTCTGCACCAAGCAGATCACTTGCCAACTCCTCAGATATAATCAATGCATGCATCTCCTTGGCCCAGGCCCTAAAGGAGACAACCAAAAGGGATGCAGTACAGTATTTCCCCAGAAATAAAAATGGAAGGGATTCTGTTGCTACTGGGTACAGTTGGGCACATGGAGGTTTAATAATTCGCAGTTGCATCAAAACATCGACTTGATTAGCATGTATCGGCTGCATACTAACCCTGCACTGTTGTTTAACTCTGGATTGTTAACCATAAACAACCAGTTCACAACTCAACAACAAAACATGGGTTTTCTTTCTGGGTTGTTTATGGTTAATAACCCAGAGTTAAACCATTGTTCAGGGTTCAAATGTAATGCCAACTCATGATTCAACCAAAAAGCATGATTCAATGATCAATCATACGTACTTAGCCCATACTCTGGATTGTTGCTGTGTGTAAACCAGGCCAAAAACATGCAAATGAATACACTGAATTATACTCAGGTGCACCCACACATCTGTATAATTAAGCTGCTATACTGGTCTCATGAAGTTAATCATTGATTTAAAGTGCCCAGTTTCCACCTCTAGTGCTTCATACACTCCAAGATCTTCATTCTGCAAAAGAAAGACTGAAGTATTCCACATCAGATAGACTAGCTCATACACACATTAGTTCTCTGCAGTCATTGAAGTAGATCTGGACTTGCTCTGCCTGCTGCAGCTTCTGCTTTCTCTCCATAGACTTCCTGTCCAGTTTCTCCCAGCAGCCATCCACTTCTGCAAGTCTATCCATCATGTTGTCCCTGGCCTGAGCATACAAGTGACCAAGATGCCAGGCTGCTCCTCTGACCCTTTCCAGCTCATTGGAGATGGCTGCTAGTTCTCTCTGGAACACAGACAGGAAAACTAAATGAAGATTTCAGTAAACATTGACTCTTTATTGTTGTCCTTTAATCCAATCCCATATGAGTCCTTTACTAAATTGAGCAAAGTTTCTTAATCTGCATTAATCTGCTTTTTGTCAACTATATGCACAGCTTACTGAATCGTCTCCCATGCACATCTGAGAGAACTGCATTCTAGATAGAAAGCATGGCTTCTAATCAGACAGGAACCTTGAACTCTAGCCTTAGATGACTTGTAAGATGAAATACCCATTCAAATGTAAAGTCTTTTTGGTAAGGCAGCGGACACCTAAAGCACTGTTGGCACCTGCACAACACAAAGTAAACTGCATGGCTTTATGTAATTATTTCAAGGTGATCATTTCCACTTACCTCAACACCCTCATGCTGGCTGAGGAGCATCTGCACACCTGGCAGATCATAGCCATAATCGTCTCTATCCACAACAGCCTCTTTCTCCTGCATCCATCCCTTCAGGTCATCCACATCATGATCATACTGATGAACCTGGTGAGCTCCTCTGAGATTCTGATGAAGGAGAAGATATGCTAGCAATGCTTATCCTTACTGTCAACTCTTTAGCATCAAGCTAGAAGTACAACAAAACGAAGACAGGGGCTTCCAGCAGGGTCACTGCTGAAATTGTATGCTTTGGGAGATCTTAAATTGTGCTCTAAGTATCTGGTCATATGAAAGCTTTGGCTGTCTTTTGGCTGTGGGCCATTTTTGAAAGTGAAGGTCATGAGGCTAATCCACACCATCAAAAAGCAGCTTGTTTTGCTAAGCAGTCCATCCCCTGATACATTTTGTGCACTACTTGTGACATGCATAATTAATTGCAATTGCTGAAGCACTATTTGGAGATGGCAGGATTGCAGGAATCATTCCAGCACAGTGGATGTGCACATTGCATTTCCCTATGTGACCATGTACATGGGGGTAGGGTTATGCACATCAGCTTTTCAAGCCAATTTTTGACTGTGTGAACAGGGCCAGCTCATCAAATGTATCCCTCCCTCTCCCTCTCCCTCTCCCACCTTTTTCCCTACAAGGAACCCAAGGTGGCTTACACAGCTCCATTTTATCACCACAAAAACCACCCTGAGAAGGTTAGACTGAGAGGAGCACATGTGCCAAAATCACTCAGCGAGCTTCATGGCAGTTGGGGACTAGATTCCAGATCTTCAAAGTCCCAGTCTAACACTCTAACCACTATACTGCCCTGGCTCTCTGTATTCAATGGCACTGCCTAATGAGCTGGGAAGGACCCCAAGAAGCTTAGGATCATACTTCTGCTCTTGTCTGGATGGCTTGACGCAGTCTTTCCCATGAGCCATTGACCTGCTGGGTCTTCTTCTGGATGCCACTTATTTGGCTGTGGTTCTTCAGCCGGGATGCTAAGTCATTTATCAAGAGAACCTTGGCATAGCCCAGAGATTCTACTTCATTTATGAAATCTTCAAACTCTTTCTGTAGAACCTGTAGGTTAGGAAAAGAGATGTTTTGACGAGTTGTTTAGAAGTTCTGCCACAAAAAGATCCCTGCCATCTGTTCTCAGCATAGTGGTCTTGATATAATTTTAAAGAGTAATGGACAGAAGTTTGGAAAGGCACCCAAATTCTGTACTCGGTGAAATCATCTTTAATTTTTATTACTGGAATTTCCAAGATCTCTTGACCAACTAGAAAGAAAAAGGAGGTTAATATTTTGTGTTGGCTTCTGACTATGTTATATTTCTATCCCACCCCCTTTTCTGCAAGAAATTCAAGATGGTTTACATAATCCTCCTCCCCATTTTATGCTACAACAATAACCCCAAGAAGCAAGTTAGACTGAGGTCAAGCAACTGGTCTGAAGTAATCCAGTGAGTTTCATGACCACGTGAAGACTAGAATGCTTGCCTCCTAAGCCCCAGTTCAGCACCCTAACCACCCCCACACAGGCTTTAATTAAGGGTTTCAGAATAGTTAAAATATAAAATTGGCTACTTCATTATTATTCAAAAATGTTAAAACAAGAATGGCGTGTGCATGTGCCAGATGTCTGGACTGCAACTCCCATCATCCATCACTATTGGCCATTATGGTAGGGCTGATGGGAACTGCCACTCAAGAGTAGCCAGAGGGCCACAAATTCCCCAGTCCATGTTAAAACTTACTACACACAGATTCTGAAATGATAACCATACATTATTCAGAGCTGTATGTAACCCAACAATATCAGCAGCTATAAACGACTCCAGTGAAGGTCTTCCTTCCCTATAAGGGACAAAATTGGTTGTACCTCAACAGTCTCCAAATCCTGACCATAATCATCTGAATCAGCCAAGCTTTGCTTGCTCAAAAGCCAGGCAGACACCAACTGGGTTTCCCTCTCAAATTGATGCAGTTGAGATTGCTCCTGCAGACCTTTTATTTGGGTCTCAGCTTTCTGCTGGAGAGAGAGGTATTCTTCTAGGACAGCCTGGAGCTTGGCAAGGATAGTTGAGCTGTTAAAAAAAGTTACCAGCCTTAGAAAAATGACTATAATTATTTGTGTCAATAACAACACCTGGCATCTTGCATTAAACAGGCCCATGCCTGCACCAGCAAACATCATAGTCCGGATCTGAAGCTTTATAATGCAAATGTTCAGTGATGTGACAGTGCATTCTGAAGTGGGTGGCATTCATCACAACACCCCCACACCCTCAAGGCTCTGAAAATGCAGGTTGCTCTGTTGAACCAGTTCAACAAACCAGTTCTAGCAGTTTCCATCTCCTCCAGGATCTGAAACTGCCTGATTCTCAGTGACAGCCTCTGAATAAAGATCTGTAACCACAACCTCTGAAAGCTTCTTTGTAGGAAGAACAGGTCCAATCCCTACTAATATAAGTGCCCAGCTCCCTGACAGAGACACAGCTTGCAAAATTTGTGCAGGTCTTCTTTGGATGACAGTCCTGTGTATTTCATGTCTTCTTAAAGATGACTTCATGCAACTATCTTGGTCATGGCAGCCACTTTCTTTGGGGCTCTGATGGCATCCCACTCATGGGAAATGAGCTATTCACCACAAGACAAAAGTGATCTTCTGCAAGCCACAGCAAACTACGAAAGCCATTTTGATAATCAAGATGAGCAGCTGGCCTTACATCTCAACAATAGGGGAGTCCTGTGTCTCAGTAAGACACAGGCTTGTGCAGCAAGAAGAGGACTTTGAGGTTGTGCTGCATGAATGGAGAGGCGTGTGTCCCCAGGGTCCCTTGCAAGGCTCACATAGGTTGCTGGGATACAATAATTAATATGACATCGGAAAACAATTTGTTGAAGAAGTAGTCCTAAAAGGATTGTTTGTAGAGCCATGGTAGAGATCAAAATGTATTTTCAGACACAGGAGGATATTCACAAATGTATTCTAAGAATGAGGATAAAGGAGAGCACAGCGCGAAAAGATCAGTGCTTGTGCAGCCTTCCTCATTAATGATGTATTTTATAAAGAGGGAAATTGCATGTGTGCAATTTCTGTTTTCCAAAGGGGCAGGAAATACAATCACCACCATGACAGAAAGGGCTGGTATGAACAACTAAGACTTGATGTTTAGGGCTCATTGGCTAGAACCATCCATCACCAATCACCACTCAGAGAAGAGCATGTTATATGGGCATAGCAAAGCAAACCTCATTTTATTCCTGTAGCTATGATGGTGCTATTAATTAAGTTTAAACTGCAAGAATACAAGCAAAACTGCTCGTAGTACTTTTTCAAAACAGGGCTGACAAAGTTAGAATTAACATGAGGAATGTGGAAGCAACCATAAAGCATGGAATGGCAGCTGGGTGAGGGGAAGAGAAATCTTAGTGTGTTTTCAAGAATTTACTTAGAAAAAATTTACCTAACTGCATCACTGAGTACAAGGAAAATCATGCCTTGCAATCCAAAGCTGCTTTGGTGTGTATAGGGAGTGAAATCTCTATAGCGGATTTCCGCTAAGTACAACGGAGACAGCTGATCAGCAGATGTAAACTATTGTGCAAGACTGCTGAAGGAGAAAACATGTCACGGCTCATGTATCACCTACCACCCAGAGCAAACAGCTTGTTTAGACTCCTGAACAGGCCTTCTTCTATAATTTTGAAATTCCTGCATTTTTCAGACAGCCAGACTTATATACCACTCATGTAGCCAGCGTGTTTGCACATTGGGTGATTCTCTGAAATTACATGTGAAGATGACAACCCAGACTGGTTACCAGTTTGGTTCATTCTGATGAGGTCCTTGGTGACAAGGATTCACAGTCTCTTCCACTCGCCTACCTATCTGGATTGTCAGTGGTAGAAGGGGAGGCTCCTATTTCCCTCAGCTTCTCAATTCGGGGCCTGAATCCCTCTAGGTCCAGCTTGGCAGCCTCCACTTTACGAAGCAGTGCTTGAGTAGTTTCTTCATTCTTCCCATAATCTGGAGTTTCCAGGACAAGCCTCCTCTCTGCCATCCAGGATTCCATTTCTAGAAGCTGAAAGAAATGCAGTGATGATTGAACTTGCAGACAAAACAGGCCCTTCCCCGAAACCTGCTCTATAAGGCTGCAAAATCGGAAGAGATGGATGGAGATACAGTGACAGGACTCACTAAGATTCCCCCAAAGAATCCTGGGAATTGTAGTCTGGCTAGCATATTGAGAATTTCCTCCTAGATGTTTCTTGTACCATGCACTCAGGGAGGCGGGTCTGCAGCCAGCTTAAAAGGGGGAAAGAGAGGCTGGCAAAAAGGTATTTGTACAGTTCATGTGGTTTGCAGGGCTTTTAAAGGGGTTTTCTACATATGCTTTAAACCTGCCACATTACCAAGGCCAGATTCTTGGTGGGATGGAGACTGACTCCTTCACACTGGCTTTTTCTCAAGAGCTTTTCCCCCTACCTTTCTGTATATTCCTTTACACAAGCACAAGGCAGCACTGCAGCATACTGGAATACACAAGCTTCTCACAACACAATTTCTAAATAGCACCAGGTTTTCCTCTATGTAAAAGAGACAGTTGCAAAGCGTGGGGGAGGTGCTGGAGGATGACAGCATTGTCCAAATGCACCTGCTGCAAGGGAGGAATCATGACTGCACAATAAATGCCTCCTTGTAAAGAAGCTCAAAGACAAAACTGTAAACTTTTAAAATTGTTTGTAAAAAGAAAAAAGGAATCCGAAAATGTAAAGGGAGCAGCCCCCCAGCCCTCCCTGCTCCCCAGCTTCAGGCCCAGAGCAAGATCTAGAGAAAGTAGCAGCAGTGTGTGTGTGTGTGTGTGTGTGTGAATGAAATAAGACATTTGGATGTTAGAAAAAAAGTTTTATTTGGCATCTAGCATCTGGTGAGCCTTCCTGGGGAAAATATTCCAAAATATTCCTGCTCCCAGTGCTATAAGACCTGTCTGAACTGCTATTAGTGAGAGACAAAGATGGCAAGAGATTCACCATGGACATCTCACATCCCCTTATTTTATTTGCATTGAAGTTCTGAGGAGATGGAATGCTTCACCAGTTTAAGACTTTAAGATAGCCAACACATCTTGAAAGCAAGGAGCAGAATTTAATACCAGTTGCAATTAAGTCATTGCTAGATTGAGAGTGCTGAACTGAAAGTACAGATAGGACAGCCTTCCCCAGCAGATGCTCTCCAGATGTGCTGAACTCCAGATGTGCTGAACCCCATAATTCAAAGCCGGCATGGCCCCTGGACTGCAAACACATCTGGAAGGCATCAGATTAGAGAAGGTTGACTCAAGGAGACATTTCCATTCCAGTTCTAAGCATATATTTATCAAGCCTGAATAAAAACTTTTGATCCTTCAGACATGTACCAATGGGCCCAGAGAAAGACATTGCAGGACACTGCAGGTGACACAGGACTTTCCTGGCCCTTCCTGTCCAATATAACCCCCTGTACCCCGGAATGCCTCTCCTGAGGAGTGAGGGATTTCCTTTCTTGGCATCCCAGGAACTGCAGTGGATCAGGAAGGTTTTGCAGGCCGCCCTTGTGCAAATGTCCTTCTGCTCCTGCAAAACATCTCTGGATCCAAGCCGTGGAGGCAGAACGGGGGTTTGCCTTACCTCTGTGAGTAAATGCTGGGCTTCGTAAGACTGAAGGAGTCTCTTTTTTCTCTCCTGGGCTTTGGCCTTCAGCTGTGCTAAGGAAAGTTCCAGCTCTTTCACCTGTTCCATGATCTCCTGTGAAGCAGGATGTCCTCCACTCACCAGCTTCTGCCCAGTGCTGATCACTGCTTTAGTTAAGGCATCATGGCTGCTAATCTCATTCTCTAAGTTCTGGTAAGTACAGAACAAAAACAGAACTATCACAACTAGACAAAAGCATTTTATCCATTTCTCAGTCCACACAGATCCTGTTTCACTATACTTTTGCTGTGATTTTATTACATGTGTTCTGCTTTTAAATGCTTGCTTTTAATCCGCTACTCTAGCCTTCCCCAGATGGATGCCTTGAAAATGTGTTGGGCAACAATTTCCAGAATCCCCCAATGAACAAAACTAACTGGGGAATGCTGGGGGTTGTCCAACACATCTGGAGGGCATCAGATTGTGGAAGGCTGTGCTGCTGCTTTATTTATTTATTATATTCATACACTACCCTTTATCATGCAAGGAACACAAGGAGGCTGGCATCATTCTCTTTCTCCTCTGAATCTTATCCGCACAACAACAGCCCTGTGAGGCAGGCTTGTGTCTGGCCCAAAGTCACCCAGTAAGCTCCATGGCTGAGTGGGGACCAGAACCCAGATCATCTGAGTCCCAGTGCTGCACTTTTAACCACTACACCACACTGGCATGGAGTTTTCTTAAAATTACTTTTGCTTTCCCCCAGGATTGAAGGCATTAAGGTGAAGACCTAGTATGAAAACAGAGCCCCTGACAAATTCCTAGGCTTTCATTCATGCCTGGATTTCTCTTAGCTTGGCAGCTAAAGTGACAGACACACATACCAGCAAATAGCCTACCAGTTCAACTGCCCCTTAGCACACATTTCAAGTTGGCTGTCAGCTTTTTAAAAGCAGTATTGGATGCACATTAATGTATTTAATACTCCATTCATTTGCTTGGGAAGAAGAAGAAACCCTTTAAAAGTGAAAAACTGGGGACTGAAGGAAGAGTTTTGTATCTCTTCCCTGACAACATCACAGAAACTAGTGAATCCATGCAGTTGGAATTTGCAGGGCTGTTTCAAAGGTCAGCTCTGGAGTGGAAAGGGGGAAGAGTGAGCTGCACACAATGAAGCTACTTTCCCAAATGACCTCATATGAGTCTTCAGAGGTGTCCTCTTCTACTCTCCTAGGTGAAATAGGACCAGAGGACAGCAATACTGTTTGAGTTTTTCTACAGAAATGGGGGCAAGCAACACAGACTATCAACAGTTACTAATATTTAAAGAGGGATACAGAACAGAAACTAAAGTTCTACCTAAATGAAATACAGGGTTGCTGTTAGTCGTGAAGTCGCATCCGACCCATCGTGATCCCATGGACAACATTCCTCCAGGCCTTCCTGTCCTCCACCATCCCCCAGAGTCCACTTAAGTTCACACCAACTGCTTCAGTGACTCCATCCAGCCACCTCATCCTCTGCCGTCCCCTTCTTCTTTTGCCTTCAATTGTTCCCAGCATTAGGCTCTTCTCCAGGGAGTCCTTCCTTCTCATTAGGTGGCCAAAGTATTTGAGTTTCATCTTCAGTATCTGGCCTTCTAAAGAGCAGTCAGGGTTGATCTCCTCTAGGACTGACCAGTTTGATTGCCTTGTGGTCCAAGGGACTCACAGGAGTCTTCTCCAGCACCACAATTCAAAGGTCTCAATTCTTCGGTGCTCAGCCTCCCTTATGGTCCAACTTTCACAACCATACATAGCAACTGGGAAAACCATAGCCTTGACTATAAGCACTTTTGTTGGCAGGGTGATGTCTCTGCTTTTTAGTATGCTTCTAAATTTGTCATAGCTTTCCTCCCCAGGAGCAAGTGTCTTTTAATTTCTTGGCTGCAGTCCCCGTCTGTGGTGATAAAATCTGTCACTACTTCCATTTTTTCCCCATCTATTTGCTAGGAAATGAGAGGACTGGATGCCATGATCTTAGTTTTCTTAATGTTGAGTTTCAAGCCAACTTTTGCGCTCTCCTCTTTCACCCGCATTAAGAGGCTCTTTAGTTCCTCTTCGCTTTCTGCCATGAGAGTGGTATCATCTGCATATCTGAGGTTGTTGATATTTCTTCTGGCAATCTTAATTCCAACTGGTGATTCATCTAGCCCCCCCATTTCCCATGATGTGCTCTGCATATAAGTTAAATAGGCAGGGCGACTATACAGCCTTGCCTAACTCCTTTCTCAATTTTGAATCAATCAGTGGTTCCCTGTCCAGTTCTCACTGTTGCTTCTTGAACCACATATAGGTTTCTCAAGAGACAAATAAGATGGTCTGGTACTCCCATCTCTTTAAGAACTTGCCACAATTGGTTGTGATCCACACAGTCAAAGGCTTTAGCATAGTCAATGAAAATACAGGGTAGGTGCAGGATTTGAGAGTTCAGGTAAGAAAAGGGCTCCCAGTCCTTATCCTTCCTGGGTTTGGCTAATTCAGTCTAATCTGATAGGAGTATAATCCTATCATAAAGATTGCATGCAAACTTCCCTGCAGAAGTTTACACATAGGCGATGAGTCAGAGGCGGATTTGCAAATTAAGAGAAAAGACTTAATTAAGAGATTTGCAAATTAAGAAAAAAGAGTTGCAACCTATTTCCATCCAATTGAGACTGCCCCATCTATGATAGAACCACTTGTTAGATGGCTACAAGGAAAGAAGATACCTAGACTAAGCCTTTGACCAACCCCAAAGTTGTTTTTATAGCCTCAGGCAACAGACCTTTATGAGCTATTTGGATTGCAAAAGGCTGCTTCTAAAGTTAAATTGACTTCTGTGGATTAGAGAGGTTGTTCTAGCTTTTTTTTTATTAATTGTTTCAGATTATCTAATAAGGAACGCTACTTATGATGTAGATACATTCCCATCAGCTTGCTTTCAGATAAGAGGCTTCTGCATTTTCCTTAACAACTAGCCCAGAAAGAAGTTTGGTGGTAACATTTCATTTTGTAGAAGCTTCTCCCGTCCATGGCAAGCAGATGTTCTTTTAATACATTTTACAGTGGTGCAGAATTGTTCATAAAACTCTTTCAAGCACAGAAAAAGGGATAATCACCCCACAGTGATATGTTAGTAAAACAATTTAAAAAATGGAAGGAGACCTGACAGGGAGCCTCTAGCCCTCCCAAATGTTTTCTGAACCATCTGCAGAACTGTAGAAGTACCTTACCTGGTGTTTCTCTTGTAAACTTTGAACAGCTGTAAGAGACTGGCCATAGTCTTTGGAGGATGCCAAAGGGAGTTTCTCATGAATCCAGGTCAGCTCCTCATTGACATCCTGGAGGAACTGGTACTGCAGTTGGCTGGCCTCCAGACCCCCACGCCTCTCCTGTAATGGCTCCCTAAGATTTTTGTACCTGGAGATTCAAAACGGAGGTCATTTTCATTGTTAAGAAAGATTACAGACTAATAGAAGGCTGATCAGGTTGACTCCAGAATAAATGGTGAGGAAGAATATATGATTGGAAGGATGAAAGAGAAGAGAAAGCACGAAAGGGGAAATGAGGAATCATTAGACACCTGTGCACCACATGGTCAACCCTCTCCTCAATCTCATCTGCCAGAAAGTGTTTCTCTTCTTGGAATTCTTGCACTGTGTTGACAAGCCCTTGCAACTGGTCCCTGTGTCCAGCAAACGTTTCTTCTATCTCCTCCTGTTTCTTCAAGAGATCATTTAGAACCTGCACATGATTGCTGCCTTCTGGTGGTTTCATCTCATTTTCTAGATCATCCAACCAGTTCTCCACGTTATGCACGGTGTGTAGGAAACGTTGGGCCTAAAGCCAGAGAGAGAGAGAACCCAGATGTAATCTGACATTTAAAAGTTCAGGGAAAGAATGCAAAATGTTTTGCAGACTGATCTGGTAGTCTGGATCTCCATAATAGCCATTACAAGGCACAGACTTTACACATGCAGTATTTTTATGTCTCTCAGTCATTTGCAACTATGTCAAATCCAGGGTCTTCGGGATAGATGAATCTGTCAGTTTCAGTGTTGCTGAGTTACTAATTTTTCCATCCATACATTTGTTTGTCTGGTTTGGCAGTATTCTAAAGTGAATGTGTGCTTCTGTATACATTGCTGTGTACCTTTCTCCTAACACTGTTTTGCATGTGCTGTTCCTACTACATAGTCTTTTTCCTGTAAGCTATATATTTCCTAATATGTTATTTTTACCAGTAAATGCATTTTTGTGTGATGTACATGTTCTTGTGCACATTTTTACTGGAGAATTGTTTCAGAACATTTGGAAAATTATAGAAATCAAAGTTTTGTTTGTGTATAGCTTCAGATTTGTGAATTAGTTAAGTTTGCATGAAAATACAAGCATACACGTTTCTACCCCATCCTTTTAGTTAGAGTCTTTTTCACCTCTAAGGTTTTACTTTACCTTGTAGGCATCCTGCATCTTTCTCCTCTTTTCATGGCAGTTTTCCAGCAACTCATCCCAAAGCTCATCTATTTCCTGCAGTCTGGACTGGATGGCTTCAGCAGCAAAGTGTCCCTCTCGGAGCATTTTCTCTCCTTCCTGCAATTAAAATACAAATAAAAATTGAAGTTCTTTCCTGTCAACCCTTCCTTCTGAATTATTCCCTTACATACTAACACCCTCACGCAGTCCTACCTTCTTTGTAACTAAGAATTAAATTTCAACTGATTTATGCTCTGGCAAGGATCAGGCTACAAACCATTTGTTTCCTTCAGACTTTCCTGGCTGCACCTCTGCATGCACCTCATTATTCACTTACAGCTTTGATACTATCAAGGTGGTTTCTGTTGGCCACAACCTCTGCCTGGAAAGTTTGGTGCTTTTGAAGTTTGGCCTGAAGATTGCTTGGGTCTCTCCAGCTCTCATCAAGGGCAATACTGTTTTTTTCTGTCATCCAGACTGCCACCTTTGGGAAGGAAAGCAAACAATAAGAAAGTGGAGCTGAAAGGTCAGGCATTGCCTTCATTCAGTTAATCAGGTTTCCTTCTTTAGAAGCAGGGGTTAACTGAGAAACTCCATTCCCTCATAGAGAGACAGACAGTGACTCAGTGGCAGGCCACCTGTGTGGCCTGCAAAGGATCCCTACCATATCCAAATAGGGCTGGGAAAAACCCTATCCAAAATCCCAAAAAGCCTGCTACAACTGATAACAATTCGTAATTCAGATGGATCAATAATCTAATGTAGTATTACAATATTTCTGCATCCATTCCTAAGAGGTTATTTTATTCATTTAGAAAATGTGTAACTTGCCCTTCAGCATAAACTCCCAAGGTGGCAGGCAGGTAAAAGATCTCAAAAGTTGTTTCACCCTTATTCTCCTGTCTGCCCCCCACCCTGCCCTCAGGTCTGCTTCAGGTTTTCTGTTCACATGATGCGGGAAGAGGCAGCAGACTCTGCCCCTACAGATGCTTATTGTTCAGGCACTCACAGGGCACAAGGGGGGGGGGGCGGTGTGCCAGCTCCCTCTGTATTTTTATAAGTCTCATGATGCTCAAGCCTGAAGGCTTGAGTCTTGCTCTGTTTACAGTCCTATATCAGGAGACTAATCCAAGTGCTTTGCCCTAGAGCGGTGATGGCGAACCTTTTAGAGACGGAGTGCCCAAACTGCAACCCAAAACCCACTTATTTCTCTCAAAGTGCCAACACTGCAATAAACCTGGATACTGAGGTTTTAGTTTAGAAAAAACAACTCATACATTAACATCTTTTGTCATAAAAGAAAAACACAATAACAGAGCTTTCAATGATACAGACAGCTTTTTATTGAAAGGTAAAAGTTTGCATTTGGCATGCTTTTGCACAATTAATGTCATCTTTACTGTTGTATGCATGCTGATACTCAAAACTCAAAGCTAAAATCTTGTGTTTATAAAAATGAATGTATTAAAACTCACAGCCAGTCCAAGCAAATCTCTCTCTCATTCTCTCTCTCTCTCTCTCTCTCTCTCTCTCTCTCTCTCTCTCTCTCTCCTTGGCAGCACACTGACTGGCCATGCGAAAGCTTGGACGAGTCTCAACTAATGAGTCGTGGCTCATGACATCATCACCTGGTGCCACTACTCCTTTCCGAGCATGCACATGGCCCCTATGTGCTCTGTTATCCGATGCTTGGCTGCTGGGGAGATGCTGGGGAGACGACCCACATGCCGACAGAGAGGGCTGTGTGTGCCTGCTGTGGCATGAGGAAAGGAGTCTGAGATGCCACCCAGGGACAACATATGCTGGTAGTGCCTGTCTCCTCCCCTTCCCACTCCCTGTCTCACTGACAAAACTCCATTCTGGAAGGTCACTCCTGCAGCTTTGGAGCCAGAGCCAGTGCAGCTGTTTCTGTGTTGAGTGTGAGGTGGAAAGTGGGCGCTCTGTGTTTGGCATCCCAACCACAACATGCGAGCAAGTTTCCAAGGTCAGAGCTGGGGCTCCAAATTCTCCTGTGGCTCGATGCTATGTCCAGATTCACGCAGCCATCTTGCATGTGTGCTTCCAGATGAGGTTTTAATCACACAGTTCCTCTGGCTGATTTGTGGAACTGAGTGGGGAGCTGAAGTGATGCTCAGTCATAACTCCCCCATGCTTTCTTGTGTTTTCCAATGCCCCCCCTTTGCTTATTACTGAGAATCCATTAGGAAGACAGAATTAGGGAAGTGCAAGGAATCTGTCTTGTGCAGAAATCTGCCAAATTCCCTTGTTTTGGTCTCTTGGACTCTGGTCCACTTTGGGCAGCTGCTGCAGAAAAACATTGCTGGTTGTGCTCAGCAAGTATTCACAGACTTCCTCTTAGCTTGGCTTTCTTTGGAAGACCAGATCAAGCACAAGAGGAAGTCCATGGATGTTTGAAAGGACAGATTCTGTCAGGGTTCCCCCTGTCCCTAGACAGAGTAGCTGCACAGTACCTTCCAATGTATCACACTAGGCCCCTTTCATCAGGAAACACCCTAATTCTCTCACCAACATTACATATATTTCAGAAAATGAAATAAATGCACACACTATACCTCAAAGGAATCGCGCAGAAACTTCTGCAATAGCCATGACTCCTCCAGCAGACGCCTGCGAGCTAAAGCAACTTCCAGAAGCCTCTCTTTTCTAAGCCAAAAGAAAGAAAGAAAGAAAGAAAGAAAGAAAGAAAGAAAGAAAGAAAGAACCTGGTGATAAGGTCACATGGAGGCCTAATGCAACTTTCCTACTTTCCACTTCCAACATTACTTCAAAGGGTGTGCTTCACCCTTGGGGAAGAATTCAAGTATCACTCAATTTTCTGTGGTTGGCAAGCAGGTATCTAAACTATGAGAAGCGAGGAAGAAAGAGCAGAGTCTAAAAAGGAGCACACTAAGATGCAATTCTATGCATATTTAAGTAGAAAAAAGTCCTATAACTCCCAACCTTCCCCAGGCAGCCATGCTTGTTGTGGTACACAAAGTGTAGGACTTTCCTTCATCTAAACATGCACAGGATTGCACATTTAGAAGTGTGCATGCCCAGCAGATGCTCCCCTGTCACTGGTGCAGGCAACCCAGATGTTCTGGGCAACGACTTTCATCATCCCTGACCACAGGTCATCCTGGCTGAGCTTTACAGGATTTGTAGCCCAACATATCTGGAGGTTACTCTACTGCCTTTCCATGCTTATGTATATATTACCCAGATTACACAACAAGCAATTGGATTAGTGTGCTTGTGTTTGAAGAGCACAGCAGGGGCCCTAATGAATGCAACACTTTTGGATGAGCGACAAGTAATAAAGGAACCCTGAAAAATTCAGTCCCTGCTTGAGGTGTGGAGGCAAAACTGGAGAAAAGGGTTAGTAGGTGCTACCTCCTCAGCACTGCTTGGCACTTGTTCATGATGCTCTCAGAGTCATAATGCTGGCTGTCCCTCAGCTGCTGGGCAAAGGTGGTCATCATCTCAATCTTGCCCAGCTGGGTTTCCAGGTCCTTTTCAAACTGGGTGTGTTTTTGCTGCAGGCTCTCCACACTTGAGACCGAATCCTAAACAGGAGGACAAAGATGAGCAACCCGGAGAGCTTTCAGGTAGTTCAGTCATGTCTGGGGGCCAGAGCTTGGTCAGGTGCCCTTGAAATGTGTTGGACTGCAAGCCTCAGAAGAAGGTTGCTGGGAGTTGCAGTCCAACAAATTTGGGGTGGGGCGGGGGGTTGCCAGGTTGGGGAAGGTTTCTCTACTGTGTGTGCTCCAGCCTCTCAAAAATATTTGAGAACAAAAGCAGTTTGACAGAGGTTGCTACAGAAGGGAAAGCAAGGGACAGAAAGCATATGAAGAACCAAGAGTCAGGAGCCAAGGAATCCAAGGAACCTAGTGCTTTCCCCAATCTGGCGCTGTCCTGATGTTTTGGACTTCAGCCCCCATCCTGGCCAAAGGTCAGGAATGCCGAGAGTTCTAGCTGAAAATGTCTGGAGGGCACCAAGCTGGGGAATGTTCTCTTAATACATAATAAGCTGTCTGTTGAAGAAAGAGGAAAGTAGCTCTACCTAGGGTGGTGATGTGAAAATCCTCCCTGAATTCCACTTTCTTGCTCTTGTTGGACTTTTCTGTGCTGGCCTAGGAAGTGAACTGAACCACAGTCAAGTCCACAAACACTTGGGAATGCTAGTGGGTCGTTTTTTTGCATTTAACTATTTTCCTGTTAACTTTGCAAAGCCCACAGCCCATGTATGTGGAAGCAGAACTCTGCTTGTGCAGTTGGTATGCAGTGTGGGTGCAGACCAGTTTTGCTGGTTATACCTGCCTGAGAGTTGGACTCACTACCTGCCAGACTCCCATGTGAATACTTCGTGCAAGTTGGGCTTAGGCACAACATATCACTACCTAGAGCTCATTATTTTATCCTTTTGCCTCAGTGACATCTTTTTCTTTCTCTTAAAAAAGTTAATCATATTTATTTGTTTAGGACATTTGGATGCTGCTTCTCCAAAAAGCCTCTCCTTGCTCAACATAGCTTCCAAGATTTGATAGAAACACAAAACTAAAGCAATAATCTTAGATGCAAATTTTACTTCAATAAAAACCAGTGAAATTAAAATATATTATGGAGTAAAATATAGAACACCAATGAATATTTGAACAAGTGTACCTCAACTTCACTTACCCCCAAGTCTCTGTTTGCTAGGAAGGCCTCCTTGCTGCTAAGCCAACTTTCATTCTGCTCCACATAACCAAAGAAAGTCTGTGTGTGTGAAAGAGAAAAACATGGCAAGCTCAGTCTCTTCCTGATAAAACCAGGAAAGTAGAAACTTTACTTGCAGGGAAGAATATTCAGCACTGAAGCCACAAGTTACTACTGCTTGCTCAAGCAATATGTAAAAGAATCCCAGTGGAACTGCTCCCAATATTAGAAGGAGGGGCAGCAGACTGACCCAGATGTAAAACAGTATCTGCTACAGGTGGTAGGTGATGTGTGTGGGAAGTTCTTTTTAAGTATGTAGGTCGGCAATTTTTAGCTCCCCCTCATATCCCTAGATAGAAATTAAGAAGTGAACTTATATCAGAAACAAACTTATCTCCTGCATTCAATATTTATCCACAGAATCAGGAGTGTCTACTCTGGTTGACTGCTATGAACTTTCTAGGGTCACTTGCTACCATAGCCTTTAACTGGAGATGATAAAGAATTAAACTTCAGCCCTTCGACATGCAACGCAGATGCTCAGCCAGTGATCTGGGCTTACCCCTCAACCTGCACATCCGTTAAAAGGAAGAAGGATCTTTAAAAATGCATGTGATGGCATATTTTTCCTACTAAGAAACATTAAGTGTTCTGTATGCATGCGCGAATATAGGGATTTGCTTCCACGTAAGAAGATATAAACACAACTTCTTGATAAAGGCAAGTTCCAGCTCCTCTTTCTTTTTTTTCAGAAATAAGTTCTATGACATGAAAAAACTCTTCTTGATTATGCTTTTTAGGGGAAATGTGCAAGTGTGTGTGCTTGCATGCACCCCCCACCAAACAAACAAAAAGATTCAACAGAAAATATATCAAAACTAACTGAGGGTTTGAGTTTGAGCTGAAGGTGAGCTTGGTCAATCAGTGAAGGTGTCCTTTGGTTCTATTTCTCTTTTCTTCCACTTTGATCAGGGAGAGCACCACTCTTTAAAGAAGGGTAACAGAAACTCGGACCTGCTGGTCTGGTGTGCTCTAGAAGGGCACACGCTTCCTCCTTGGTTCACCCTGTGCCACCCCCTTTATCCCTAGTACTGATCATTTGGGGTTTCCTAGGTTTTATGCAGTACTTCGTCCCCTTAGGTGGCTGAAAGGACTCACCCAAGACTTAGCTACTCTCAGGAAGAATTGTAAGCTAAAATGTGCTGGCCTTTTGGCTGGAGTGCTGCCCCAAGGTCTTCTCCAAAAGGCCCTCTGGTCCTTCAGGCTGAAAGAGGCTCTGAATCCCTGCTATGCAGCCGCCCGATTCTAAGCCCCTGCTTGAGATGTTTCCCAACAGCTCTTATTCTGATCCGGCTGGCTCCTTCGGAGAGCATCGGTGACTGGGTGACAGAGAAATGTGACTGATAAAATAAAAATGTCTTCACCTACCTGTAGGTCTCTGGCTTGAAACAGTTTTAGATTTTGTTCTTGCCAGGTCTGGATCATTTCAGTCAATGCCTGCTGTAGACTGATGAGGGAATGGTGGATCTCAGGGCTTGCATAATGGCCTGCGCTGGCAAGCTCCTGACCATGGTTGCTAAGTGCACTGAACCGTTCTCCTCGTGCCTCAATCTCTGCCTGGAAGAGAGATTGATGTCAAATGTTCATGCAGAACTATCCAGCATATGGGTCTTTGGGGGACAAAAATGCACTCTGCACAGAAAACCTGCCAATATTAACATTTATGTGGAAAGTCATGAGCCTTTGGGTTGTGTCATAGGAACAGCACAGGAAACTCAGAGCTAAAAATTATTGAGGGGGGGGGGAAACCCCAAACCTCTCTATGACTCTAGAAGAGCTGTTTCCCCTCTGAGCCAAATCTGGGATTTATTTGCTAGCTGTAAAGGAGAAATGTTTAAAATACTAGATACTTTTTTTTAACAATGCAGAAAGTGGCAACAGCACAGTGATTTTGCACTTTTTCTCTCTGTTCCTAAACAGTTTCTGGTCCATTTCATTACAGGTGCTTTCCAGATGGGGCTTTTATAAAATTTCATGGGGTATTTCATGTGTATCCAGGTGATGTCATCTTCTTCTCTTTATAATCCTCCTGTGTTTTATCCCAGGCCCTTTTCCATCTTTTTTCTTACCACAGAAAATCTGTTAAGGAAGGAAAGATGCAAAACTGCATGGTGCCTTCTGACTGGTAACACTAGGACCCATCCATCCAGAAGCATGCGGTCTTCAGCACTTTATCACTCTACTCTTGATGTTCAAGTGGGTAATTCAAGGGGGAAAGGGGGTCCACAGAGCAGCAGGGAAAACCAAACAAAAGCGGCTGGCTGAGGCCATGCCCGGGGGAGCACATGGACCAATCAAGTGGGACAGGAAGTAGCAGTACACCCTGGGATTGATTCCCATGAGGGCTGACGGGAGATGTACTGCCATTTGGAAGGAAGATGGAGGTGTGCGGAAACTTCTATTGAGTAGTTACCACACAAATGTGCGGACTTAGGACACAATGTAGGTTACCATGTCATGCGGTGACCATGCTGTGTGCTTTATGTTGTGTGAACACACCAATGGATAATGTGTAGTTCTACCTACAGACAGGCATCAGATTATTTTGCATGATGTGGCTAAAGTATATTGGGATCGGAAGACTAGAGATAATGCTGACAAACGAGGATGGTAGAATTTCAGTGTCCACATGTTTCCATTCCAAAAGATGGCCCAAATAACAGACACTAAAAAGTAAGCCCAAGCAATCAATAACCCACATTTGGGCCTGAAGAAGGACTCTTCAGTTCAGAGGGAAAGCAGAGAGGTGAAGATTGCTTATGCAGCCTTTTGATGAAGTCTGGATTGCCATTGTGTCCAAACATCTCAGCTTTGGTACCAAGACTGCTGCAATCAGGCATCCTTTACAGTAAGATGGGCGAGCTGTGGAGATCCGGATGTTTTTGCCTACAATTTCTATCAGCTCTAGATAGCTTTAGCTATTTCTTTTTTAAATAAAATGAGATGCATCAGTGTGATCATGATGAGTGGGTACAATTCTAAGTAATTCACACTTACCTTTCTTTCCTGATGCTCTTCAATCATACTTTCAGCTTCAGCAAGACTCTTAGGAAGACTTCCAACCTGTATTCGAGTGTTGACTTCTTGAATCCAGTCTAGAAGCTCCTTCAGTTCACGATTGAACTTCTGCAACTGATAAGAGGCTACCAACTTCTCACCCCTGTCACACAAAGAACAAGCTGTCACTTCTGGCCAGATCTATCTACATGCAGCATTCTTCACCGCAGGGCTGAAGCAAACAAATAGCTCCCAATCAACTCCAGTGTGGCTCTCTGCCTGTCTCTTCCTTTCAATTACTCCACCATCCTCTGTCTGCAATAGCTGCTCGCTCTCCACAGGAGCTCTCCAGATTACTGGAGGAGACATTTGGGATTTGGCACTCAGGGGACCTGCCGCTCACAATCTGTAAGATGAGTGGGTAGGTTGGTGGATGAATGACAGAAGAACACAAGAGCAATCACCCAACGAGCAGCACTGGGGAAGAAGCCTAAAGTGAAGATCAACATGTTTGAGTAGTTGCAGTGGTGCAGCCCAGAATTACTGGAGATGGAGGGGAAACTAAATGCACAACTGGAAAGGAAGTTAAGAGAGTGCAAGGTAAACCTGTGTTAACCTCTTTCAGTGATGAGAAACAGTCCCATCTTTGTCCAAGGGCAAAATGAATTGGAATTTGCCTCCCTGGGGACTGACTGACTTGGCCTTGCTTGATCAATGTGGAATGGGTGGGGAGAAGCCTGGAAAAGCCTCCAGTCAAGTCTGATGAAGAGCATCACTGCTTGACTTGGTGGGAAGAGGAAAGCGGACACAAAATGGTGGTGGGACTCTATGCATTCAAAATGGCAGTCTTGTAAATATCTTTACCTTTGCTTGGCCTGACCCTGGAGACGTAGCCAATAGTTTTTCATTTCCTTTTGCTTTGCAGTCAGTCTGTCACTTAGGGAGGATGGATTTCTCTTACAGACTGGGAATGATTCCAGCTCTAGTGACTAAAAGAAGCACATGCACTCTATATAGTTATTGCATTGATTCTCCTAAAGGCACTTTATAATTTAATTTGGAACATCTTGCTTTTCTGTCTACAAATGAACATCAAAATATGGCTAATGAAATAGAATTAAAATACAGAACACATGAATATAGACAATAAAATGATCTTAATGATAAAAGGGCAACCCAGCAAGAAAACAAACAAGTGGAGAAAGGGGGCAGCAATTCCAGGGAAGAGAGAGTTCTAAACAACTACTCGAGAGTAAGTCCCATCATGTTCTATGGGGCCTACCACTAGCAAGTGTGTTTAGGATCACAGCCAAAGCTTCATAAACATATTTTTCCATTTAAGAAGTTAGGATATTGACTAAATATTCACATATTCCATACATGCACATGATAATTAGCTATAGTTTACAGGGTACACATATGTTCCAAGCATAGAAGAAAAGGACAGCTTCAGCCATGTGCCCAGAAAATGGAACCATTGCAGGTTACCATACTCTGCTTTATGGAGACTAAGACTGGCCTTAGACTTGTTGCTGCCCGAGATAGACAAGATGCCCACCCCTGCTCAATACTCCATGGGCAGAAGCTGCCTGGGCTGGTGGCTGGACTAACTTCATCACTGCTGGTGAGGCACAGTCCTCCATGGCACTGGAGGGCACCTTAGTGGTACAGGATTGTCCTCCAGTTCATGGCCTATCTTTTTTGAACTCTTCTCTACCTCATCCCTATTGTCTTGGACACCACAACATTGTGTGTGCATTTATGTGTGTATTAACACAAACCTCAAAAAGCAATGAACCCACTAGTAATTCATACGACATAGATGGATGGGGTCACCACATTAGCTCAAAATAGGGCCTAACTGTCCATGCAGGATACATTTCTCATGAAAGGTTCCCATTTCCATTTCTGGTGTCAACTACTTGGCCTTTTACCTCCATCTTGGATTGAATTATGCTAATTTCTCTCTCCATTTCTTCATGTCTCCGGATTAGGTTTTCTACACTTTCCACATCTTTTCCATAATCCAGCGCTTGCATCAATGCACTCTTGGGGGAACAGAAGGGAGGACAAAGTTAGTTCTTCCAAATCCTTTCATTCTCTTTTTCTTTCAAACTTTTTGATACATTTGCTTAAAAATCTCTGCATTTCACAATTACTGCAACAATTACTAGAAATTTGCAACGTATAAGTGATTTTGAAATATTTCAGATCTGGGAATCCTAACATTAAAATTAAAATAACCTCCAAACGTTAATTTCTTGCTGCATCCTCCTGCACATTACACATTCTCCTTTTGTCAACTACACAGTTACAGGATAAAATGGCATTTCAGTTTATTGAGAATCTTGGAATATTCTCCACTTTAGGAAACACTTCCAAGATATAAAGGGAATGAGAACTTGTAGCAAAACAAATAACCTTTTCACTGATTCTCTCTGTGATATCCTCAATTTCTCTGATCAAGGCATGGATTTCCAGAGCTCCTTCCAACTTCTTCCAATATGCTGTCAGTTCACCATGGAAACTGTTCCACCTACCCATCCAAAGAGGGAATCAAAGTTAGGCCTTTTTCAAAACCTTCATTTTAGCTTCTTTTCTTATTGCATAACCAGGACAACTTTCAATAATTCATTATTGGTAAACATTGACAAAGTGCCACTTTCATTATAGGAACACTCAGGAAATGGGTGGGGGAAATGACAGGCCAAGACACAAAGAAAGTATGGGGAAAAGGGCAAGTCAAGATATTATGGACTGTGTTAGAAGTATAGAAAGGTGCTGTGACATGTTTGGGACTGGTATAATTTGGGAAACTTCACTTCTGGGAAGTCAATATTCACAAGATCCACAACCAAAAGCAGTTTATCTTACAGGATAAACTTGGTTTAACAGCAAATAATAACACTGTATGGAAAAGTTGTAGTTTTCTACTGTGCAATTCCTACCACAGTATTACCAGTTCTGCTATAGTGTAGTAGTATTATGCCCGGTTAGCTCTCATCTCCCAGTTTTCCTTGATCTTTCAACTCCCTGTGATGATGGACCTCTGGTCAGCTATTCAGTAAAAACTGAAAACTCATTGTGATGTTTCAGAAACAAGAAGGAAGTTGTTAGAATACAATCTTGACAGGGCATCAGGGGCTGTACCTGACCTCACCTTACAAACCCATGATTCTACAGGTGAGTGTTTATGGTAGAGTGTGATTGTACATGTAGAATCACCCTTCTCCTTTCGTAGCTCAAGACAATGGCACTACGATTCCATTCTGGCCCTGTAGTTGGCATTTTTAGCTGAATTTATCTTTCTTCATTTGGGCATGGAAATAGATTTCCACACACACCTGTCATTGAGCTGCTTTCTGCGCTGGTAGATTGTCTTCATCTCTTCTGTATTCTCTCTCTCCAGTCTCACAGCAAGGGCATTGATGGCTTTGATGTGTGCATCGTCGACCATTACTCCCTATAAGACCAATGGCAAAGAGGAACAGGTTGCTTTAGGTAGCATGTAGCTCCTCAACTCTCTGCCCCCTGGAAAAGGCAGCAGTGCATGTGGGCTGGGCATCCCCGAATACTCAAAGGAGAAAAGAGACACCTGCTCTGTTTTATACCATTTTCAGTATGAAAGCTGCTTCCATTGCCTAGGAAAAGCATTACATATTACATAAGTGACATATATATTATGCTAGCTAGTGCAATCCCAATTCCAATTAAAATGCTAGTTTTACCCTTACAAGCAGCAGACTGTCAGAGGACAAGGAACCTGAAGGTCTGCCTCCATCCCAACCAGCCTGTGTTGGCACAAGAGGCCCTTATCACTGCCAGTCAGTGGGGGAGCAGTCATGCTGGAGGGCACAAGGGAAAGGCCTTTTCTGCCCATAGCTCTGGGATACCTTGCCAACTGAGGCCCAAGCTCAACCACCTCAGGCCTTCCAGAAAGGCCCTGGACTCATTTATTGCCCATGGCCTTTTCTCTGAATTGTGTTTTCACAGGCCTGCTGATGGTTTTACAGAAGAGTGCTCTTGTATGCTTTGTTCTTGTCATTGTTTGCCCTGTTTGGTTTTTAACTTCTGAGCTTTCTTGAGAAGGCAAGGGTGCCTTGTGTCCTCTTTCATAGAGGACAGTCCTCTATTTCAGGGTCTGCCAGAGGGCCATCCACTGTTTGAAGGTGTCCCCTAACTGAAGGACTGGCTTCTTCATTTCTAGTTTATAGATGGAGAGTCCTAAACTCAATTCAAACTGCTCAGCAGGTTGACAGAATAAAACAGAATTAATCAATCTTAGGTCCTGTTGATGCATGTAATGTAGTTTGAAAGCACTGTAAAAGCAGTCCTGTTTTTATAGCTAGCAAGTATCCCTCTGACATAAAATGTAATGAAGTTAACAAGTTAATTGCCCTTTTCTCTTTTATTGGCCAAATTGGGATGGCATACATGTTATGCTAGTAAGGAATAAGAGCCAACATGGCTTGCTGACTTTCCATTCAGGGTTTTGTTTATGCAGTTGTGAATGCACACTGGAGTTACCCCTGTTCTGCCAGTGTGAGCATCAAGTTCCCAGCCTCAGAGACCAGCTGCTGCAGTTCCCTTTGCACCTGCCATGAGGGGGACTGGATCTCCCATTTCCACCTCTAAGGTTGGAGCTCTGGGAATCTGAATTATTCTAGGGCTCTTCCGATGCCACAGGACCCATACGATTGCTCCCTTTATATCAGTTAGCAAACCTGGAAAATAAGCTAGGACCAACAGTTTGTTTAGGAGCATTAAATCACAGTTCATTGGGAATTTTAACTCAGTACAGGACAGGATCTTCATGCAGAGGAGAAATCTTTGTTACTGGTGCTTGTTCTCAGATTCACAGAACATGTACATGAAGCTTCCACTGATAGTCTCAGTCTACATGCAAAACAAGTGGATCACATTTGGCAATATGGCAACGGTCTCTGAATCCACATAATTTACACCTTAACAGTTAGAATGGACTGAGATCATGAGAGATTTATGTCTGAATGATGAAAAATGTAAAAGGTCTTATACATCCACGATATTTTCTAGAAATCATTTATTTATTTATTTAAAGCTTTTCTATCCCGTCCTATTACAAAAAGTCTCAGGACAGTCATACAATTAAAAAAAAAAAAGCACAGCATCACACCCTCAATAAAACTTCAATTAAAATAGCAATTAAGCTTAAAATACTGGGAAAATAAAAAGATTTTGGTCTGGTGTTGAAAAGAATAAAGTGACAACACTGGGCGCACCGTGTCTATTTCAACACATGACAAAACACAGGCTGAAAATTTAAGTATTTGTGCACAGGTCATGAGACAAAAGTTATACTGTGATGAATGTATTTTCCTAGATCATAATCAGTATCCAGTTCAAAATGGTACAGAAACTGGAATATAAAATAATTCCATTTCAGTGCTCAAATATTTTAATTTGCAGTAAGAACAAAGGGTAAGAGCTTTTCTACACAAGACTGTTAATCCCCTGAACTTCTGCTATATAATGTCTAGATTGTGGAATAGCACAAACAGAAATTGTACTTTCTTTTGCTTTCACAATTAAATGCCTCATGTTCCTTACTTATAAAAAAGCTCACAGAAGCAAAACTGGAAGGTCATGCTGTCATCTCAGAAATTAATAAACAACTGTGAGTATGAAATGATGAGCACAATATAAATGCCACATATAGAAAAACCCTTAAACAAAGAAAAGGGAAACATAAATCATGGGTTTAACAGAGTTACTACCTTGGGAAGCCAGGAGTTAGGTTAAAGTATTAATTGCCTGGGCACTTTTCAATATATACATACCACTGTTCAGTGTTCAACCCACACATGAAAAGCAAATACTCAAAGCATTTTGCACAAAGCATAATTCACATTTTTCAGTAGATACTAAATTAAAACTAAAAAAGCCCCTTATTTAACACTCAGTGTCCTAAACCATAGTCTAAAGTCGAATTGTATAGAGAATACATCTAGAGAAATAATTGCTATGCAAGAGTTATTTTGCACATTCCAGTAACATCCAGATTGTCATCTTTGAGATAATATAGAAAATTAAAGCACCACAACTCCCATAGGAAAAAGTGGCCTGGGATTTTTACTCAGCAAACATGTTCCCTCTCTAGGCTTCTGGGTGCTCTTCCCTGATAGAAAGTGGGGAGGAGTTGCACATTCTTGGCTCAGCTCAGATGTCATATTTGGCAGCTAAAACAAGTATCAAATGAGCAAAACAATCATAATAGCATCTGTAGCAAGCTGTGGGCTTAACAAGCAGCAGGCTGAAATAGGACAGGGTGGAGCAGGAGTGGCTCCAGGCGGAGAAAACAGTGTGCGACAGTGAGGCCACAACTGACCTTGACAATGTTGCTTATACTCTATTTCAGGGGGATATCAAGAATGTCTATTAATTTGTAGCACATCATGAGCACTGCATTCAGAGGGAATGATCGCTAGAAAGGTGTGTGCTGAGTATTACATAATTACGACAAGGGTTGTTTGTGGAAGCATACACAACTAGGTGTGATTTGCATTTGCTGTGAAACTTGTGATGATAACTATGCAGTATCACACACACAGCCCTCTTCAGCAAGACTGTCTTTGAGTCATCTTCCATTATCCAGATCTCCCATCAATTACTTGTAAGAATGGGTTTCTGTAAGGCAGCCTTTCCCAATCCAATTTTGGACTGCAACACCTGGAAAATACAACCTTTATCCTTACACTAGCACTGGGTGCTATATGGTTTTTAACAGAGTTCAGTAGCCATTCAGTTGTTCATTGAGCAAGTTGTTCATACTGGAGCAAGATTTTTTTTCAAGAAATTGCCTTGTCTGGTCTACTCTGGTTTGGCTGATTTCCTGGAGTTGAAATAAGAGTATTATGGCATTCTGCCCAGAACTGACAGATGCATTTTCAGTCATATATTTTGGGGAAGAAGGAAGCACTGGGAAAGAAACCCCATTTTTTCCTCTCTGAGGTCCCAGGTTTTTCAGGGATGTTATGTGCACAATGCAGATTTTCCTTCTGCTTTTAGGGGTATGAGGCCCAGACCGAAATGTACAAGGATAGCTAGAAAACAGGGATTTCTGGGGGGAGCTATAAAGAGGGAAAGCTCCAACAGACACCTCCAGCTTCAAATTGTCCATATGTTTCCCCACGCAGACTGCCAGAAAACAATGTCCCCACCGCTGCCTTTCCAAATCGTCCTTGCCAGCACAAGCATGATGGACCTGTTGCAAAGACTACAGCAGAGACAAAGCTGAATCAAGCAGCTAATGTGCCACAGTTGTCAAACAGTGCCTGGTCACAAGTGCCCAACATATTTCAGTGCCCAAATTAGCAAAGCCCCCTGGAGCTATACGACAGGCCTGCTGTGGTGACTCACCATCACATGGGAAGAACCAGAGACGTCACAACAGAGCAAGGGAATCAAGCAGCTGCCGTGTCCTGCTGTCTTGCCCCAAAGTGTTACTATATTTTCCTAAATGCTTAATTTGTTTTGAAAGGAGCTCTCTGCAGAGCCATATTATATTGCCCTAATTCTCTTATGTGAAATTAAATCAAAAATTTATTAAGGATCAGTGTCACATTTTAAAAGATGGAACTGTTTCACCACTGTTAATTCAATCTTCAGTGGCTAAATTGGATATGAAAAATGATAAACAGGTTTTGGGTCATTAGAGCTCAAAGTCTGAGTTACACTGCACCTTATTAAGCCACACTTTGAGCTCCTGTACCAACACAAAGTGACCTGTATGGATAATGTATAGGCATGTACAGGCACCCAAGTACCTGCAATTTGGTGAGGGTGCTCAGAGAACTGGAGATGGTTGTTTACAAGATGCATGTACATGCTTGTATGCCATCAGTATCTTATACTGTTCACATTGGAGAACACTAATCTATCACCGGGCAAGAAATACTTTGATAGGTATAAGAAATGCAGTAATTCTAATGTCACACTAATCTATACCTTAATCTGCCAAATTGATAGGAAAAATTGGTGACTGGAAATAAAGACATTATGCAGCTATCCAAGCTAGGTGAAACTAGGGGATTCTTGACATGGGGCAGGCATATGGTGACTTTACTGAGGCTTCTTCTATTTTCACTGCGGGCTTTTCACATGAGTTTGTTTCCAGGTGGTGCTGCAGTGCTGTGCAACTGTGAAAAGCACACAACCTTTTTCTAGCCCTAGCTGGCACCCAAAGAGACAAGATTGCATTTTCCTTGCTTGGAGGAAAAGGGGAACCAGAAAAGGAGAAAGTAGACTATGGGAGAGGCCTTTGAGGATGATGATGCCACACACAAGACCTGCAAGTCCATGGGTAAGGGACCATGATAGCACAATAAACAGTTTGTGTAGAAAAGCCCTAGGTCTGGAAATGTGTCTCTTACCCCCAAAGCTCCTCGGAACTCTTTCAGTTTTTTCATGAGCTGCAGGCAGTGCTCGTAGTCATTTCCCACATCACCAACATTAATCATTACTTCCTGGGGAAAAGTGAACAGTAAAACTATTTATTTATTAGATTTACTTCCCACCTTTTTCTTGTTTAAAGGAACTCAAAGTGGCTTACACTATTCTTTTCCTGCTGCTCTCAATCTTCTCCCCAGAACAACAACCCTGCGAGGAGGGGTGCATTTAGAGTTTGTGACTGGTCCAAAGTCACCCAGTGAACTGCATGGTGGGGCAGGGACTAGAACCCAGATCACCTGAGCCCCAGACCTGCACTCTTAACCACTATACCACACTGGCTCTCAGTGCATAGTCTACAAATAGTTGTACACACAGCAGTTCCTGAACATCAAGAAAATCGATCCTTCACTGCTTACCTGGATCAGTGGCATTTTGAAAATTGCAACCTGATCTTCTTAAAAGATCACTGCATTGCATTAAGAACCGTCCCAGCTACAATATTTGCAGAACATGTTGCTTGCTGCAAAAGCATATACTAGGATTGACAATTAAATTGCCACTATCTTAAATGACATTGTTATATTTCTATACTGCCCGTAGCTGAAGTTTTCTGAGTGTTATACAACAATAATCATACAAACATACACTCAAAACACCCAACCAGATTCTAGCCAGGCCTGGCATTGCTTAGCTTCCAAGATAAAGCAGAACCAGGCACTTCAAGCTATACAGGAGCTGAATTAGAAGGTTGAAACAGTGAAAGTCCTATTGGATCAGGGCCTTAACATTATAAGGACAATTCTTCTTATCCCAAACACACCCCACAATCAGTTTTATTTGTTTCTGAATGCAGGAGATTTAGAATGAGGTCTGCTGGTAAAACTAAGGGTTTTAGTTTTACCAACAGAGGATGTAGCCTGTGGTTCAAGCATCCGTGAAACTAGCAAAACACTTCTCTATGTATTGATTTAACAGGGGATACAAAAAAGTGAGAACCAAACTAGATGAAAAGCCACTCATGCAATTGGGAATTGTACAACTGGCTTTTGCAAAGATATGCTGCCTAGAGAATCCTTCTGATTAGTAGGTGGCATACACATTCAAAAATAAATAAAATAAAGTAAAAGGCAGGAACAGGCTGAGGTCATATATGGGCAGGTAGCTTTAAGCCAATTCAGACTGGGCTTCCACCTGCTGTTTACATAGGAAGAAAAGCTTCCATTAGCACAAATGGGGCCTGTTATCCCAATGCAAATAGCAGGTAGGTGGGGGCTGGGGCTGATCCAGATTGAGACTGTTGTGTAGGACAAAGGCATTAAATAATCCAAGCCATTAATCCAATAACCCAAGACAAAACATTAAAGCTCTCTTACCCCCTAGCAGGGTCCTGAGTTGTACTAGACCCTGTTCTGCTTTGGATATTTACTTTGAAATTCCAAAATTGGCTAATTCCATCAATGGAATTTCAAATAATTTAATTCTTCCTTTGGAATGCGTGCTTTGTGTTCTTTTTTAAATGGATAAATACAGAACTTGGGGTGAGGAAATTGGCTAGATAGTGTGCATGGGTCTCCAACACTTGAGTGGGCCTACAGTGCCTGTAGACACAGCTTCTTTCTGACTACAGCTTCCAGAAAAGACATATCAGGGGAGCCCTTTTCTGTGACTTCTGCTTATCCCATTCCAGAAACATCATTTTGCTGCTTGTGCTACCCAGTGCTACTTTCCTGTGCTTTTGCAGTAATTTTTGCTGGCACTGTGGCTGACAGAAAATTCTAAAAATGCACATTTTCTGTTTCATATTAGAATTTTCAAATGTTGCTGGATAAAAAGATTTTTTTTTTTGAATAACAGCTATGGAAGCATACAGACCTTGTCTCTGATCCAGGCCTCTGCATGGTCCACTTTTTGTAGAAATTCCAAGAAATCTCTGCTGTCTTCAAGCATCTTACCACGTGCAGCAACAGCCTTCTTCAGTGTTTCCCACCGTCCTTGAAGGATGCGAGTCTTATGGCGGATATCCCCTGATTTAGGGTGATTCTGGTGCAGGAGAGTTTCTCCTCTCTTCATGTAATTGGGAAGGAAGAATTATTGAGGAAAGACTGACACAACATTGTTGTTATTTTTTGATATTGTTGTACTGTTTTACTTTGATATTGTCAATATTTAATATTGTTTAATTTTATATCATGCTTTGAAACACGGCTGTATTATGTTGTATGAGCATTTTTGACATTGTTGTATTGTTTAATCTGATATTGTTGACATTTGATATTTGATATTGTTTGCTATTTTGCTATTATTATTGGATATATTGTTATATATTTACATATATTTTTCCTTCCGAGACCCTGCTCTAGCAAACCCAACTCTGGTAGACAGGGACATATTAGATTGGGACTGGACATCTCAGGATCTTTCAAACTGCAGCTCCCATCAGCACTAGCAGCTCCCATCAGTACTAGCAGCTCCCATCATGCCCTCATGATGTCAGGATGGCACTGCAGGACAATCTGAAAAACCTTGAAGTGCATATCCCTGAACTAGATGATATGTCAAATAAGTGACCACACTTAATACACTTGTTCTTATTGGGACTGGGTAGTGGGGGCGGAAGGGGGCAGATAATCTGGAAGAGAATGATTAAGAGGAAGGTTGTGGCTTCATAATGCTGCCTCCCTTTTGGAGCTAATCCAGTGGGAGGTGGGCAGACCAGCTATTTAAGACTGCATTCTCTGGGCACTGGGACTCCCTTGGGATAGCAAAGTACCTGTAGCTGGGTGCATATAAGACCATGGTGGACTAAAAGGCCTACAATCTCCTTTCCAGCTCTAAAGTTCTATGAATTTTCCCTGCTTGGTCCAAATTGGCCATGAGAATAGTCCCTGCAATCTATCCAACACTTTCACTACTTCATGCTACAGGCTGGTTGCACCTTACTTTGGTTGAAATGCCGGCTTGGAGGCTCCCTATGGATTCATGGGTGGAATAATTATGCAAGCTGCATTAGTGAGCCCCTTAATGGCTCCATTTGATATGAAGCAATCCCCCCAACCCCGCCCGGACTGCCTCTTAGACTCTGAATATGCATTTGTGATGATTTACAAGAATCCTTTGGGATCTTCTTGTTTCACCCAATCTAAGCCCATGGGTGGAGCATGAGTTGGTCAGGCCTTCCTCAGATCACCTTTGATTTATGAGCTATGAAGCACAAGGAACTCTGTGACTCTGAGCCAGGTTAGGTTCAGGGTGCCAGGGTAGAGTGCCAATGAGGTGTGGGGACAGACTCACAAATCAACATTATTTTTTCAGGTTTTTTATTCTAGAGTAAGTGCAGGGGTCCCAGTGAAGATCAGGACCCTAGCAAGATTGGTTCATCCCACTAGATACCCACATCTGAGGCTCTGTATTAAATATCAATTAAATGACAGTTTCAAGTCCCTTGCATCTGTTTTTCAATCTAAGAATGTGCATTTTACCTCTTTGCTTCTGTGTCCATAAATAGTGCGAATGGATTTGATGAAAGCAACATTCTCAGCACATGGACACAAGTATTGTTTTCTCTGAGATCAGGGAACTTTCATTTTAAGGCCCTTCAGTCTTTGGCTTGCTGGAAAATAAAGACTGCAGCACATGCTTTCAACACTTACCATGTTAACAGTTGCAATTAGATCCTCATGAGCCAGAATCTCAGCTTCAAAGACTTGGTGCTTCTGCAGAAGCTTCATTTTCTCACTCAAGTTGCTCAGATTTTGGAAAGAAGAATCTTCCAGCTTTTGCATGCGCTCCTCAATCCAGCTCTCTGCCTGTCACCAAAGGATCAGTGTGGTTAGTGCTGTATGCATTGCAATGAACCCCAGGAAACACAGACATCCTTCCTACTAAGCCAGGCAACCATTAGTCTAAAGACAACGTTTTCCTGCAAATCCGAACATGGTATTAACAAAGAGCAGAGATATTAACAAAGTTATTCTCTTCCTGCACATTTGGATAGCTGGCATGTATCATGACAGACTGAACCAATTAAAACTCTGCCTCCCATGGGCATTGTTGGTCTCATCATCTGAAAGCAAATACAGCATCTATTGCTTCAAGCAGAGGTGGTAGAAACAGCCTGAGCAGATTAACCTAATCAAACATTAAAAATAAAGAGATTCAGTACATCAGTCTTTGGGTGTACTGACAAAAGTGCACTTTCTGGAAGAAGAGGTTTCTCGGAATAATGGAAGAACATTTGCACACAGAGTGTTCCATTCTCTTGGAAAATATGACAACAATGAGGGGAATGCTGTAAAAAGGCTTTCAGATTTTTTTACAAGAACCGTAATTGTGTGGATGGCCCCAATCTCATGGCTCCTGACTATGGGATTGCTGCCTCTGGTCCTCGGTGGCTGCCAGCAATGTCATCAGGACTCTTGCAACTGGCTCTGCCTCCATGGCTGATATTCTTTAAGTCAGGGATGGGAAGAAGGTAGACCTGGATCATCTCATAGATCTCTGGATGAAAGTAGAACACCAGCATTCTGACTCTCAGAGCATTTCTGTGGCCCCTAGATATTGTCTAGAGGTACTTTTCAGTATTACTCCCCAGACCCCTAGTTCTGTCACTGCACAACAACTGGAGCTGGGACTTTGTAGGACTAGGTGTCTTGGTGGCTTCGCAGTCTCCTCCCCTGCTTCTGCAAAGCACCATGGTTAGCCGAAATCAGATCTATTGACTTTTCAAGCTGGGAAGATAGATCTCATGTTTGTGCCCCTCCCACCCTGCACAGTATGGACATAGTATGGACATGGAAGGTGTGGGGAGGGTGAACCCTCCGAGAGTGGAGGGTTCAGTGCATCCCCACAAGAGTGAGCTCACAGTAGCTTAACAGCAGAATCAGCAAAATAACTCCACCTAAATTACACTTTTAGACTGAAGACAGACTGGATTTGTGTGTGGGAGGACTGTGAGATTCATTCAGGCATGCTACTCAAATCAATTTCCCAGTCCCCATAGTTTAGTATATATCTTTTGCACTAGGTTCTGGATGTGGGGCTCTAATAAATAAAATAGAACCCGCAAGCCTGAAATCTGCCTTCATCTTTTAAATGTTACAAGAACACCATGGAAATAACCCACCAAAAATTGCTCTCACAATATTCCTATACATCTAACACATGCCACAGTTTTTGTATCGTACTATGAATCAAATATTAATATTGGGCAGCCTAGAATCTGGAAAATCGTCCAGATATAGCAGCCAGCCCTGGTAATCATGTTTGAGTGCATGTTCAACTTGGTGCTTATTTTGGTGGTTTGCAGGCTGGCATATTTTACAGCCACAGACATTGGGCCAATTAATCCCGAGAGACTGTCCAAAGGGAAAACAACTACCTCTGGCTACAGTGAAAGGGAAAGAATGTTCCATTCCTCAAACTTTACCCTGCTGCTCATTCTCACCTCAGCTAGATTCTGGTAGAAGAGGGCCAGGAGGAGAGCGGTTTGCAGTTTTTCCTGTCTGCTATGTGAGAGATGTTTGATGCATCTTCTTTTCTCTAACACAGTGTTAAGCTTGTGTTGGATCGGCTTCCTTTCCAGCTCAATGTTCTGTTGCAACCCTTTTGCCTGTGCCTGAAGAGACAATTCCTGAGAAGGAAACAAAATCAAAATTCTTGTCTCTTTGATATACACAAAGGTTCTGCACATGAAATAGTCCCTTTTCAGGTGGAAGGAAATATAAAGGTGAGATTTAGAACTGCAGCCCACTGCAGTCCACTCTGATGAAATTTGGAGGGAATCTGAAGTTGAATCTGAAATTTGGAGTCCACTCTGATGAAATCTGAGAGAATCTGAAGTTCTGGAAGTCTGAAACTGCTTGGTCTTTTTTATCACACTGGTGAAAATAAGAGAGTATACATTGTTACTTATGAGCATTCTTTTGCCTTCCCTCAAAATTCCTTGGATGTTTTGTTTAAGGATGAACCTTCAAATTTGCTTCCATTTTTGCTTTAGGTGAAATCTTATGTCATCCTAGGAATGTGTGGTAATCTTCCCTAAAGAAAAAATAATAATTCTTAACTTACTGAAAAACTGTTGTCTTAATTCAAAATGCTCAGATATCTTGCTTGAGGAGGAACTCCTGAATACCCTGAGAAGCAATTCCATCTAATATGGTTGTATGAATCAGCCCTTCCAGTCTACAAGGTTGTACCCATGCTTTCTGACTGATTTCATGTTTTTATCACGGTACTTTTCCATAGTATCAGCTGACTCATACTTGAAGAACAAGGCTGGCTATTTGCTCATAAACACAAGCATTTTGTTCTATACTTGATATAATGTGTTAGTTACCTTTTCATCCAGGGAGACAAGAAATTTCTCAAAGGCCTCATGTTTTTTGATCTGCTGCTCCACCTCATCCACTGTGCACCCAAAGTCACTGCTTTTCAAATATGTCTATAAAAAACGTTCAGTATTGTTATAGTGGTCATGGGTTTATTTAGACAATATTTGTTATTTTCTTGAATGTGAAATTAGTAAAGATCAGATGTTCAAATCATTTAGCACCTTCAGAAGATATATTTTCTAGGCTCTGTTGTGAGTTTGACCATCTGGTCTGATCCATCAATCAAGCAAAGACATCAGAGAACTTTTAAAAATATATTTTTTCTTCAAATTGAAAGCAAAAAGTATCTCTTATGTTTCAGTGGGACACTGGCACAGAAACACATATTAATAGCATGGGGGAAAGTCTGAAATAATATATGTTGTGGAATATAAAGAGGGAAGAAGGTAAAATCTGCACCGATCCAGCCACACCACCAGTGCGTTTCCTCTTCAACCTTTGAAGTCATGTGATGCACTTCAAAAACCATCAATGTGATGCACTTTGCAAGATTATCCTTGAAAAACAACATTGCTCAAAAAACAGGCAATGGAGTTATCAAAATGCAGTCTTGTTCTCACAACACATTCCCATTCTATCATGCCCTTGGATATGCAACTTTTGTCTATATATATTCAAGGAGTAAGGAACCAATTGCATGAGAAGCTACCAGACGGATTTCATTCAGTGAAGGCATTTCTCAAGGATAAAACAAAGACCCTGGAAATGAATTCCTTTTGTATTGCAACAAATGTGCTCTCCTCCCTGCTGCAACCCTCCAAATTTGTTTTGGTGAACTGGAGACCAAATTCTGTACGGGATGGATCCAGACTGATGGAGTCCTCCTATGCAAGGTTACTCAGAAGTGAGCCACACCATGTTCTCTGAATGTAGGACTGCAGCTTAAGTTGAATCTGAAATCAGCCTGAAAAGTTAGTAATGACTTAAAGCCCATTGGTTTCAATGGGACCTAAATGGAACTAATCTAGTTTGGCCCCATCCCAGTATCTTTAAGTGAGGTAGTTGTCAGGCAATCAAAGCAGAGGTTGTGGTACATCAGAGACAGGTTGCTCTCTCAAAAAACAACATGCAAGAATCCCTGTGAGCTGGACTGTTAAAAGTTCATGCATCCCGGTAAAATCCCCTCCCCCAATTTTAGGTCCTAATTTTGCTTCCTTCAAAATGGGACCAGCTTCAACTATAGAGATTGTTATGCCTTGATGCCTCTTCTTTAAATGTTGCCCTGCACTTAAAAATTTCAGAACTGAAAGATTAAATTACTGTTAGACTGTTTTTGGTTCTGATAGATTGATTTCAGTTGCATTGCACCAAAATTTAAGCCTCTACCAACTTTATATTTCTTTGGAATGTTAAATGCTGCTGTGAAAGCAGTAAATTCTCTGCTATTGAACACTGCATAATTCCGCTTCATCACAATTAAATCAATACTGATGGGTTACAGTAACTGTGATGGTTGATCTGGAGGTTTGTTGTTAGTTTAGTAGTCACACCATGTTCTGAAGCTTATGATTCCCCCCCCCCCCCAAGATTTCAGCCCATTAGCAAGGTAGCATGAGTGACAGGTTAGAGCTTAGCAACCCTTCTGCGACACATTTCACTGATGCCTTGGCAGACTGTCAGATCTGGGTGGTAGTTTGCTTTTGGCTCTACATCTGCTGTCGTTTGTGTAGGTCTGCAGTAATACGCCAGTGTCAGTTCAGTGTACATAAAAATACTTGGTTACATTGAATAATAGGAACAGCTTCCACTGGATCCTATAAATATTTACAGGGAAATAAATGCAACCAATTTCAGCAAATCTCACTATTTTCTAATTAAGTGTGCTTCTTTATTTATTTCATTTCTATACAGCCCCACAGCTGAAGCTCCCTGGGCAGTTTACATCAGCCCATTTAAACAGTCAGCAAAAATAAAATTTAAATATAATAAAATCAGGAAAAAAAACATTAAAAGTTTAAAACAGCTAAAAACATGATAAAAACAAACAATAGCAAAGACTTGCAAAAGAATGGCTCTGTGAGATATCTGGTGATCCTCCTCAAGCCCCTAGGTGGACAAAAACCTCTTTAAAGTCCTCAGAGAAGAGGGTCATATTAACCTGAAGCTGAAAAGTTGTCAGATTTGGTGCCAGCCAGATAATGATGGTGAGGTTGTTCCATAGATTGGGGAGGGGGGCACCACTGAGAAAGCCCTCTCCCTTGTTGTCACCATCCATGCCTCCCCCCAAGTTGGCATTTGGTTGAAGAAACCAGAGGTTGAGTGTAGTACCTGAGTAGATCATGGTTGCGAGAAGTGCTCCGATAGTTATTGCGGTCTTAAACTATGTAATGCTTTATTGGTTAAAACCAGCACCTTGAATTGGAACCAGAAGCATACAGGCAGCCAATGCAAGCTGGTCTTATATGTTTAGAGGTATGGGTTCCAGTTATTAATCTAGCTGCCACACTCTGTACCAGCTGTATCTTCTGAACCATCTTCAAGGGCAGCCCCACATAGAGTGCATTGCACTAATCTAATTTAGAGATTACCAGAGCATAGATTACTGAAGGCAGGCTATCCCTGTCCTGGTAGGAGTGCAGCTGGGCTACCAGCCGAAGCTGGTAGAAAGCACTCCAAGCCACCGAGAGCACCTGAGCCTCAAATGACAAAGATGGATCGAGGAGTTGTACTATTACACCATGCTGCAGAGAGAACAAGGTACATTGTGATTTCACTGGTGCATTTTCTGAATAGTAAAGACACAAAATGCACACAGCAAAATTGCAGTGTCTGTGGGTGAGCAGCATTCTGCACGTCAGCTCCACTCACACCATCCACACGATAAGCCTCTTTGAACTTGGGATATGCACTTGTTACATTTCCAGATACAGATTATACACCTACAGAACATACATCAGGGGTCCAGAACGGCTTTAAGCTCAAGGGCCAAATTCCATTGAAGAGATGCTCCTTGGGGTCTGTATTAAAACCAAGGGATGAAACCAAAAGGGATGGGGCCAAAACTACCAGGATATTTTAGCTGAAAACATTTCCTGCCAGTCACAAAGCCTTAGGTAAAGCATCTCTAGCTTTTTGCATGCCTCCGCCTCCCTGCAAAGCATGAAAACAAGAGACATGCCAAACAGCTGGTGGTTAGGTGAAAAGGAGTAGGGCTTTCTGGGGAACTGGACTGAACCCCTCCCACTGGGACAGACTTTGCCACCAAGCCCGAAGCAATGGATTTCCAGCCTAAGTGCATGAATGGCCCATATGTACTGGGAGGACAGCCTTCTCTGTCTGCAAAACACTGCAGGAGGAGCAGAGATTGCAACTGTACTTCTCCCTGCATTCGTGCATATTGCACAGCTGCCTCCACCTGGCTATGGTAAAAGCCTTGCACTGACATATTCCCAACACGCCAACAAAGGATTTTGGTTTTTGAAAAGGACTGAGACTTACTGTCATTCAGATCTTTATTTTTGAAACCATTTCCATGAAAACTAACTACCATCAGAAAGAATAGAATTACGGCAATGTTAAGGCTCGTCTTATATCTGATCTTGGGGATTCATCTGCTGTTTACTGAGGCTTCATCTGTTTTCCGTGTGGGAGGAAAAGTATGTCCTTTACACAGGTTTTTTCCCCCTGGAGTCTGCATTTCTTTGTCTTTCTCAATAACCGCTTAACCAACCACAAGGTGGCGCTGCAGGGTAACTGAATACCTCAGATCTGTGAGAATGCAGCAGAATTTTATCCAGTTTTAAATTCAATAGCTAATTATCCTCACTATAAATAAACCTCAAAATGTCTGAAAAACATAAAAGAAGCCCTGGAGAGCCTCTTTAACAGGTTTTTGAAACATTTCAGATGAAGTATTTGAATGAAACTTTTTTGGGGTTTTTTTAAGGTGACTAATGCTTAAGAGCATCTAGGAGCCAGCATGGTATATGTAAAATTTTAAGTTTCATCTCCCACTGATAACTAGCTATTTGAAAAGAGTCATTCTGGAAAAGCTAAGATTGGACACAGATGGAAACATGCTTTTATTTTTCATATTTTCCATTGTCAGATAGGCTATTAGAGGGGCTTTAAAGATCCTCATCAGAAATTATATGATTTGTTTCACACTGCATTAAGTTTTCCCTTCCCTAGTTTATCTGATGGGCGAGTATGTTATTTACAGAAAGAAAAGTGAAACTCACTGAAGACTTTAGCTTTGAAAGCACCAATATTATATACCACTTGAAGGGGGAGTCTTTAACAATGACCCTGTCACCTTGCATGCTGAAACATTGTTAAACTTGTGGGAAATTTTACAGTATGATTAGTGTTTTGACACACACACACACACACACAAATATCTTTTACCAAAACACCATACTTCATTGAAGGCCACATCTAGCATTAGACAAGCAAACCTCACACTCCTCCCTCCTATTCCTGGGCCCCCCATATCTGCTCCAGAAACCCACCAAACTTCCAGAAGGGAGCCCATGAGGCAGTGGTGGCACCAAGTACCAAAAGGATCCAGGGCACAGGCCAAAAAGAGAATGCACAAATGTGCCTATTCCGATTTGCATATGCTTTAAGGATCCTGTCCCTGAAGACACCCTTAATGGAATGTATGGACAGGGGAGAAGATGGCATTTGATTTCAGAAAAAAGCCTCAGGAAAGAGGATTGCATGGATGGAGTAGGAGGAGAAGCCCATGTGGGCAAAAAGCCAGGTAATTCAGAGGGATCAGATGCAATGGGGATCATCGGGCCCCTGGAGCTTTGCTTGAGCACAGCCTATGGACAGCAGGGAGGTGAGCTGGTGGCCAGCCAGAGATTTGGGGGCCCAGCCCTAGTGGGCTGCCTTCTAACACTGCCTGTGTCAATGGGGCCTACAGGGAGAGGACAAAATCATTTTACCAGCAGTGCTTCCACTGGTGGATGGTCATTCCTGGATACAAAACTGGAACCTTATAATTTGGGGACATTCCTACAAACCAGAATTGTTTTTCTCCATTAGAAGTAGCCGAATTTAAGCAAATATAGACAAGTTAACATCTAAAACTGAAAGATGAACAAAACCATCTGGAAAAAAGAGCAAAACTCCAGCTCCATGCTCCCACAGTACCTACCCAAGAAGGAAACACATAATTCCACATTACACAACAAAACAGAAGTATTTTTGCCACCACTGGAAAAAATTGCAACAGTAAGAATAGTAAGAAAGGAGGAACAGATACTGCACTCAGTTAAACATTCTTAGTTAACAAATGGCAGTTTGTAAGTTTCTAAAACGGAATAGAAATCTTCACCACTTTCCTCCCAGATCCAAAGGAAGCAATTTTTACAGAGATGGATGGACACCAGGCACTCTCACCAGTCTGATGAGATGTGGCTCTCGTAGTACAAGTCTGCACATTTGTTGCAAGTGAAGCTTGATTTGCATTCCCTTCAGCGTCTTGTTCCTGCAAAGGTTCTGAAACTGAATTCCCACCCTGTTTTCGCGATGGGTAGAGTGCCGAACAGCCAACAGGGTTTATGGACAGTGAGAAGCCAGAACCCATATACTCTTGTTGGAAAGTTTGACTGACCATTTCTGAAGTTGGCGTATTGATGAAAGCAGAAGGAGCTGGGCTTTTTCTGAATTCTCTTACCACTTTAATAGGGAAGGATGCCCAAGGGGTTGCAAGTATCAGAGTTATTTTGGAAATCTTGTGATGAGCTGGAATGATCCCGGCACTTGAACTCCTCACAGAATCTTTACTAGTTGAATGACAGTTCTGAAAGACAACCATATCTGCACCTACATGTGTATTCGTGACTGTTCTTTTGCCAACAGGAGCATCTGCTGCAGACACTGTAGTTGGAGTCAACCATATCTCTCTGGAGACTGTTTGCTGGGGAAGACCAGGGCATTTGGCAGTAGAGCTGACATGAAATTGGGTAACCTGGAGATCTTCAGGGCTTCTTGAGGGAATAGCTTGATGGTCCTCCTGGGGACTTGTTCCACACCCAGAAGATGGAGATGAAATCTTTCTCAGATGAGGTAACAGAAGACTTGAGTAAGCATGGCTGCTTGGTGGAGATGCAGTTCTGCATGGCTTTATTACTATACTGCAAGTTGAAACGTAAAGCTTCACTGAAGCATGGAGATCTGAAAGCTGGGTGTTGTAGCTGGGCTGGGCTGGCTCTGAACAGCAAGGTGACAGCACTGTGTACAGATTTTTTCTCTGCGATGGTGAAGCCTCTGGAATGTCACACAGAGAAACATCCAGACGTGATGTCCAGCACGGTAGAGCTCTCGAAGAAGTAGCAGAAGAGAAAGGTCCTGGAAACTGCATGGGGCCAGCATGACCAGGAGAAGAATGACAAACACTCCAGGAACTTGCTGGATATTGCTTGGAAGGGGCGCGGTGGGACTCAGCACCAACGCTGCTTCGGCCGTTGCACTGAAGACCTCTCTGAAGGGTGGGAGATGAAGACTTGATGCCAGAAGGATTAACACGGCTGCTGCCTTTCCCAAAACCATGCCCTGTATTTGAATGTGCCAAGACTATATCTAGCCTGGAGCTGTAAACCTCAGAGGACAGACAGTGAGATGGCAAGGCACCATTTCTTGGCATGGTCTCTGTGGATGGTAAATGAGCTGGAAAATACCAGGCTGAGTCCGACAGAATGTCTGCTGGTGGCATCCTCTGGAAAGAGCTACTCCAGGCATCTGATTTGGAGGTCGATGGTGGGGCTGCTCGAGTGGAAGAGAGCATAACTTCCACAGTTGAAACATAGATGGGTGTGCCTGAAGTCTTGCTGTGAAGGTTGGTGCATGACATCTTGCAGATTTAACTCTAAATCCTGAAAAGTCAAAGCTGTCGATGCTCCTGTGCTCCAGCGTTTTAAAAGAAACTTTTCATCCTTTTTCTGTTAGCACGGGAAATTTCCATTCTCTCTCTCTCTTTCTGGTTTCTCCAAGAAACGAAGGAAATAACAAAATCTGTAAACTGTTTAAGAACTCCTAGTAATATTCGTTCAGTGCAACTGGCATGAATACTTATTCAATCTGGAAAATGATCGCAGCATGCAGGCGGCAAACAGAAAAGAAATCCAAAAATCCACAACCAGGAATGAGTCTCCGAACTAGGAACGATGAGGAGGAGGTCAGAAGTGAGGCAGAAAGGTGATTCACAGACAAATCCTGACTGTATTATAATTTATTTAGATGACAGGATTAGGTGCCCGACCCTCACCAGTGCTTCTATTGCCTTGAAACAACAGATCCTAACAATCTCTGATGCTGTTTAAAGCCAAACAGCTACACTCAGATCTTCTCTCCCTCTCTCAGTCGCTGCCTATCTGAACTCAGAATAGCAAGATCTCTGTTTAACAGGTCTTAGAAGATTTTCCTACAACTGTTCCAAGGAACGGCACACCAGAACTCAGTAATAAAAAAGATAGATGTATGTTTGCTTAATTTCCTCCATATGTGCCCATATTTACTTTAGAAAAGAGCAATCCTAGACTGAACCTTGCTGAAATCTTTCGACAGCTTAAGTCACTTGGATGTAACTGAAGTCGCTGGCACAAGCTCAACCTGGTCACACTGGCACAGAGAACGAATGGGAGAGTTGCAGGCAGAGCCTCGCTGAATGCTTTTCTCTCTTCACTGTTGCTGGAGTACCCTCCGGATGAAGGTATACACAGCGGCTAGAAGCAATGCCAGACGATGAACAGCTGGACTGTGCTGCAATCCAGTGCAGCAGGAGAAAAACTTTCATGTATGACTCCCTTTATGATGCCACCAACAAAATCCAGCTTAAACACGCACATGCAGAGAACAAGGAATTACTACACCGTGTTTTGGTCAGGTTTTGTTTTTGTTTTTAAGATTCCTACTTTCTGCCACGATTGAGTCACTTTCAAATGCCAGCCTTTTTGCTGAACATAATAGGAATATTCCACATTTTACATAAAACTTGCTCCATCTCTACTGGAAATGAGATTGTGTGGATCTGAGGCAAGTCCTTGCTGCAGCAGTGCTCCATCCATGGAACTGGTGAAAACAAAACTGTTCTGCAGAGCCTTGAGTGATTAATACTGCTCCTTGATTTTAGTGGGTTCTCCTGTGTTATTGTAGTGTTTGCTATCTGCTGTAGCTTTTTCTGCCTTTTGCATTTTATCTTCTTGTGATTTTAATTGTAAATTACTTCAAGCATCAATAAGTGGAGGGGTGATTCAGAAATAAAGCATGTTAAAAAAGCATGTTAAAAAGTTTTTTTTTTTCCTGAGGGGAACAGAGATCTAACAGAAAAACAGGGGCTTGAATGAATATCTGCTAACTAAATTTGCATTCTATAAACTATGGGTTTTCAACATCAACATTCTGACATGATATGTTAGAATATCACCAATATGAGAGTATTAAATACATTACCAATAACATAAATGGGTGGGAATCAGGAAAAAAATGTCATGGCAACAGCAAGCAAATACATGTGAATGTTATATTACACCCTCAGCATATGACTGCTGTAGAAGTTTTCACAAAAATGTCTGTCCTCTATAAGTTTGGAATGTGCAAAAACTCCTCTGAGAATTTGTGCTAGTTTATCAAAACCCCTTTGGCTTCCTCTGTAATTTCCCAGATGTTTGTCAGACAAGAAAACTTCACAGAATTCAGTGCAAATATAGTAGGTTTACAAATCACAAGCTCCAATTGCTCAGGAGTGTAAAAGATAGTGAGCGCTCCACACCTGAAGGTAAGCTCTGGGCTAAGCCACATTTGCACAGGCTGGGGCATTCTTCCCCATAGCTGGTGTAACACTGCCGGTGATTTCTGAGCTGAGAAACGCAGCAAGGATCGTCCCCCTAACGATCCACTGTGTATGAGTATGCAGCAAAGTGAATGAGGACCACAGTTGTTGTTGTTACGTGCCATCAAGTCATCTCCAACTTATGGTGACCCTATGAATGAAATTTTGCCTTCCAAAATGTCCTGTCCTTGACAGACCTGCTCAAGTTCTTGTAAACTCAAGGCTGTGGCTTCCTTTACGGATACAATTCATTTCCTATTTGGCCTTCCTTTTCGTCTTCTGCTTTTGACTTTCCCTAACATGATTGCTTTCTCATGTGAGTCTTGCCTTCTCATGATGTGACTGAAGAATGGCAGCCTCAGTTTTATCATTTGTGTTTCTAGGGAAAGCACTGACTTGATCCGACCTAGGACCCACTTGTGTGTCATTCTGCCAGTCCAGGGTATTTGCAAAGCTTTGCTCCAGCACCATGTTTTGAATGCATCAATTTTCTTCCTGCCAGCTTTCTTCACTGTCCAGCTTTCATACACATACATTATGATTAAGAATACAATAGTTTGGATGTTCTTGACCTTGGTCTCCAGTAAAATGTCCTTACAGTGGGGCGGGGGGGTTAACTTTCTCCTTCCTCTGGCAGCTCCCCCTCCCCTAAAGCTGCTATTTGCCATTAGCAGCTAATAGCTGCTTTCTTTATCCAATAAACAGGACCTCTGGAGGGAAATGGTTTATGTGGAGAATGAGTTAAATTCTTCTTCTACACATGCCACAGACTAATTCCTGATGCCAGCCTCTTACAGTCACTATTTAAAGCACACCACGCACAGTGAATGCCATTACAAGATCAATGTAGTGTGTGGCTTAGCACTTCAGCTCTGCTCTCTCAGCAATCTCTTCCCTATTACACTGATGGCATGACTGCAGCCTGGAGTAGTTTCTCAAGAAATGATGATGCCTATTTTTTATTTTAAAGGCAATGAATGAACATTTCCATCCCAATATTCTGCTACTGTTAAATGGTGAAATGGTGACGCAGGAAGACTTGTGCAACTGCACCATGCAAGCCTGGTGGAACACGGACAATTCTCTCTCCACCCCGCTTTACTGGGACCCTGCCAAAGTCCTACTGGCATGACATGGGCCACACTGACTATAGATACAGGGTGCTTCCAGAGGGAGGGTTCTTAGTACTACCATCTCAAAGGTTTTTCTCCCTTGCCCATAACACTAGAACCCAGTTCATCCCATGAAGCTGCTTGTGAAAGATTCAGGGCAGATAAAAAGAAGAACTTGTCCACACAGTGCATAGTTAAACTATGGAATTTGCCGCCGCAAAAAGTAGGGATAGCCACCAATCCTGATGGCTTTAAAAGGAATATGAACCAGTTCATGGGCAAGGCTATCCATGGCTATGAATCTTGATGGCTAAATGCTACATCTAGTACTGGAAGCAGTGGGCCTAGGCACACCAGTTGCTGGGGAACATGGGTAGGAAGCTGCTGTTGCATTCATACCCATTTTGTGAGCTTCTCCTGGGCAGTTGGATGGCTACTTTGTGAACATATGTAGTGCCAGACTAGATAGACCCTTGCTCTGACCCAGCAAGGCTTTTCATATGTTCTTACAGTACAACTGTTCTACCTCTCCTTCCTTATTGGATTTTCTGTGATAAGGAAAAAAAGTAGTGGTGGTGGGAAAACCTAGGAGGGTTACATATGAAAGCCCTCATGGTGCGGATGTTGCAGTGGCAGAATGAGCCGTGGCAACAAGCTTCTTTTCAAAGCTTTCACTTTGCAAGAAAAGAGGAGCATTCCTTGGACTGCTTCAGCTGATATGCAGTCTCTGAGGCTGTGGCAGGTCTTCTGTTCGGCACCAAGAGCTTGGGTTTACTTCCATAAGCCCATGCACGTTGGCCATGGTGCTGATGGGCTGAAAACTAGACATCTTCTGGGAGCAGGGGCCAGACTAAGAGAGAGAAATGGGAGCAGCTGTGGGCTCCAACTTACTGCTGCAAGAAGGATCTGAACTACGTGAAGCACATTAGTGAGAGAGCCACACATGTGCAGAGTTGCCCCTTTCAGGTCTTATTCCCAGTCCCATACCACCAAGTACCTACCTCCTGTGAATTTGAGATGTTTTCCAGATGTTCACAGTCCCTGTAAAACACATGCAGAAGGTGGATCTTCTCCAGCCACTGCTCCTTCTGTGCCCACTTGTGATACACATTGCTCTTTTCTTCTGAGAGAGCCTGCAATGTGTTTTGGATCTGACAGAACATAAAGCAGCAACAAATAATGATGGTGAGATATGATGCTTGGTGCCTTACTGTTGTTAACAGAAATGCAGTTGGAGTTCAGATTCTCACGGAAAAGACAATAATCATCTGTGTCAACATGCAGGAAAACAGGTGCTTCATTCTTTCTCTAAGGGTCAGCTTGCCATGCTGTTTTTTCTTTGTCTCCCCTGCTTCCTAATTCCAGCATCTAGGGCAAATACGGGGTTTGGTAGGAATGCTGTCTATAGAAACACTGGTGGGAATGAGTCTACATGGTTTGTACGTACTTCTTTTGCTGCTGTTTTCTGTTCCAGCAGCAGTTCTTGTCCCAGCTGGAGAAGCCATTCGTAAATATCATCACGGGCCTCAATCTCTGCCAACAGCTGCTTGTGCTGGTTGATCTTCAAAGCACTAGAAGATACATCTCGGATTTTCTCCTCAACTGCCATTTCTCTCAGCATCTCGGATGCCCAAGAGGAATAATCTCGTACCTTAAGACAGAGGCAAAAAACAAGGACTATGGCTTGGGTTGGTGGTGATCATGTGTAACGGTGCCTCCTGCTTCAATTGGAAGTAAAGCAGCATTAGAAAGCAAGTGTGCTAGTTTGCTAGAACTGTAGAGCTGCCTTAACACAGAACACAAAAGTAATGTTTCTTTTATATAACTGCACATTCAAATGGATTCATGTCTTATTTTAGAAACATAGAAACAGAGCAAGTCAGAAGGGGCCTCCTGGGCCACCCTAGCTCCAGCGGGCTCTGCTCATGACATGCCTACCATGTGCATGTCCAGCCTGTCCTTGAACACCCTCACCAATGGGGCTTCAACCATTTTGTGGAATAGCTTCTCATTAACCGTACACAACAGTGCTACAAGTAAAGAATAGAATTCAGATAGGAAGATGCCCTGCATACTTGTAAGAAGAAAGACCCTTATGTGTGCAAGAGCAGTGGGTGTCCACACACTAGAGGACTTGGCTCCTGATCGAGAGTTCCGTGTGCAGAGGGGACTACAGAGGGGGCAGGTGCGGACTTACTCCTTCCATGGTCAAGGATATAGAAGTTATTATTGGACCTGCCACAGTGGATTGCAGTTGCAGAAAGAAAGTGGAGGGTTGGAAGGAAAAACGTCATGCAGGGCAGGGCTAGCTTCAGCATCTGATCCCTCTGGTCAGTTGCCCAGGCTCCAGTGGACTAGAAGGGGCCACTAAGCAAACAATCTGGACTGGTACCCTGAACAGCTTTGGACAGTTAGGTCTATCTGACATAACAACTCCCCACAATGGGGGCTGGACTCTGCTCTGATTTTTCAGTGCTAGCTCTGCTGGCAATATAATTTATTATAAAGTTGCCTGTTTCATTCACTGTGATGAATATGGCTTGAAACTTTTAACACTGTAAAGTTATCTACATTTTTACAGATAGTTCAAATTTACAAGTATAAAACAACTACAGAAAGTTTCCAAGTGCAGGGAAAGTCTGCTTGCACAAGGCCCAAACAGGACTGTGAATCTTTGCAGCACTGAAACACAGAAGCCTCTTAATTTTCTGTGTTACCTGTGGAATTTACCTCTTTCCTAATGCATTAAGGCACCCACCAGCAGTTAACTCTGTGAAATGTATGAAACAGACCCATGAAAACTGCTTTCCTTATTTTAAAGAGAGAGACATCACTGAAACGCTCACTTGGGCATAAAAGCGGTACAGCCTGCAGGCTTTTTCCAACTTTTCCCTGCATTGTTCCAATTTGCCTCGCAAGGACTCCCAGTTGTCCACCACTGCCTGTTGCTTTGCTTGTATTTCTTTTGACTGACTCTCCGAGCAGTGGCAGAGCACGCCATCTGCAGCATCAATCAGTTCCTGCAGCTGCAAAAAGAGCAAGGAGAAGAAAAGAAAAAGCAAGTTGCTTAGCTTTTAAAAAACTATAACTAAAAATTAAAACTAAAGCATTTCCCAACCGGAAGCCTTCCAGACACTTTTGACTGCAGATCCCATCATTCCTATCCATTGACCATACTGGCTAGGGATGATGGGAATTCTAGTTTAAACAGTTGTAGGGCACCAGGCTAGGGAAGGTAGGCATAACTGACTAGCACTTCTGTCAACCACATTCTGAAGAACCAGGTAACTACACTAGGGAGAAGAGACACCCCAGGCATGTCTTTGGGGAGAAGAGCAGCGGCGTCAGTGAGCTGGGAAAACTTGCGGGGCTTCTGTATATGCTATTAGCTCTCTCTCTTCCTGTTTCAGCACTTTTCAGCTGCAGCTGACAATCCCCCTTTTAAAAATCTATGCATAGCTAATACGTTGAAGAAATATGATTTTGTTTTAAGGACCATTTCCCTGCGCATGTCCCTTTTCCAAATCTTTCTGCTTCTCCCACAGTTGCATTTGTTTGTGACACAAGGTCATGTTTCCAACACATTAGAAGCTGTGCTGCATTTATTAGCATAGTAAATATCTTTTGCATACATACTGCTACAGAGCAGCTGATAAACAGAAGAGAACTGAGGGTAAATATCCCCACCGTAGGCTGAACTGGCAATCATACTGCAACATTCAGTATGTGTGAAAAGCTAGCTGGTGAACTGAGGTCAGGCACAGTTGTCCCAGTCGGCTTTGGTGGGCCCACACAGCCAACCAGCAGCCAGAGGACCTGAAATGAAGCAGTGTGCCATGAGGTCTAGCGCGGGAACCCACAAAGCCTCTCTTCCAGGGTGGTGAGGAGGAGACATCACTGTCACAAGTGGGGGCAGATCTACAACCTCACCCTGCCATCATATAGGGTGCACTTATGTGGATTTATGCTGTGGATAACCCTCTCCTTCAGCCTTAACACCACTATAAGGAAAGACGAGCAATAAAGTTCAGAGGGAAGAACACCCAGTAGAAGTCTAAGAAAGGTTATGAAGCTTTTCCTATCTTACCTGTTGCTCGTTCCCAAACAGTTCATGCTCAAGGGTTGTGTGTTTGCGCAGCTGGGACTGCACACCACTCAGGTCTCTCGCAATGTCATCAGGGATGGTCTTTGATCTCTCCTGAAGGAAAAACAGAGGGAAGTTTGCTGTTAATGGGTTTGGTCTGATTCTGCTACAAAGGAAGTGTAAAGATTCAGGCAGAGAGAAATTTGGGCCCAGCTTAGATGTGATGGAGTCGCCACAACATATTTATGCATGTGTCTGTCCCATTCACTCCTAAAATGGCATTCTGGGAAGTGTGATTTTATACATTAAAAGGAACTGACAAAAGAGCTGAAGAAAACCCTCCCAAAGGAAAATAGGAATTTGCCTTCTATTAAGCCAGACCACTGGTTCATTCAGCCCAGTATTGTCTACTCTGACTGGAAGTGGTTCTGCAGAGTTTCAGGTGGGGTTCTTCCCAGCCCTACCTGGAGATGCCAGAGATTGAACTGGGGCATTCTGCATGCAAGGCAGATGCTCTGCTACTGGGCTCCACTTCTCCCCGCTTCATCTCTCTGAGCTCCACAAGAGAAACACTTTTCTCCCCAGGCTTGAGGACATGGCCCAGGCTTAGTGGAAGAGTGCCAAACATTGGAAGGAGGCAAGGCAAGGGCTTAAAACCTTCAACCAGGCAAACCAACCATCCAGTTTCATAAGGGCAGATGTGTGCATCAAGGGTTCAGTTTAGTTTATTGACTGCCCTGTCTGTCTGCTGTCTGTGCACATTTTTCATGATCTTTTTATGATATGTCTTACAATACACAGTTTTAGTGCTTATAGCCCCAGGCCACAAATGATATTGGAATGTCATGTTTTACTGCTGTCAGCCACCTAGGATGTTTAATGTGGAAAACTGTGATAGAAATTTCTTGAACAATAAATGTTCATGGTTCTCTCCTCACAGCTAATTTGGTCCTCAAAAGGACACAGCAAGGCAGAGAGAAGAAATAGAGCACCCAACCCATATATTTTCTAAAAGGATCTTAACCTCAATGTGAATAAGGGCTTCATTCAGGTCTTGCAGGCACTTGTGAACTGCTTCAGCATGCTGAAGTTGCTGGCCTTGAAGCTTTGTCATCTCCAGCAGCTCCTCCCAATTGTTCCTGATGTGGAAAAGCATGAAACAGAAATAGGGTATTTTTCATGGCTGTATTCATATTTAAGCAGATAATTTTAGAATTACATTAATTCATAGCTTTGCAACTGAACCATATTTACCAATCCACCTCACAGCTTGTACCAGCTCAGTGACAATGACCTTCTCAGCTGACAACTTTGGACTTCTTTAGCCAACCACAGTATGAGGGGCTGAAGTCTCCTCAATCACATGTAACCTTCTGGGAAGACCTTATTGATGCTCCCAAACTAAATCAAGATTGGTAAACCCTCCAGAGGAAGTTGGACCTGCCAATTTGAGTCCAATCGTCACTTAAGGGCAACCCGTTGTGGTGATTTACTAGGACATAAGAACAAATGTCCACAGGTTTCCTCAAGCAGGACGAGTGCAAGACCTCCTCCTGCCCAAAGTCCTCAGCAACTGGTATATGCAGGCAAGGCACCTCTGATGAAGGAGGTAACACAGCAAGGCTAGTAGCCACTAATAGCCTCTTCTTCCATGAATCTGTCCAATCCCTTTTTGAAGCCATCCAAATTGGTGGCCACTTCCCATGGCAGTGAATTCCATAGTTTATAGTTGAGTAAAGAAGTGCTTGTCTTGTCTGTCCCAAATTTTCCCCCAGTCAGCTTCATGGGATTGCCCTGGGTTCAAGTATGATGGAAGAGGGAGAAAAATTCCTCCCTCTCCATTTTCCACTCTCTGCAGAATTTTAATCACCTCTATCATGTCTCCCCTTACTCATTGTTTTTCTAACCTGAACAATCCCAGTTGTTGCAGCCACTCCTCAAAGGAGAGCAGCTCCAGCCCCTTGATAATTTCCATTGCCCTTCTCTGTGCTTTTTGCAACTCAATAATGTCCTTATTCAATGGAAGCAACCAGAATTGGACACAATATTCTAAGTGCGGTCACACCAAAGATTTTTGTAAGTAAAAATTTTTGTAAGTAAAATCTTAGCAGTTCTATTTTCTAATCCATTCCTAATTATGCCTAGCATGGAGTTTGCCTTTATAAGAGTGGCTGCACAATGGGCCAACATTTTCATCAAGACCTGTATTGCTATATTCAGAAGTTGAGGACAAAAATGTCCCTAATGTTTGTTGTATGACTGTTGCCCTTCTCTGCAGGTGCACATGAATAGATCAGTCCTGGCAGCCAACAGGAATCTAACTCCAGTTACTCTTAAATCAGCAGGAAGGCCTTATTTGAAGGGTTACTAGCATTTCAAATGAATAAGCCATAATAGCTGTCTTGTAGCTGTAACATGCAGCTGTGTAACATAATAGCTGTGTCCAAAGAAGCTGTAACATGCAGCTTGACTCTTAGTTATCAGTAAACACATAATGTACAATTGAGGTTTGTCTTCTGTTTCAAGCTAGTGTTAACTGCCTATGGCCCCAATTTGGATTGGGAGCACTGTACTCTGGGAGAAAACATTAAACCTGGAGTATGGTGGCCCTAATTCAAATTGGAACTATGTGCACTTATATTAGAGTAAATCAAAAGGCAAACCTTGGTTTTGTTCTATATGTTTAGCATAACATCTGGTTTGGCTCAAAGTTAAGTTTCAGAAAAAGCCACATTAGGTTTTGATATCTTTCGTGTAAGTTCATTAATCAGCAGAGGCGTGATGTATGTATTTCATGCATCCCTGCTTTCTCTGTGGTTCCCTCAAAAGGTTAAAAGCCAGAAGACTGGAGTCTCTCACCGCAACTGTTTCTGCTTCTTCCGAATTTCTCTGGATTCAAAATGGCCCTGATCCAACATATCTTCTGCTAGCTGATGACATGTGGCAACCCTTTTGGCAGCAACTTCTATCTGGTGCTGGAATGTTTTATATTTGGCACAAATATGCTTCAAAGGAAAAAGAGGAACAAGTAAAAGAAATAAATATATTTTGATGACACATACTTCTGAGTACCTAAGTCTCCAAACTTGGCATGTGTAATCTAAAGTGTGGTTCTAGCCATCCATTCACATGTTCTCTAACTGTGGTAATGGACTACAGGGTTCCAAACATTCTCTGCTGCCCCGTCCTTTCATTCTAGGATGGCACTCATCTAGCAATTTGGAGGCAGCCTTCTCTTTCTCCGCCAGACCAATGCACTGTATGGCAATGACATTGCATATTAAGCAGGTATATCTGGCTCCACAGCCAGAAGACATTATGATGAAGAGGAGTTTGTATGAACTGTTCACAGCATACAACACTTACTTTGATGTCATTTCAGGTAAAGACCAATTTATGTTGCAGGCTTCCTACAGTATTCTCTGAAATATTGCTTTTATGCAGCTTGTTTTCAATTCCAGTGACTGATTCTGTACCAAGTAGTATCCATTACCCAATGTGAGTCAAATTATTTGCCCAAAAACTGCCAGTGCTGGTTGGGAAGTACCATCGGCTTGGTTGGCAGTGGTGCAATGGAGCCAGGGCTTTTGGGGATGCAGTGCCCACATATCTGCAGTCTTCTCTCCCAAGAAAGCCCTCCTGAGCTTCCCCTTGTAGCAGCTGCAGGAGAACAAATCTTCACTGCAACATTAGATTTCCTGCTGCAATGCAACGTATTTTGGTATGGCTTGCTCTCAAATGGGCAGTTAGGGGCCACTGGATTTCCTAAAGACCAGTTCCTGGTCTAGAGGAGAATTGCTAGAATTGGTGTGTTGGCAAGGATGAGCACAGCTGCCTGCCTGTTTGGCCTCTCCTTGAAGAAATGCCTGTGGGGAGGGACTATCATGAAGAGTCCTGCACCTCAAAGCTGACCACCACACCACTGCTTACTGAAGGCTAATACAGTTTGGCTTTTAATGCAAATACATTCTAGAGTGGATTAGTGATCTGATTAATTATCATCATCCACCAAGCACATTACTCCCAGGCTTGCTGTTTCAGCATTGCAAGTGGTTTCTTTAGACATGGAAATATTATCTTTGAACTAACCTTATCAGTCCTAAATTGATATCTTACAACAGATGTGATGCAATGAGTAATCATGCCCAAGGCACAGCTATTTGCACTACCCCAAGCTGACACTCCACCAGTGGCCATTATATTGCACTACATTGCAGGAATGGCTACTAGCACAATCAGAAGTTAGTGCTTTTGAAAACAACCCCAGAGACTAATTTTTCCCAAACAGAGCAGGTTAACAGAACTGCCTTCTGCTCTGCTAACTTGTTTTGTTCCAGGAGCACTAGTTTCAGCTAGTTTCCCGATTCTCTAGGAAGCGCTAGCTTCCCAATGCAATAGCGGTTGTTCCTGCTAGCACAAGGCTTTGGATAGTGTCCTTTGTCAAATATGATGTCACTGTCTTGGTGAAGTCATTTTAGAACAATACATGAAGAATTTCAGTATACCACTTACCAGGACATGCTCATAATCAGTTCCATGGCCATCATAACTGGCCACCTGCTTCTGCTGATGGATCCAATCCTCCAAATCCTCATATTCTCTCAGAAAGTCATGCAATGCCAGAGTTTCCTCCAGCCTTTTCCCTCTTGGAAGGAGAAAAGTCAACAAAAGGTAAGAGATGGGACATAAGGTTGCTGCAATACTACCACTACTGTAAAAACCACAATGAAAACAGCAAATTTGAGATCCCTGTTAAGTTTGAGGATCATCATTCCAAAATGGTGCATCAGGAACAGAGAGAAGCCTTAGCAATGCAACACCATCCTGCTGCAAGTAACTTATACTTAGCAGGAAGGATAGAGGGCTTTCTATTTATATGTAAACATATATGTTTACATATATGTTTGTGCATATGTTTATGTATTGCAGTTTATAAGTAACTGCAGGATTTTATATGTTAAAAAATGGATCCACGATTGTTCATTTATTTATTTATTTATTTTATTATTTATTTTTTGATTTATATCCTGCCTTTTTCCTACAAAGGGCTCAAGGCAGCTTACATCTCCTCCTCCATCTTATCCCCACAACAACAACCCTGTGAGGTAGGTTGGGCTGAGAGTCTGTGACTGGCCCAAAGTCACCCAGTTGGCTCCATGGCCAAGCGGGGACTCGAACCCAGATCGCCTGAGTCCCAGTCCCATGCTCTTAACCACTACACCACACTCAGAAACCACCATGTCACCTGGTAGCATCTAACCAGAATGGTTGCAATCTCTTCCCACATTTCATCTTAAGACCTTGGCCATTCACACTTCATGCCTTCAACATCAAAGCAACCTTCTCTTTTCGTCTTTCCCTACAGGGCTGGCATAAAACATTTTGCTAGACGAGGCAAAGGACAGGTTGGTGCCCCATTCCAAGCAGAGAGGACAAGTGGACAGAAAGCTGACACTTGCTTCAATATTGAAATAGGATGGAGTTGCACTGTCTGTAGCTGATAAGAGTAATCCTAGAATCATGCACTCAAGCCACTCATCCAGTTTCTAACCAGGCCTGACCTCACTTATCTTCTAGGATTAGGCAGGACCAGGCACTTCAGGCTATACAGAAGCTAAGTATATAATGTAATAATGTAATAACATAATATAATAATAATGAATTATTATAGACATGTCTTAATAACTTACTAGCTTTGGGCTATTAGGTACAGTTCTATAAAAATTAAATCATCTGCATTGCCAAGGGCTTCTGGATATTATTTTGTTACATATGTATGTCTCATATTGTGAGAAACAGGGAGCGTGCAATACTATCTATGCAAGCACAAACATGATCCAAACTCATCTGAAGGGAACACATGCTTCCCATGGATTTCCACATAGCTGGTTGAAGCTCACTACCCACTAAAAGATGACTATGAAATATTAGCTGGAAGGGTTGTTTTTACTACCTTGCTCTGGCCAGCTCCTGCAGCCCCCAAAGCTGCGAGTGAACCTGTTCCTGAGGCGCATCAACTTCGTCATAGTGGATAGAACCCGGCAGGGGTAGAGCTTTGGCAGTGTCGGCCAGGTCCTCGACTAAATTCTGATAAATGTCAATTTCATGTTCCAGTGCCTAACAGAAAGCAAAGCAGTAGCTGAAGAAGAGAGAACTTTTGAGAAGCAAAACAAGCTGTCACCCAGCTGCAAAGGCTAGGCCAGACTTTTCCACACACCAGCTGGCATATCTTCAGGCTGGGCCAAAGTTCTGTGAGGAAGATTTTGGGCACATTTGGAGCAAAAAGCTTCCTTAAGATTGGAGGGCAAATGTTTGGATGGTGAGATATACCTCTGGATAGAGGTGGGCAGGTCCATCTATCTCTTTGTCTTTCTTTTCTTCCTTCCAATAATCATGGGCCAATCCATAATTCTGAGGGGCATTCAGAACAGACTTTTTAAAGGACCAGCAGCTGGTTACTAAGCACAACAACTTGGCTTTGTTTCAAGTTTTTAAAAAGGAAAAGAATAAACTCACCAAAGACCACCTGGCCACCTTAAATACCCTTCACTTGAAAGTGCAGCTCTTTTGCAGGCAGAGTATTTTCCCTATCTCCTTTGCAGGTGGAGGTGGGTAGGGAAGACGGAAATCAAGTAAAGGCAGTGGTGCTCACATGCATCTCTTGTGCATTCTTGGCAGAAACAACATCCTGGTTTTTTATTATTTTTATGCTTGCCATATAAGAAACTGTAGGAACCAATTAATACAATAAATGCAGGCATGACTGATTGTTGGAAGGGCAAAAGCACTGCCAGGAGAATTATTCCTGTGTTGAAACCAGGAAGAAGCCAATTAAGGCACAGTATCTTTCAAGAAGATCTGATAGAACTGGTTCTGCATGCAGAAATGTTGCACTAGACTTTGCAGGAGTTTTTCTGCCCCCAGTGAAGAATTGCCAGTGAGATAGTACCTTAAATGTAGCTTCCCTCTTTTACCCATTCTGAATGGAAAAATTATTTAAAACAGATCATAAATAAATAAAATTAAATCCTTTTCAAAGAGCATGTGTAAATTAAAGTACATTGTACTGTACCTAGACAAAGAAAAAATTGAGTGAGTGCATGGGAGGTGAGCTATGTTTGGCTTGGTGAAAAATAGGTTTTCTGTTGAAAATCTGGACTATTGATTCTGATTTCAGACTGATATCAGCAATGGTATCAGAAATGTAACAGGTATATTATGCAGGTTTTTCTTTTCTATTTCTTTTTTTTGGGGGGGGCGGTCTATTACACAGGCCTGCAGAAGAGTTCTTCTAGGCCAAGAAACAAGTAGGAAGGTAGAAACCACAGATTAGAGTACAGCTAAAAGGACAGGGCACAGTTGCTTCACACTTCAGGTGTGTCTGGATACAACCTGTACCACAGGTTGCACTGGCCTTCTGGAAATACATCAGGAAAGTTCCCTTACACTGATAAAGAGTCAGTCATTTAGGCTTCGTGTATGTCAGCGCTGGACATGCAATTTTATGATTTGCGCCTAGCTGGGAAAGAAACTATTCAGCAGCTTTTCAATGCCTCCTAAATTCATGGTGAGATGAGTTACCTTATGTTTCTTTATGAGCCTGAGAGTTGCACCAGCATCTCTGCCATAGTCTTTGCTGGTTACCTGCGGGAGCTTCTCTGCTACCCAGTTCTCCAACTCTGATATATCTATTAAGAACTTGATAAATAAAACAAACAAACAATTATTTGTCCCCCTAAAGATTACATGCACAAAGAAAGCAATCCCATGGTCCCTGGCCAAGCATCTCAGGGATCATAGGATTGGTTGGAGTCTCCCATCTGAGACTGGAGTCATCACTCCAATTTAGGAATAGGAATAGATGATCTGACCTCCACACCTTAGCGGCTAGTGCAAAAACGGCCCTCTGGAGTCAGAAAAGCCATTTCAGAGAAAGAAGGGGGCATTCCAGTAAGTGGGATGGTGAGGAGATTAGAGAGCAAGGATACAGCTTATCCTGAGCCTTCCCTGGTCTCTTTCCTTCCTCCTCTGAAGCATTCTGACTGGATTAGCAAAAAGGCCCACCCAGTGAGATCCTCTGGTTGGGAGGAAAGGGTAGGAGCAATGATTTCCCTGCACTGGATGATGGCCAGCTCTAAGTTTGGGTCTTCCCATCACTAAGTGTACAATCAAAATGACTGTACCTGAATTTCACAAGCACAATAATACTAACAATACCATTAATAAATGATGATCACCAATAGATTATATACTACACAAAAAGCAAATTGAAACACAGAAAACACAGTTGACTTTAATTACATGTAAGTCTGGAGATAAGATCTTCAGTATACGCAAAATAGGTTGGAAGCCTTTCAAGTAGAGGAGCTTTCAATCTGTTTCACATCCATATCAGTTTCAAATGTATTGTTTCATTCTATGCCTTTTCGAGGTTAAACTGATTTGTAAATAATAATGCCTCACAAACAATTGTATTTATGTGCATGTATTTTTCAACATACTTTCTCACAAATCCTGCATTTGTAAATATTTCTTTAAATGTCTGCATTACTAACATCTTAACTATTTTTCTTTGTCATCTCCCTTGTGTTAAATTTTAGATTGTAAGCTTTGCTGGATGGAGATCTGTCTTCTTGAAATTGGAAAGCATATACTATTTCATATGATGGCTATATATAAAAAATAAAACAATGATTCTCTTCTTAAAAGGGGGACTGTTCTGGATTGCTTGATAGTAGGGATGATGGAGAATATCATTCAGTGTTCATTTTGATAAGACCTTACCAAATTTTAACTTGCCAAATCAATACACAAACCTTCAGCATTCACACTGCTTCAGATTCTGTAGCACAGTTCTCTTGTGTGCAAACAAGCTAAAATCAACCACTATAGTTCTCTGGGGAGAGTTTGCAGCTGAATGTTCATCAGAAACCAGCAATTGTGGCACTTGGTGTTTTTGAGGTGCTCTAAAAATGATAACAAAATACAATACAATATACCTGATGGAAGGCAACAGATTGTTGTAGCTGCTTGATTCTTTCCTCACATGTCTTCTCCAGCTCCAACCAGCTTTTGCTGAGCTCCTGACACTTTTCCTTGATCCTCTGGGATGCTGTGTGCTTGCCTTCTTCCATAGCTCTTCCCTTCCCTAGAACCCTGGAGATTTGCTGCTTATGGGCATTCACTTCTCCCTGCAATTCCTAGTAGAAGACAGACATGCAGAAATAATCTGACTAGGTAGGTTGTGAGAATCAGGGATAAAAATAATAGAAGGGACAGCAGAATAGGAAATTATAAGGTGCTTGTCTTTTTTGGAGCCTGAGGGGTAATGGCATGCATTGACTTATTCTGGAATACCATCCCAAATGCACAAAAACCTACAATATAAGAAGACAAGCAGAATGCAATATTATGATGCTATGCATGACCTTTAGAAGAGGGAATTTGCTTTTTGGAAGGAGTCCCTTGTGAGAATTATTTATTTAGCAAAGCAAACATAATTTGGAGTAGGGACATGTTTTAGGGTGATTTGGGAGGAACATGAATGGGATGTATACAGGCGAAACTAGGAGGGGAACTGATTTATTAAAAAATACATCTTGGTATGTGTAGGAAAGAGGAGTGGAAATTGCTTGAAGTTTAAAAGATGAGAAAAACTCTTGGCTAGACCCAGGTCTGTCAAGTTCAGCTTTCTACAATGGGTGGCCTCTGGACAGGGATGCCGTTCTAGCATTTGGCTTCCACACTGCCTTTGAACTAGTGCTGACCAAAAATGTTCTTTAGAAATTCTGTTTGCAGGCAGGAAATTGTAGCTGGGCTGGTATTTTGCTTCCCACACCAATGTCCCCATTTTATTGTGAAGCAAAATCACAACCACAACACAAAAATGGCAAAGCATATTCTGTGAAATATGAGAAGGGATGAAAAAAATTCTCCTGAGAAATGGTCAATTAGCAAAAATGCAAAGTGGGATGAGCTGGGAGGCAAGATCACCTCCACTGCCCCTCCCACTTTGCGTTGGTTGCACATGACCCCTGATTTCACAGCTTCTGCTCATCTCCATAGGAATGCACCCATAATTAGAGTCTTTACCCTATTTCTTAACACCCAACAAGACATATTTTCCCTGTTACTAAAATAGCTTTCAGCAGAGAGTGCTAAACATGGCCTTCATCCAACATGAAATCCAGGAAATATTGAATCAGATTCTTGGTCATGGCTTCTGCATTCTATGCAATTGTAATCTTGCATTCCCTTTTCCAACAAGGTGCCATGTTTTAACTGCCATCACATCTAAAGCATAAACTTTTTAAATTTTCCACTTCTTATAACACCAGAGCTAAGTTAAACCAGTTTCTCATGTTCTGAATATTGATGAATTGAGGTGTTTCATTCTGACATTAATTTTCCAGAAATGGAAGTAAAAACAGATTGCTCATACAGTTTCTAAAATATTTTGGCAAGGCAAGACCACCCAACTGACAAGAAAAGGGAAAAGATTAACTGTTTTATTACATCAATGCATAAGTGTTATTGGAAAATTGAATTAGGTCCCCAGTGAGGTTCCTGAAATCTTGGTTTATTTAATCCATCTGCGGGGTAAATTTCAATGTTCATAAATATCTGTTCAATGGTGTTTATAAAAAACCACATTTTAACCAAGTGTTCACCCTCTGGAGCCATTCAAAATGAATGTCTGTCCCAGTAGGCTAAAGCATCCTGGAGCAAGTTGGGGCAGTAGGCTAAAGTATCCTGGAGCAAGGAGACTAAATACTTTAGATTTGTCAGCAAAGCATATCCAATTATGTTTATTTGTATATGAAGCTTTCACTGCTACATAGACACTGTCCTGAACTTGAATCTAAGCTACTTATGGTTTCACATTACTATTTCCCCTCTATTATTAACATTTTGGTTATGAAAGAAAGAGGGAAAAAAGAACCAAAAGGCAACAGGAGTTCCAACAACCACCATAACTATGTAAATTGTTTATGAGGTGAAACAATTGAGGAAAGGCTACTGTATGGCAGCCTGGTTGTTTTGGACTACAACTCGCATCAGTCTCACTACTGGCCATGTTTGCTAGGGCTGATAGGAGCTGAATTTCTAAAATATGGGCAGCTATCAAATAAGTTGAATATTTCCTCTTCATGGAAAGGTGGCAGCCATATTTCTAGATTGGGAGGGGGAGCTGTGGTCTTCTTCTCAGCTCTAGACTCTTGCACTGACTCCCAGTGGTAGCCAGCTTCTCTTGTCCTGCTCTACTCTGTTCTGTTTTCAGGGACATATAGAGATAGAAAGTAACAAAAAAGTAGCAAGTACCTTGCAATGACATCACAATGACATTATTGTTCAACCTTTCACATCTCAATCAGACATAAGGAAGGAAACAAAATCTACCACAAGCAATAGAAAAAGAATAATAAGGGCTTGCTAGATACTGTTATGCATATAAACTTGTGCCCAGTGTGGAGTTAATCTTTGGGTGGTCTTAGTCCTCCTTGTTCCTGAAAAAACCTTCTGTCTGATTGGAGAATCAGTTACTGACCTCGACACAGATACAAAAATATGGCATGCTTCCACTGCAAAAAGCTGGGGCATCAGGAATGAAGAATTACCTTGTGCTTGTGCAGCAAGCTTTGAGCCACATCCAAAGACTTGACACGGTTTGTCGAGCTGACAACTGACATTCGCTCATTAATCCACTTCATTTCCATGTCATGGTAATGGTAAAACTCATACAATTCCACTCTTGCCTGTAGCAGTTGGCCTTTCTCAGCAAGAGGTTCTTGGAGAGCATCAAACCTGCAAACCAACATTAAGACAGTGCTGTTCACACATCCCAAATCACAGTTCAGGTAATCACATGAACCAAACATTCATCACTGATTAGCCCATATCAGCAGATTCATGGAACACTACAAAAAGTGTTCCATAAAGTGAGTCAGTTGTTAGCAAAGTATCTTCCCGTCTGCAATATTTATAATTTCAATATAATGTTGATCATAAACGTATATGCTCAACTTTATTTCTACACCCAAACCACTGAAGCCTATTAGAACTGCTGTAAAATTGTTGTTTGGGAACAATTTAACAGTTACCTCTTCTATCTTTTGCTCTTTTGCGTATAGTCAAGGCTGTGAAAGTTGGACCATAAGGAAGGCTGAGCAGTGAAGAATTGAGGCCTTTGAATTGTGGTGCTGGAGGAGACTCCTGTGAGTCCCTTGGACTGCAAGGTGATCAAACCAGTCAGTCCTAGAGGACATCAACCCTGACTGCTCTTTAGAAGGCCAGATAGTGAAGATGAAACTCAAATACTTTGGCCACCTAATGAGAAGGAAGGACTCACTGGAGAAGAGCCTAATGCTGGGTACAATAGATGGCAAAAGAAGAAGGGGACGGCAGAATGAGGTGGCTAGATGGAGTAACTGAAGCAGTCGGCGTGAGCTTAAGTGGACTCCGGGGGATGGTGGAGGCCAGAAAGGCCTGGAGGAATGTTGTCCATGGAGTCGTGATGGGTCGGACATGACTTCGTGACCAACAACAACAACATTTATCTTTTGTTGTTTTCTAAATATCCTGTAAAGAAAGTGAGGTAAGAAACCCAAGGAAAAAGCATTGACAAGCCACTCATTCCAGGGAATCTGATCACCAGTGAGCAAACGTACAGCAATAAATTCTAGAGTTGCAGGAAATCATTATGATAAGGAAAGTCAGGCAGCTGTTTTGATCTATACCAACACAGTAGGACAGTGATTGTCCAAAGTGGGCAGCAGAAAGATATGGGGGGGGGGGGCAGTGAGGAAAAAGGAGGTGGCAGGAGTTGTTAGAAAATTGTATACATTAGGCCCTGTGGGGCCCTGTCCATTATACATCAGGCCTGCAGGGCATCATAAGCCAGCATCCAAGACCATCCACACTGTGCCTGCTTTGCTGTCATTGCTGCTGTTGCCACCAAGGAGCCTGCCTTGCCCCTCAACAACCCCACAAGCCGCCATCCACTGCAATACCCACCCCCAATGCCTTGGTGACAGCAGGGGCAAGAGGGAGGGGGCCAGGCAAACAAGGGGCATTGATTAATTCACCTAAGGTACAGACAATCTAACCACACTCAAGTGTTTTGTAAAGCTGTGATTTAGATTATTTTCATTGTTATTTGTGACACGCACTTTGTTGATAAACCATCACTTTATTAGGATCTTTTTTGCTTAAAATACCAGACTGGGTGCTCAAATTCATTCCTAGATATCAGCAACGAGGAAACAGGAATGATGGAAGAACTGATTTTACTTCAAAATGATATTGAGTTGAGGCCAAATTTTTAAAAATCATATCTAGATTTCTGGTTACTATTTCTTTCCTGCCCACTACCCTAAAATGTGCAACAAAGTCAAGATGTACTTTATTGCCTTCCCAACATCACATTTAGAGGCTCCACTGCAGACACCCAGCTTCTTTCCAAAGAAACAGACTGAAAATTACTGCATGTGGGGATGCAAGACTTCTTAGTGCCTTCCAGCCTGATGTTGAGATATTAATATCTCTGCACCAAGCACATCCATGCCATCACCCTAGGAAAACAATGCATCTACAGATGAGATGTACTTTTTTTAATGGGAAGAAACACTAAATTGTTTTACAAAGTTAAATTTTATTTGTGAAATACATACACTTGTTTAACTCTATAGTGCCAGATTGGTTGTTTTAAATTTGCAGTGGCGCAATAGACTAATACAAAGAAAAAGGCATGGGCATGCTAGGGTTGTCTGTCAAGCGGAAAGCGAGTAATAAAGTTTGGGGACCACTGCACTAGGATGTCTGCATGTGTGTTTGCTACAGTCATATCCAGACCTTTCTGCCAGAAGTCCAGAGCAGCATCCTACAGTTACCAAAAGCCCTCTGAGATGAGTGGAGGGTATGTGAGATGCCTGCTGCTGCACAGCACCATGGAGGTTTGAATCTAGGTTCTCCCCATATCCAGCTCCCCATGTATTTGTTGCCTGTTAATTTTTATCCCACCTTTAACTAGTCTGCAGAGTTCTGATTTGTACAGCAAAAGCTGCTCACCGTTCCAAATACTTCTGTGTCTCATCCAGAATCCTCTCGCTGTCAAAATGATTGGTAGCCATCTTCCTGGCATGTAACACAATGGAGCTCATTTTCTCAGCCAGTCCCTGCATTTCATTTTCCAGTTGTCTGTGCTCCTTGAGCAAGTTGCGGCTGGAACGCAAATTGTGGCCCAGCTCTTTATCTTGAAGAATCTTCTCTATCTTCTCTATTTTCTCTTCAGCATCCTAAAGAGGAAATGTTGATAGAGGTGAGATAAAATATGGATTCTTGTCCTTCTCCTCTCTTTTTCTGGCATAAAGTTTCTCTGTCTTTATTATTTACTTCCTAATGTATCATGTCTGTGGATGCAAGTACCTTTGAAACAATGATTTATTCTGTATACACCAATTAGCTTAGACCTAGATTTCATGTTTCAATGCCACTTTTCTACAGAAAACTTTACTCAGAGCAGCTCAAGGAAATTTACAAATCCTGAAACACTTTAATCTGAATTTTCTTCGATAAGGCTACATTCCTTCTACCCAATCAGTGCCTCCGTATACTGGTTATAGATACGTATGTTAGACAGAAAAAGATCCTATAATCGCCAGCATTTGGAGTTGTTGCACTCATTTCCATCTAAATAAGTATATCCTTGCACCCCAAAATAGCTTGAATCATCTTTTTTTCCTGGTAAAAGCTAGAACCCTAAAATGTAAACTTCCATATGCATGAACGATGCAGACTCAGTCCATGAAGCAGAGTCACATTATTTTACTTTCATGCTAATATCACTAGTGAGAGGTTATTAGTGATTATAGCTAAGCCTGGCTTTTTTTAAAGATAGCAAATTCAGTGAAGAGATGACAAAATCAGTGTCAGGCAGGCTGTAGCAGGGTGGTTGTTCCAAAGATGGGTGGCCACCATAGAAAAGGCCCTTCCCCTAGTTGCCACCCTCTGAGCCTCTCGAGGGGTTGGCACCCAGAGGAATGCCCCAGAGGTTGAGTGTAGTGTCCAGATAAACATTTTTAAATGTCACATACTTATGTGTCAAGTGCTCTTTCCTTTACTGGCCATGGCAACAGCTCAGCTCAGCTCAGGTGCTGCAAGCCTTCCCATATCTGCCTCACCTCCAGGAGTTCCATAAGTTGCTCTTGCTGCCCAGCCTGCCTCAGTTTGTCCCCTCGTTCAATCATCTTGGTGTACAGCTTCTCCCATTTCTTCTTCAGGTCTGAGATTTTGTCCTGAATGGACTCTGCAGCATAGTGGCCATCCTGAACAAGCTGATTTCCTGCCTGACACAAATAGTGCATTTGGTCAAAGCAAGTCTCTTGAACATTTTCTTATTTCTACTTGCATGCATTTCAAAGTAATTGTGTATGGTACGAGCCATGATCCAAAGCAACCATCACCAGCAATTGCTGAAGAAAACAGAGATATGTTAACAACAACACAAAGCAGCTCAGTTTTGGATTCTGAATATGCTGAACAGATGCATGCGCTGATCTCCATATGCCCCCATCACTCCTCTGATAAATAGCTAAGGTTGCTGGGCTACTAGACTTTATCATTAAAATACAGGTTTCTTGCTTGTTATCATCACATGAGAAGAACCAGTGTAGTGTAGTGTAGTGCTTGGAGTGTTGGACTGGGATTCAGGAGATCAGGGTTCTAGTCCCTACTCAGGTACAAAACTCACTGGAAGACTTCAGGCCACTCACCGACTTTCAGCCTAACCTACCTGACTGTGGGGATAAGACTGGAAGTGGGAGGATGAAGACTGTATCAGCCACCTTGAGTTCCTTGAAGGAAACAAGGTGGGCTATCAATATATAAATAAATACATGCTAAGTCATATTACCAATGGTCTAGTTTGCAAAACATTGCATTATTTGGGCTTCATTCTTTGATTACTAGAAGCAAAGTATAAGGTACTGTATGACATTTACCATGCATCCTCGGTTGCAAAATTAGAAACTAAAAAACAAAACAAAACTGTGTTTCACTTATAGATATCAGATTGCACACCTTCTGTTAGCATCTGATAATTTCCATGGAATGAATCATTCCAATGAATGTTGAAATCCTCGAAGTAAGCAAGAAATGATTGAAATGGTAAAGTGTATCTATAAAGTGCTGATTCTTTGCCAGTTGTCACTATGTGTCCATGAGGCCAGCCTTACCACTATCAATTCCATAAAATGCTTCTTATTGGCCATCATTTCTTTTTCTGCAGCCTCATGCCATTTCAGTTTCCGTAGGATATTTGTTGGATCACGGTAGGACTCATCTGATGCTATCTTGTACTTTTCCTCCATCCACATCAAAAGTTCGGCAGTGTCATGACTGAACTCCTACACAGATCAAGAATACATTCTTGTTGGTAAGCAGCCTACCTGGGAACTTAAATATTAACATTTCCTGTGATTACCACCACGAATGATTAGTTCCAGACTCTCAGTGCAGAACACAAAAGTAGCAGATCTGTCCAGAAAGCTTAAGGATGATGTGCTTGCTTTTTAAGAAGTAGATAGACAGGTGTCTAGGATGAACTTTAGGGCCCCTGTGAGAGATCACAAGACTTGATGTTCCCCCCATATACCAACTTTTCTGTCAAGGAAAGCATGCAAGTCTGTGTCCTTGCCTAACCATCACCACATTGTGCTAGTTTCTGTATATGAGGGGAAACATTCGAATGTGCAATCAACCTGCATCCTAAACTGACATAGTCCTAGGAGAGCTGCATCACAGGCTTTTTCTGAACATGACTCTTAGCATTTAGGAACACAGGAGACTGCTGAATATTGAGTCAATCTACTCAAGTAGATCTACTCATCTAGTCTAGTATTGTCGACAGTGACTGGCATTGGCTTCCAAGAGTTTTAATAAGGATTTTTTCCAGTTGTGCCTGGAGCAGCTGAGGATTGAAGTTGAAGTGGGGGCTTGTCTCATGCAAACTATGTGCTCTATCACTGAAGCATGTTCCTTCTCTAGCCACCCAGGGCAAAGCATGATAGGAAAGAAAGAGGGGGGGGAGGGGAGGGGGTAAGAACCACAGTATTAATGGCAGGAAAATCAGATGATAGCTGATGGACATCAATTGAAAGAGAGTTCCACCAGTGGGGGACAATTATCAGAAATTATCCCTTGTGCCCAGCTTAATTGCTCTTATTGGCAGGCATATGGATCTAGTCTCCCATGCTGCTCTGAGGATGTAGGCAGGTTGGTTTGGGCAGAGCCCATCTTTCAATTAACTGGACCTAAACAATTCAGTCCAATACAAGCACCTTAAACTGGGTCCAGAAACACACTGGCAACCAGTACAACAGAAATAATATAGGTGTCACCTGACCTCGCCTTGAGTCTACCTGTAACAAAGAAATAGCATTTTGTATCAGGTTGGGTAAATTTAATTGGACAATTAACAGCCCAGCATGATAAAGCCAACTACAGGTGGGCTGTGGCACACCACAGGTCTCTTCTTACCTGTAAGATAAGAGAATCCAGCAGCCGTTTCTTTCGGTGTTCATTATTGTTTACTAGCAATTTCCACCTCTCTCGTAAGGCAGCCATCTTCTCCTCAATTCTGTAAAAGAGATAACAGAAGCTTCAGTTTCTTCAAAATGTATTATAAAGTTGGAGGGACCTTATGGTGCATGTCAACTTGCCTTCAGCAAGGTCCGTGGAATTTTGGTAGCTGCTTGATGGCTCACTGAGTGTGTTTGGGTGACAGCTTCTTGCTGAGCAGGCAAAGGAAGCACCAGTAGGTCCAGAAGGTGTCTACACTGGACACTCCACTGGGAGGAAATTCATTGAACCAGCTGCCAAGAATGCTTTGACCTGGAGTCATGCACTGAGCAGGGAATTGGACTTGGTGGCCTGAGTGGACTTGGTGGTCATTTCAACATGATAGCTCTGTGAGCTGAGGCAAGCTGAATACCTGGCTCAGACCAATCCTCATCTTACTCTACAGTTTAACAAAAATGGCATGCTTCATTTCCTAGATAAAGGAAGCAAGGCTAAGGTTATACAAATTCCTGTTAACAGCTTCATGTCTGGTATCAGCACTGAACATAGTTGCTTTTAAACTTAACAAGTGTCTTTCCTAGAGATATAATTCCTCAGACAGACTTTTGAATTAACCCTAACCCTTGAATTATACAATGGATGTGCGTGTATTGCCATGTGTGGTTAAGTTCGGCACAATAGATAGTGACCAGATCAGGTTATTGGGTGAGGTGGACTGCATGGACCTGTGGTTCATTTGCAGTCCACCCGGAGTGCACTGTTCATTCTACCAGCTTGCTTCTTGTGGACCTCCCTGCCTCTTGATGTCAGGCAGATACTGATGTTGTTTTGATTTTGACACCTGACAACAAGTCTTCTCTGACTGACTAGAAATGTCTTGAGATAATGTCATCTGATTCTAAACATTTTAATTCTGTATTTAATTCTATTTTTTTCTCTTTCTTATCATTGTCCACAACTTGGAACTCATGGAAGACAGAGAGTGCTATCTTTATTACAGCTGTAACGAACAGATATTACATTTGGGATAGATTAGCCTAGGGCTTGGCTTGGAAATTACTCAAACTGGTAAGAAACATCAATCCAGCTACTCTTCTAGATGTGGATAAAGGAATACTGAGGCAAGCTGAACCTAAGTGGCTTGCTTTTCTTGGCTATATCATTTGATGGTTCAGTTCAGATAACATGCCAAATCACAGTTGCACCAACCATAGTTTAATTTAGGATTCCAAATATACAGCAAAAATATATGGTTTACAACTGTTTGATTATATATATGGTTTATATCATAAATATATGGTTTATTTCCATTTTTCCAGCATTCAGCTTCAAAAGTTCACTTCCACCTCCATGGCATAGCTGCCTCTGGAGGCAGAGTGATGGTTATAACATGGTTTGTCAATTCAGACACCATAGTGTGCTGAACTTATTTCAAACTATAGTTCCTGATTTGATGTCTAAGGTAAAGCACAACTTATCAATGTAGATATGAGCCAGCATAGTTAAGCTTCTTTAACTATAGTTTGGCATAATGTCTGAACTAAGCCAATGGACAGGATTGATACAACCCATCGTAAGTGACAATCCATGGTGGATTGTCAGATGGTGCCAACCTAGATCATTTTCAACAGGTGGCTTGTTCAAGGGCAACAAGTCACTTATGGTTTATTTTAAGAGTTGCTATACCCACAATGAGTTATTGTGTTGCCTCAACCCAGACAGCCAAACCCATCATAGGTACTAGGAAGTAGTAGATGAACTGTTTGGCAAAAGCAGCAAAAACCTGCTGTACAGGTTATATGCACACTTTTTTTCATTTAATACAAACAAGCGGACTTCCAAAAATGCAAACTTTAGCACGTTTGCAAAACGTCCAAAATGGGTCCAAAATGGCATGCCTTACCTGGGCAATGTCCAGATAGGTATCTGCTGACAAACTGCAGCAGGCACCCCTCATGGGCATCAACACAGACAGGCTGCCAAGAGCTTTATTTTCACTTGATTTTTTCCTCTTGACAACTGTACTAAGGGCGAGCTGCCAAGAGAAACCAAAGCTGCAGATCCTCTTTGTCTCCACAATTCCAGAACCAAACACATACATGTCAGAAGCAAAATGACCCCTTTCTATCAGCTGTTCTCCATGTTCGTTGGCTGCATTTGCCCGTTGCTTCAGCACCAGTAGCACCTGTTGAAAATCCTCGTGCCGTTTCAGGAGGCTTCGAACAGAATCCACATGGTCCTGAAGAGGTGGAAAGCAAAATGATGATGTTCCATGTCTCATGCTGTACTGTAATGTATGATCTGTGCAATAGTTTAGAAGGTGGGCATTTCTCTCTAGCCAAACTTTTGTTTTCTACCTTTTTTTGCTGTGCAAGCAAGTGACCTTTATGTTATGCTTGTCAGCAAAGATGCCCAACAATTTTAGACACTGGATGGTAATCCATTTGCTAATGATTCATTTGTAGGACTGCCTACCACCATCAACAGAGCAGATTGCTCTTCAGTTATGTGAGGAGAGAACCTCACATGTAGCTTGCCTAGCAAAAATAGTGCAAGAAGAAGGCAAAAAAGCTAAAAAGGGCCTCCTCCAGCATCAGCCCTGTAGCATAATGCATTCTCAGTAGCCTCCAAGTTCAGATGCTTTTGGGGTTCAGACAGCAATCCCACAGGATACTGCCAATGCTGCTAAATTCCCATCTAAATTTGAAAACATACCCCAAGATTGTCTGTCCGGAGAAAGGCCTCATGGCTGGAGAGGGCAGCATAGATACAGTCAATTTCTCTGCTAAATTTCAGCAATTCTACATCTTCCTGGAGTTTCTTCTGTCGCTTTGCCCATAGCTCTTCCAGTTTGTTCCTTTCCTGAGAGAGCTTTTGCACAGACTCACAGACATCCAATGCTCCAGTGCTGAATGGATCATCCATGATCTTTTGACCCAGCTCTTGCAACTGCTTAATCCTACCAACAATCCCATGAGAAGAAGGAAAGCCTTATCATCACAAGTGAAAAGCAGCACACTTCCACCCATTTTTGCGATACAAACATTGTATTGAATGATAGGTCAAGTGTGTTGAATTCAGCTGCATTGAATTACATTGTAAAAACTGAATTCACACAAATAATTTCTCAATTTTCTATTTAAAATGTGCAAATAAATAAATACAGGAAAAAGTGACTTTTCTAATAAATTGTTATGTTCATAAAGCTCTTAAATTTGAATTTTACACAATACCTGCATCAACAATATAATCAGAATATTTAATTGGTTATGACATTCAGTGCTGTTTCATAGCTAAGTTGGATTTCAGTTATGTAGTGATCTCTGGAAATGTCATTTAAATGAAACAACTAAGCAGTTTAGCAAGAACAGGCATGGCCATTCCTTTGTTGTTCCCTCCCACAGTATCATGAACAGATCTAACAGCAAGAAACACCACTGAAGAATTTTGGTGACAACTATGCGTCTACAGGGGGATGCAGGTGGCTTAGTGGCTTAAACCGCTGGGCTGCTGGGCTGACTGATTGAAAGGTTGCTGGTTCGAATCTGCACAACGGGGTGAGTTCCCGTTGCACCGTCCCAGCTCCTGCCAACCTTGCAGTTTGAAAGCATGCAAATGCAAGTAAGGTACCACTTTGGTGGGAAGGTAAACAGTGTTCCATGCACTTCGGTGTTTAGTCATGCTGGCCACATGTCCATGGAAGCTGTCTGCAGACAAACGCTGGCTCTCTCGGCTAGGAAACGGAGATGAGCACCGCCCCTAGAGTCAGGCATGACTGGACTTAACGTCAAGGGGAAACCTTTACCTTTACCTATGGGTCTATAGTGTGCTTCTTGCCATACCTCTTTTTAAAGAAGCCAACCCTCTACTGCAAAATATGAAATGAAAGAAAAAGTCTCCACACCAACCCTTCAAGAAAGTCAGTGTTAGACAGGGCAATTCTGACTGGTCCTGCATGTCCTTACAGGGAGACTTTACCTGGAGTTCTGGCCATGGATCTCCTTCAGCAAGTCTTGGTGTCCTCTTAGCAGTTGCTGTGCTGAGGCCACATCTACACCCATCTCCTTACTGGTCAGTTTATCCTTCATGCCATCTGCCCACAACATAAGTCGACGGCTGTCTTGGAGAAAAGCTTGTTGTTCCTGTGCTACTTGTAAAGCCTTCCCCTTTTCATCTGCCCTTGACTTTAGTTTTGATAGTAGCTCCTCCATGTCTTCTACCTGTTCCATTATGACCCTGCTCTCTGCTGGATTCGTATCCTTGATCCTGTACAATGAAGCCAAAGCACACACAAAGTTAGAACCAGAACTGGATTCCACTGGGATCCATCAAAGAAGGTCAGTTGGGGATAGTTAGTAGAATAGGCACTACTGTTCTTTGAAATGAGAGCCTTAATGGGATCTTCTGTATATTCATTGTTTCATATTTCAATATAGGATTGAGAGTCGAAAGGCTACATTTTTCAACCTAAGAACAGTCCCACAATTCCATACAGTCAGAAAAGAAATGGTCTAGTGGTACAATTAAGAGCTCAAGGTTTACACCAGGAAATCATTAGTTAAAATTTCATCTTGGCTATGAATGTACAAGGTTGTTTATGGGCATAATAATGTTAGTCTACCATAAAGGACTGTTGTAAAGGTTACCAAACTTATTTATCTATGTGAAGTGCAAGCAGCTGGGGAAATGTACTATGAGAGTATCCATGAGAGTGAAGCCATGGTTATTTTGTTGGACTAGGAGCAAGTTCAGTTCAAATTCTGCTTAACTATGAAGCATGATCTTCGAATAGGCACAGGTAGATTAAATATAATATCTACCTTTGCATATGGCTAAACTGTGTACTTTGCTGTCAAAAGATCTAGTATTGTCTACCAATCTGGATGGCTTGAAAAGGTATTGTACAATTCATACTGGGGAAGGCATTTAATAGCTTTGATGTCTACATGCTACCACCAGTATTGAAGGAAGTATGCCTGTTGATAGGGAAGATGGGCAATAGGATGCCATTACATTCACATCCTGCTTGTTTATCTTACAGCCACTGACAGATCATCTCTGCTGCCATCTTATATACAGCAATGTGTGTGTCAGCTGAAGTAGCCATAAAATCCACCCCTCGCCCACCTTACTTGATTCCCCAAGAGGGCCTAGAATGCAGCAAAGGGCTTTCTCCTTACGATTTGGCCACATTCTTCAGGTACTCGATTTTTCTCTCCAGTACTAAGATGTCTTTCTCCGAAGCGCTGAGCTTGCGTGTCTCTGCTGACAGAACGGCAGGGTTCTTCCCACTTCCTAAATCCTCAAGATGGTGCAGCTTTTCTTGGAGCAACCCTTGAGTGTTCTGACAGTCCTGAAGGAAGGTCTTCACATCAGCCACACCAATCAGCTCCGAGCCCTTCTGTTCTTTTAATGCTTCCAGGCACTGCCACCTAAGAGTACAAAAGTAAAAGAAGTGTGCAGTGGGGCTGCAATATCCACAATGTAGGAGAGGAAACCTGAATGTGCTCAAGGTACTTACTCCAAGGCACTTCACTCTGAGGTTAAACTGCAGGAAGTCTCAACAAAAACAAGATATTCTTATTAAGAAAAAGATTGTGATGATTTGCACAAGTTCTTTCCTATATAGGCAAATATGCATCTCAGGGTGTAAAGTTCATATTGTGTACACTGTATATTCACAAATTGAGCCTTCACTGCATGCCATCTCCTGCAAGTCCTATGCTTTAAATAAAAAAGGATTCCATCCAAATGGTCCAGGATCAAACTATATTTTATTATATGACGTCCTGTTCTGTTTTTCAGAGTTTTTTTGTTTACTGAGCAAAGTATTCCTGTATTACATGTTGCCTCGCCAAAGTTGCTCTCCATGTTTCCAGGGAAGCTCTTACTGGTGCCAATAAGAATGTCCCTTGAAATACAAGTAGCACTATTCCACAATCAAACTGAAACTAACTGAGAGCTCTCAGTGTCACAACAAAACAATTACCCTCATTTGCCTTTACGTAATTAATGTTTCTCTCTCAAAAGAAGGCTAAATTAAATGTTCCCAACCTGATGCTCTCCATATATGCTGGATCACAGCTTCCATCATGCTTGTCACTTCTGGGTGGGGATGATAGATGCTATAGTCCAATCCCCTAAAGAGAAGGCTGGGAAGGCTAACTACATGTTACATGAACTGGGTGTATCCCACACAAACACTGGAAGGTAGGAGCTTTATTCCTGCCTTGTATGTGTTTTCCAAATTTTGCATGCCTTCAAACTTGATGAGAAGTATGTGTATTTTATGCTTGGACATACATAGCAGAACAGCCTTCTAAAGTGGGAATGATTCCAGAGCTGAATGGATCAACTTTTACCTCATGCTTATCTCTTTTTTACAAGTTTGGATTTCATTCTGTTTTCCAGGGCTGCTCTTTGAAAACATGTCTGCCAGGCAATTGATGTCATCTAGCTGGGTCTTCCCAGCAGCCAATTCCGTTAGGAAACTCTAAAGAGAGAGTGCATGAAAGAGAGAGAAGTCCGATAGCAAAATTAAAGAAATAGGCCCTCTTCCAAACTTTACCATACCTAAAATAATCATTCACAACCTAGTACCAAAACTAGTTATTGTAACTAAACCAGAATTCTTTCACATCAGTCTTGCCTTGCCTTCTATTAGCTTATTTAGTTTTTTGAGGCTTCAGAATTTATTGAACAAAAAAAGTTCTAGTAACCACTTTTAATTAAAAAGTTACACATCAACAATTGTTTGCTTAGGAGGGTTTCAGTGTGCGATTAATAAATTAGAATTTACCGGGTTGTCTGGTTCTGTCCTTTTAGGCTTCAACAGAGACCATGGCTTTCTGTTGTATTACACTAAGGGCATGGGCCTATACAGGCCTGGACAGTTGCTAGAAGTTGTCGGCCTTTTTTCCTGTCTAAACATGCAAAGGATTGCACTTTAACTTAGCAAGGCTAGGGTGGTTGTGTTGTCACACACAGTTACTTCATTCACGAATGACTACTTCTCTTCAACTTTGACAAAATTGTTGTAAGCCGCCCCAAGGCTTCGGCGAATGGGGCGGCATAAAAATGTTTTAATAAATAAATAAATAAATAAATAAAATTATCCTTTTTGTGCTGCATTTCAATTGTCACCACTGTTTATGTTTTTCCTTGTACTCATGTGTACACACACACAGTTCATGCATCTCATTAAAAAGATTCTAGATCATGAAGTTGGATGGCCTAGAAAATGCCACAAGTCTAAGTGCATCTTTGCTGCAAAACAACATGGATCTCTCTGGAAGTCTCCTCAGGGTCACTGTCTTTAGGTTACATTCTAAACTGAAGTAATTTGCTTCTGACTTCAGTGTTACTCTGATTTCTTTTTGCACTGTTTGCATAGCAACTGTAGTTTCCCTCATGTTAATATCTTTGGAAACAAATAAATGGAAATTCCAGACTCTCTTAAACTCAACACAGAATCATGCAAATTCACCTTGTTTCATACCAACAAGAAATTTCAGAGCAATGCATCTAATGACTGTCTGGGGCCATTCTCTGATTATTCTACATTTCAAGGAGTAGTGAACTATAGTAACTTAGTTTGAAAATGAGGTGGTTCCAGAACTCTTGTAGTCATGGGTTGTCTATTTCATTTTAACTCTTTTGGGGAATTATCCTATTGGTTGTGTCCTCAATACCTATAAGCCTCTGGATGCGGAGCCTTACAAACATCCAGCGCAGAGCAGGAGGAATGGCAGAGTCCATCTTCTGCTTCCTGTACCTCCCTCTTAGCAATTCAGTTAAACAACCATTTTTGACTGTCTAGCTGAAGTGCTTTGGAGGGGGAGGAAAAGATGTAGGAGTGGCTAGGATAACATATCCTGGTGTCCCTGGTGTTCCTGCCCTCCCTGACTCCCTGAATTCTTCTTTGACTCCTCTTTATGGTCCATTAGCTGTCATGATTCTTTCTGTGCTGGAGGGAAATCACAGAACAATTCCCTAGTTTCAAGACTGGGACTCTCACTTTAATCTCTAATGGGGAACCCAAAGTATCCTGTGGACCTCTGTGGTCATAGGATCATTCTCCCCTACACCTACGCCTAGGTACTATTTGGGAAGGAAGTGGGCATAATTCGCTCCATGTGGCATTTCTGCCTCAATGTAATTATTTTCCCAAACTACCTATGTTTCTTGTTGCTCATTGATTTCACATACTGAATTACTATCACTAGCAACAAAGGACCTATGTAGGCTTGCAAGCCAAAAGGCACAAGCCCCTTTCCTCCAAAATAGATGCAAGTGTACCTGTGTTCATTGATACAGTTATAAAGTAATACAAAAATTATGAGAGATGTATTGGAATTTAACCTTCTATATAACCTTGGACCCCAAGTGGCATATATTGACTCCCCTTTTACTGAATTTTAAAATGGTTTCTTCAAATTCAGACCTGGCGGAAGTAAACAAATTAGAGGCTGAAGGAAATTATGGCTCTGAGTAAGACTGTTCAGGAAAGAGCAGCACCTGGTATTTCTGCTGCATAGTCTCCACGTTGTCTGCCTTTGGCTGAATGGTCTGGAAAATTTTCTCTTTGTCATTTATCCAGGACTGAAATTCTTCACAGGAGCTGTAGAACTGGTAGAGTCGGATCCTTTCTTCCAGTTCCTTTTTTCTGTGCTGTGTAAAAGAATTAGACTTTGTTTGAGGAAGCACCAAAGTTTGGGACAAAGGAAGCATGCTACTGGTAAAAGTTTTCAAATATATCAAAAAACATGATTGATTTTTAAAAAGAAAATTTAGATGAGAAACAGGCACATGAACATTATGCTCAGTAGCAATTCAAAACTGAGACATCCCTCAAATCACCGGACCAAGTTTTCTGTATACATCTGGCTACTGGCTCTATGCAATTTTTGGTGCATGAATCCTAATAATTAATGGGCAACCCCAAACACTGTTAGCAAAAGGTAGTTATTCCATCTTTCCATTCTCCTCTGTGGTAAGAAAAAATGAATGAAATAGCAAAAAATGTGGGAAGATTACAAATGGAAGATAATGACACTCAGGCTCTGCTGCAAAGTTTTGTAAATGAAGCAGGGCTATTGAACAACAAAGCATCGTTTGGAAGCTCTCAGGGACAGTGTTCGATTGGATAGTTTAAAATCTCAGATCCAAGGTCAGAGGCTGTGCTCTAACTGGGAACTGGAGCTCCAGCTGCTTTCGCCTCCCTGCCAGTGTGGACAGAACTGTTTTGGCTGCTGTCCGTGGTCTGGGGAGTAGCTTTGGAGAGGTGGAGATGAGGGTGTTTTAAAGGGCAGGGGGAGGAGGAGACTGGAGGGGCCAGGATATGAGTTAGCTCAGACCCTCTCCGGCTTCTTCCCCTCTCCCTCTGAAATGCTCCAGCTAGGTGAGCAAATAGGCCTGTCTAGCAGAAAATGCAGGGCAGGAGGATGGGGAAGGGGGAGGGTCACCTCTGCCACTTCTTGCACTCACAGTCAGATGTCTGTAACCCTCTTGAGTTCAGGTGTCTGCACAGCATCGCCATAGGGCTGCACCCTTAACCTTTTAAAGATGGTACTAATATATTCCAAAAGATTTCATACACTTCAGATTAATTTGTTTTTTCATGAGAAATGTGAAAAATGCCTTAAATTATAACCACTTAAGTATAACATTCCAAAGGATCTTCCTTCACTCATCATAATCCATAAGTTCAACCAAGGCCATTCTTGGTAGTAGCATTAGAACAGTCTTTCACAGTCTGATGCCTTCCAGATGTGTTGGACTACAACTTCCAGCATCCTCCAGAGAGCACAGTTGTTGAGGATGCTGGGAGTTGTAGTCCAACACATCCTGAAGACACCGGAATGGAGCAGGCTGTCATAAAAACTATTTTTCTGTATCTCAGTCAGCATTTTTAAAGGTCAGCCTTTTCCATTTGAGTTAGCTTTTTTTGCAGGTGCAGGAAACTACCAGGGTTGACAATGTTATTATCAGTCACATGTCTTACGTATATAATAGATTACCCACTATGAATTTTTGCAATAGGCATACTCATCACATTCAACTATATAAAAAGTCATTTTCAGCAATATGCCTCACTCTTAGTATCTTTGCAGAAGTTTTCATACCTGGACCCAGGCTACCAAAATCCAAATGCTGCAATGTGGTTCTGAGAAGTAGGTAATTGTTTAAATTCAGAAAAAGTAAAAATATAAGAGAGTATGAGGGGAAAAAATGATACCTCAGCCATGGTCAGCAGTTTATCATACAATAAGGCAATGTTATGTTGGCTTTTCCAGATGTTTTCTGTAAGAAAGTGTGGATCAGAGCCAAATGGGCTAGTGAATGTCATTTGGGCAGAGGCCTGCGACCTGGAATAACTTGCTGGTGCTCTGAATACTCCCTGATTTCTGCTGTTGTGTACATCCGGGTTTGCTGCAGGCACTGACACCATCTGCCAAGAGAAAGCCACAAAAGTGAAGTCTGAGTTGCTGAGGCTTGCAGTGTTCACAAGCTCGAAATCAAGCTTGTAATTCTATACCCACCTACCTGGGAGTAGGCCCAATTGACCTTAGTGGGGCCTACTTATGAGTAGAGAGGTAGCAACAGATAATGCTGCTATGGGTGTAGGCAGAGGCCCTTTAGCACCACAAAGCAGATGCATCACACAACAATTCTGCCTTTTTTCAGTAACAGATTTTCTGCAGTAAATAAAAGGATGGAAGAAGCACCAGGAAAACACAAGGGGGCATGAGTAGAACGTGATAACCTTAGACAAGTTCTGTGAAGAAGGCTCAGCAATGCATAGCAAAAACCTTGTCTGGAAGCTCCCTTCAGGCATAATTCTACACACATGGAGACAATTTTGTAGCCTAAAAGCCTACAAATCCCAGCATGCCCCTGCCACAAAATATGACTATACTGATTGTGCTGATAAGAATTTACTGTATTTCATAGAAGGACTACTCATTTCTGTATGCTGACTAAGTATACAGTGGTTAGCACTGTATGCTATAAATTAGTTGTAGGAGCAAAAATGTGTCCTTGAAACTGGGGCAAAAATTGCTTGTCACAAGTGGCTTGATAATTCTTGGAAAGAGAAAATCAATCACCTCAGAAGAAGGTGGGCCTTTCACAGTCATGCTGCTGAAGCAAGCTGCAGGCCCAGCCATGTTACAGAGAGGCCTCTGGAGTTCACAAGCAGGAAGCTTGACTGAGTCCAAGGAGTCAAGGTGTATACGCATGTGTTAAGATAAACGACAAAGACCTTTGCTAGGTGGGATGTTATAACATCAGGATTTCAATATGGGTGACCAAAGAGTGCCTGGGAGAATGGAATGCTTCCCAAAATGGGCAATTTAAGCTCTACCACCCATGCCTGCCAATTAGGTAACTAGAAAATCCTAATGCAAATGCTTTTGTTGAATGAGAGAAATAGAACTTTAATTTTACTAAGAAAGATGCTAGCCACTATTATCTATTATGCTTCTTACTTTTATTTTTATTACTATTATATACTGGATTTATATCCCACTATTTTTTTAATTAACTCAAAGCAGCTTACATCACTCTCCCCCTCCTGCTCTCAATCTTATCCTCACAACAACAACCCTGTGAGGTAGGTTGGGCTGAGAGTCTGTGATTGGCTCAAAGTCACCCAGTTGGCTCCATGGCTAAGCGGGGACTAGAAACCGAGTCTCAGTCCTGCACTCTTAACCAATACACCTAAGTATTGTATTGTATTGTATTGTATTGTATTACACTGTATATAGTAATGTGTTTTATTTATTCTGTAATTGCAAATTTTTGTTATTCCCTAACACCATTTGATCTATAAATCTATACTTGGTGAAACCACATTGGCTTGGGGGGTGTTTCATGGACCACAACCCATATAAATTACACTCAGCTGGGATTCACTCACTTGTAACCAAATGGGGTTACAAGGGGAAAGAAACAAGCCAGTCAGATGGTGTGGGAATCGCTCTCCCACTCCCATAGCATGAGGTTCAGGCATGCTGGGAGCTGTAGGTGTTTTTTGGTCTAAACATGTGCCAGATGCACCCGTTGACCCTGATAGGCATCACAGACAAAGCTGAATCTAGGAGAACAAGCTCTGCAAAGCAGAAATAATAAGGGTAGCAGAGAAATATAACTTAACACAAAGGCAAAGATAGCACAGGGACTACTTACCACTGAGGCCGCCTTCTGCAACACAGAATGAGCCTGCTCTTCCAAGTGGCCTATTTCTGAAGCACATGCTGCAAGCTCCTTTTCCAAGCGGAAGTGGCGATGCAACAAGGCTTCTGCACTGGATTCGTCCTTTCCATAATCCTCGCTGGCCAGGAGGGTTTGCCGTTCTTGCAGCCAGGACTCTACCTCATCAATATCAGCAAAGTACTGATGGGAAAAAAGGGGTGATGGGGTTATCATAACTGCCTGTGATGTACTGGCCACATTCCATCAGAGAAGAAACCAGTCCAAAGGACAAGAACAGTTTCCTCAGAATCAAAGAAAGGAAACCCTCTGTTAGGGTGAGTGTTCTCTTAGGACAACAGCTTAAAGAAGTTGACAGACAACTTTCAGTCTTAATATATTCTTATCTAAGGTTTGTGCTGACCTGTCTGGACAGAACTACTGACCAAATTACCTGTTTGACAAGAGCAGCTGCCTCCAAATGGATTTTATGACTGGTCACTTCATCTTGGAGCTGTTGCCATAATTGCTGAATATGGTCCGTCTTCTCCTGAATATCCTTCTGGTGTGAAGGGTTTTTCCGACTTAACTGCCGGCCCTTGGAGATGATCTTAGAACAAATTATTTGGTGGGAGTTGCATTCAGTTTGTAGAGCCTGCCAGACAGAGGTCAGTCAATGATTACTGGACACTTCCATGAAGCCAAACCCAGCAGTACTAAAAGGAATTTTCTTTTTCCTTCTTTCATCCACCTTAATATTTCATTACTAATAACTACGAGGAACCCCATTACCCACTGTTCCATTAACCACCATCACGTGGTCTTCTCTGAAAGTTGCCCAAATAATCACACAGTGATATTGCACCAACCTTATGGCTTTGGAGAGAGGCTGCAATGCGACTGAGATCACGCCCTAAGGTTTCTGCCTTCACCAGCTTCCATTTATCAGACAGCCAGACCTCCTCCTCTTTGCATTCATGGAAAAACTCAAAAAGTTGCAAAGTGCCTTCCAGTTGATCTTGCCTAATATAAAGGAATAATTAGTGCATTTTGTAACATTCATAAATAAAGACCATTCCATGTTTTTCTAGTACTGTAGTTCTAATAATATATCAGGAACTGGAGACTTTTGAATTCAGGATTTATTTATTTATAGACATATTTATAGGCTGCCTATAACTGCTGAGGCCTTCTTGGGTAGCTTACAATGCTCAGGACTCAAGCAGTATAAGCTACAGTTGCTTAAGCACTCAAGAAAGAATGTGATAGGAGTCATTCTAAATATTTCCTCATACTAAAGTTATTTTGATAAAACCATACTTTGCTTTGAACACTGCTGCATTTTCTTTGATCCATGAAACGTCTTGTGCATGTCAATTAATTTAGTGCTATAATCTCAACAAAATAAATAGATAAAATTACATAAGGTTTCAGTTCTACATAAAACAAAGATCTTTTCTAGTTTACCCTTGATGACTTTAACTCATGGTGCAATGCAGAGGAAGCAGAGAGTAAGTTACTTTACAACTTTTAGACTTGAAGGACATGCTTAATCCAGACAAAAAGCTCTTCAAATAAACTTTAGAGGCTAAAGTCTCTACAAGCTGGGTCTGCTATTATATCATGCTAACAGCTACCTAAAGACTTGTTCCTGACATCATCATTCTGATGGGACCTACATTTCTCATTCGTTGGCCCACAGTCAACATATTCATGAGACTCAGAAATATCCTCAATACACAAAATCATACACACAGTCATACCCATAAACTGCATTCATCCATAAGGCAAATGTCCGATACTTATTTTTAAAATTGTGTTAGACCAATCTACACTACCAAAGCTATTTCTGTGTAAAGCAGGCTGAGCTTTTCTCACATGTGTGACTTTGGTTCATGGGTCCAAGATGTGGTGTAGTGTCATGTAGTGGCTAACAGTGTGCAACTGGGACTCAGGTAGTCTGGTTTCTAGTCCCTGCTTACCATGGAGCCAACTGGGTGACTTTGGGTCAGTCACAGACTCTCAGCCCAACCTACCTCACAAGGCTGTTGTGATGGGGACAACAGAGAGCTGGCAGAGGAGAATGATGTAAGCTGCTCTGAGTTCATAAGAAAAAAGCAGGATAGAGCTCTAATAAATAAACAAATAAATGAGATGAAGCACTCTGGGAGTGATTTCTATGGTCACAATGACCCTTGCTCAAGCTACCACTCTCACAGAAATTGCTGCCAGGTAGCTGGAGAGGTGTTCACCAACAGGCCAAGTCACACATTATACATCCCATGTGCAATTGTATCCAAGTGTTCAGGGCAGATTTTTTAAAAATATTTTTGACTGTGAAAAAGCAGAATGACATTGCCTGGGTTCAGACAACACAATAATCAATATTCATGTGTTGATTTGGACTGAGTGTGAGTTGCCATTGAGTCATGGGTTGTTGCATAGCCATGTCAGCATGAGTGGGACACAAACAGCTGCTTCCTCATATATTCATCAAACACAATCCATATTTGTTCCCATGGCTAGACATTCCTGCTAGTCATGGGAACTATTACTGTGAAAGTCTGAAATAAGAACTTTCTACTCCTATGTTTTTAACCAAAAGAATTCACAAGCATCCTTGGAAAGACCTGCCATAAGAAGAAAAACGTTACCGTGTTTCACAGAGATCCATGACATTTCGATACAGCTGATGGAACATCCGATGTTTAGCTTGAACAACATCTGATTTGGCTGATTTGCCTCTTATGACCTCTTCTGCTTTGTCATCCATGGGCCTGATCCTCTCCCCAAGAGAAGAGATCTGGGAGGCAACCAATTTGTGCTTCTGCAATAAATCTACTGCTTCCAATAGCTGTTTACCACAATCCTGAGAACTCACCAGGTTCTGAAAATTGAAGGGAATAAAAATAAAGGGTATCTTTTTCAGCCAGTTGCTTCCACACAAGTGGCTGATGGCCATTTTTCTACAGTTCACATGTTACCACTCATTAAGCCAGTCATGCTGTCAAGACATGACGATTTTTATGTAAAGATACAGAACTTTTCAGCCTTCCAAACTTGGTATTATCAATTCCATCACCCTAACTGAGCAACTCAGTCCTTCACTGATACTATAACAATGTATCCATCAAAGTTTACCTGTAGAATACACAACACAAAATACCTGAAGTGCTTTAAGTTCCTCCATAATGGTATTGATGTCCCTTAACAGTGTCAGGACTTCTTGCATCTCTCCCAAGGAGCGTTTTTGTCTTTTGAGCTGGCTTAAAAGGTCTTGCCACTGCTGGGCAATGTCCTCTTGCCTGAGAACGAAGAGAACAAAGGGGAAAATTGGGCACCTCACAAAACTCTGAGCAGAACTACAAAGAATGTATAGCAGTCACTGTTATTATGTTATTCCATTCCCTCCTTCATTTTCACTCATGTATGGATGCTATTATTATGTATGCTTCCACATCATTGGTTATGACTGATAAAAGCATAGAGATTCACATCAAGCCAGTATGGCATCATGGTTAGGGGTCTGGACTCAGGAGACCACCGTTCTAGTCCTCATTTGTCCATGGATGACTTTGTGCAAGTCAAACACTACCAGCCTAACCTACCTCAAGAGGGTTGTTGTAAGGATAAGATGGAGAGGAGGAGGACTACCTAAGATGCCTTTGATTTCCTGCAGGAAATAAGATAGGATATAAATGTAATAAATAACCAAAATATGGAAGAAGATGAACTACCTCTACCTGGTTCCTTGCAATGTTCAGTTCTGTTTTCTGATGGCACATGAAGAGTCTGCATCAGTATTGCATTAACCAATTGGATGAGAATACTGTATTGGGATTTTTAAAGCCCACCATCAAGGAAAATGCCTAATCGTTCCTTTCAGATCTGCTCAGGGCATACTCTGCTTGGGTGAGTGGAAGCAGAAAATATGTCCCAAGGACTGCAGCTTGGTGGAAGTGCACCTGCTTTGCATGCAGAAAGCTTCAAGCAAAGTTCCTGGTGTCTTCAGGTAGGGCTGCATAAACCTCCACCTGAAATCCTGGGGAGCCACTGCCAATCAGTGCTGACAGGATTGGGCTGGATGGACCAGTGGTCTGAATGAGTACTGGGCAGCTTCTCAGGTTCCTGTGATTGGGAAGCATGATGAAACTCCATGTACTCAAAAGACATTTGGATCTGCATCTGCTGCCTTTGACGCAGATCTGCTGCATCTGCTGCCTTTGAATGTGCAGCCATTCATTTCTCCATGGTTGTGATTCATTTTCTCTATTTGTGGATTGTACAAACAGATAGCTATGTATAAAATCCAAATTCTTATCTGACTCTCTCTCTCTCTCTGCTCTGTTTAAAAAAAAAAGAAATTCTAAGTCTCTTAAACATTTCTGATCAACTAAAAAACATCTTAAAAAGAAATAAACGAAAGAAGGGGCCTAGGTGTGCAATAAGCAACCGTTGGGCATGATGGGGTAATCCACGGCAATTATTAATCTTTATCATTTGCTACTCTCTGAAAATGGAAGCCAAATTCACCCAAGCTAGTTAATGCTAATCAGACTATTTGTATATCATCCTTCTGCAAACTGGTGCCCTCCAGATGTGTTGGAAGTTGTAGGTCAACACATCTGGAAGGCAGCAGGTGGAGGGAGAAGCTCTCTGTGTCCATCTAATTCTGCCTAGAGCCATTTCCTCCCTCTCCCAGAAATTGCCCCATTAGGCAGCATCACTTCTTCACCCACTTCTTGCAAATCTGAAGCTTGCCATGGTAGTTCTCCTGCTCGATTTTTGATGCCATCTGAGACAGTGTTTTAAAGCGTTGATCTCGAGGAAGCATGTCTGCTTCAATGGCTTCCAGCCTCCTTGTGGCTGCCTCAAGTTGCTCCAGGCCATCTGGCTGCCAATCATCCTGTTTCTTCACAATTTCTCTCATGTCCTCCAAGTAGGCTACACGAATGGCTGCTTTCTTCAGAAATCTCTGGACTAGTTGTTCCACTCGCTCCAGTCTTAGCAGCTCCTGCTGTATCGCTTCTCCTCGACTGTGTTCTGCCTTCTCCAAAATGATCCATTCCCTTTCCAAATCTCTCAATGATCTTCCTTCAGGGGGCAAATAAGCACGCTGTTTGTTAGCTTGCTGCTTGGTTCTGATGTGGAAGAAGTGGGCTTCGATAATTCCCTTCTCTCGGTATTTGGGAGGCTTCTCCACCATGCGGAAGATCTTAAAGTTGCCCATGAGAAGCCGCATCTCCTCTAGGGAATTGGGAAAAAGACGATCATCCAGCTCCACTACTTTGAGCTTTATCCACTTCAAAAGCTCAGAGACCATTTGCTCATACTGAGCCTTCAAATCATCTGTCTCTTTCAGGAAAAACACAATCTGCAGAAAGAAAAAAGGACACATCCCCCTCAATGAAATGTTTGTCTTATTACTAAAGCCAGGTTTTTCATTCAAGATATTTTATAGCAAAACTACATGTCACACGATGGATCCATAATAAGATCTTGCACATACTTTTGTTGCCTAAAAGTAGCACCCCTCCCCTGCTCGCAGATTTGGATTAGAGCAACAGCAGAGGAGCTACTAGTGGTGAAGGAAAAACCATACAGGCACAACACAAAGTCGTGTAGATTTTGCCTTTGTGGCAAACAGCAGAGTGTCAGAGATGACACAGGCGACTGTATTTGCTCAGTGGCAATCTGAACTCTTGTTGTATTGTTGAGGTACTCCGAGAACCCAGGAGATGCTGTCTTTTTATAAAAGCAGTTAACTGTTCCCATTTATGTCACTACAACAAAAGTACTAAAGGCTGGTTGCATAATCACACTGGCTGGGTACAAAAGACTGTTTTACTTCTCATCTTATCTTGCATTTGCTCTGGATACATCATGAAGTACACTTGAAAGAAAGATACTGCCTTGATAAGTGCCAAGATGCGCCAGCGAAACAGTCATATCCACCCACCCTTTGCCATGATAGAACTTGGGTTAACGTAACCCAAACTGGCTTCTGTGCATGGCAAACTCTTCTCAATGGCCACTACTTTCCATTCCACTGTAAACCTACTTATTCCACAAAATATGTGGTGAGTGGGACAGACGGCCATGTGCTGGCTGGACATACTTGCATACTTGCTGAAACTTCCGGAGATCAGACTGTGATACAAAAAAGGTTAGCTTGTATAGGTTTCAATATAGAATCCTTCCTCTTCAAATTGTTTCACTGTGGATCTGATCTGAATATGGTAGCATAAGTAAATGGACAGTAGAGCTTATTAAAAGTAGATATATTTAATTTGAGCTCTTTTAAAGAAGCAGAGATTTTACAAAAGAAGGACAATGCTTCTTTAAAATTTAACATTTCAAAGCGTAAATAATTTTAATCTGGTTTTATTAATATTAATATTCTCCATCGCATTTTATCTTATGGTATTCTTTGATTGTATTTATTGTTTATTTATATTTATATTGTAAGCCATCCTGGGACAACTGGATTGTATAAGACGGGATAAAAATATGTTTTATAAATGAATGGATGGATGGATGGATGCTACCTAACTAGACAATACAATGGAAAGTCTGCTGACATTTCATTTCATTTTGAAAAAATAACAAAACATTAAGAGTGATGCTCTACCATTCAAATGCTGCATTATTACTTTTTCTTTTCTTAACATGATACACAAGGATACTCAACTTTCTCTATGGGTGCATGTCCATTTATTCCTAAAGGTCAACAATCTACAAATTTATGAAAGACACTTGGACTCAGACATTCCAACATAAAGTTGCAGTGCTACAAATCTGAGCATGGACTCTTAGGATGAACTCTGGTGTGCTTTTCAAGTGGCTGCATCCCATAACTGGCACTGCAAGACCTAATTAGAAAATCTAGCATGGGATTTGGTGCTGCTACCGGAGCAAGCCTTGATCCAGTTAGTCCACTTAACTATCAGCAATCAGCATGAAAAGCTGCCACTATAAACCCCATGGAAATGGTGACTTTCTTTCTCTCTCCCTTTTTTGCTTGCTATTTTTAGCTTCCGCTTCTTAAGCCTTACTTCAACCAGCTACATCCAAAATGTCAAAAGGCTACAGAGATCTCCGTCCTGGTAGTGTGGCAGCCCCCAGCTGGTTCTCTGAGCAGGCAGTGACTCCAGAAGGTGTGGAGACACAACACAGACCTTGTAGCTGCATGAGCTAATCTGCTTGCATCTGCTTTCAGATGGTACCCATGACAAGGACGGCAGGGTCTGAGGCAGGGGAAGAAGCACCAACCTTTAGAGCTGGAAAAGCGGCCTTTGGCCTGAAGGCTCCCTTCTGAACGTTCTGCCATCGCACCCAGTTCTCGCTGAAGGACCCTAGCAGGTGCATGGCCACTGGAGCGGCGGGGGAAGGGAGGCCGGCCTCTCCACATGGATTCCCTCTGCATTCCTGGTCACCCACTTCTTTCAGCGCTCAGTCTCCCTTGACACAAGGGAGGCTTCCCTACTGCAATCCTATTAGGGAACTCAGAGCTGCCTGTTGAGGGTGACTGAGGTCACCAGGAGATTATAACGTCTCCCTGTGTTTAAGTCTTCTGAGGCGGGGGGGGGGGGGGAGCGCTACAGGAAAGAAGACTGGGCAAGAATCACACAAAGGAATATTTTGAAATGGGAAGCACTGTAGGAAGCATCCTATGGGATATAGGACTGAGGGAGAATTTGTTTGGTTTGCATTAAATGTTAAGTTGCAACTTCTGAATCTGTACACAAACACTTAACTTTTGCTATTCCTATGTCTCTGAACATTTCAAAATGGTTTTCCAATCAAAAACTTGAACAAGTGTGCACATATTGGGGAAAATTATGTGCACAAATACATGCCTTGCTGACAATAACATGGAAAACGCATTGCACTGTACTTGCAAAATAATTGTAAAAATGCATATATTACCTATATGCATATATAATATATGCATTATATATATATATATATATGCGCATATATTTCTACACACAGAAAAGTGGGTAGAAATTTCCATGGAGGCTTTCAAAAGCAATTCACAAATCGATGCAGTAATGGAAATAAATGAATTTTAAACTGGAAAAACGAGAAACAAAGAACACAGTTCTGTGCCTGCTAGGCAGCACCAAAACAGCCAAAGGATTTTTTAGATGCCCAAGTCTGAGGTTGAAAAGGACCATGCTGGTTCTTCCTATCAGAGGATGGAAGAATGACCTTGGAGAAGCGCTTTAATGGGGAGTGGGGTGGAGAGGAGAGAGAGAGAAAACGTGAGGAACCCAACAGCACCTCTATTTCCTTCCCTCCTTTTCTGAAGCACTACATTTAAAACAGCCAAAATTGGCTCTTAAGCTCTCTGCAGACCAAGAGGAATTCTCCTGCAGTCCTGCTAGGTTGGGCTTTCCCATAGGAGAAAATGAAATAGACAGATTTGGCCATCCCTTTATTTAGCATTATTGCCATTATCCTAAATGGCCACCTCACTGCGAACATATTGTGCATGCCAGCAGCATCAGTGTATGCATCTTGCACCAGGGCTGTGAGAAGAAATGGACGAGCTACTCTTTTCCCACAATGGCTTTTTCTCACAAAGAAATTGAGGCTGCTCATCACTCTACACTCCTGCAGGCCTACTGGCTGCCCAAGAAAGGCTTGCCAACTGCTTCATCCTGCTGCAACAGTGCTAAGGTAGCTTCTGCCCCCCCCCACCCGACACCCCCAAGGGACCTGAAACACCACTTGACCTTTCTGTGGAGGCCTCTGAAGAAGGCACTGCACAGCCTCAAGCTCCCTATGATCCTCCCAGCACTGGGAAGGCAATGCACAGCTCCTTCTGCTTTCTGGACTGTTCTTGCTTGGCTAATACATGACCTCATGCTATGAAAAGCTACAACTCATACACAGAAGTGGATCCACAACTCATTCAGCTCATAGGAAGAATGCATTTAAGAAACACTGGAATCAGGGGACAATGTGTTCTGTAACAGCAGTATACTGACTTTAGTGAGCCTTTTCTGCCCTGTCTGGCCCGGCTTCAGCCTGGAAAAGTAATGGTAGTAGAATGACACATAGGTCATGATAGATCTCTCATCTGGCGATGGCACTGCTACATCCTCCGCATCCAACAGTTTTGCGATTCCCAGGTGCTCCTCTGCCACAGTGAAGGCATTGTTTAGGTTACTGATGGGTTGGTCATGCCTTAGGGAACTGTACTGGATGAGATCGGGCCTTGGGAGACAAATGAAAGGAAAAACACATGAAGAAGGGAGTTAAGCTTAGCAAATGCAATGGAGTGATCATCAAGACTTGCTCATACTAAAGTCCAGCCCTGCTGATGAACATATTGTAAAGAGCATTTTGGTACTCTCACAATTCATGGTTATTTAAATAAGGTTTACCCCACGCTACCCTTCTAATCAATAAACGCAAGACACATTCTACATAATGCACTCTACATTGGGCTGCCCTTGAAAACAGTCCAGAAGCTACAATTGGTGCAAAATAGAGCAGCTAAGGTTGCTGACTGGGACTGGTAGTACTAAACATATTACACCAGTCCTCTATGAATTACAATGGTTGCCCATTGAAGTTTGTGCCCACTTCAAGGTGCTTGTTTTGACGTATAAAGCCCTAAAGTTATGTTCACATGACTCCAGTCCTCCGTCAGCTTCACTGGCTTCCCACTGAAGTCCGGGCCCAATTCAAGGTGTTGGTGATGACCTATAAAGCCCTAAACGGCCTGGGTCCTGGTTACCTGAAGGAGCACTTATGTCCATATATGCCCGCCCGCCCCCTGAGATCGGGAGAGGCCCTTCTCCGGGAATCCTCCATGAAGGAAATTAGGAGGGTGGGTACTCGGAGGAGGGCTTTCTCTGCGGTGGCGCCCAATCTATGGAATGCGCTCCCCAGAGAGGTCCGCCTGGCACCGTCGTTATTTGTTTTTCAGCGCCAGGCGAAGACCTTTTTATTCAAACGTCATTTTAACTGTTAATAGTATTTGCTTATTTTATCTGGCCAGGGCGACTTATTTTATATTGTTATTTCTTGTATTTTAATTTTATGTTGTGAGTCGTCCCGAGGCTTCGGCGAATGGGGCAGCATAGAAATGTTTTAATAAATAAATAAATAAATAAATGGTTTAGAACCTGGATATCTGAAAGAAGGCCTCCATACATAAAAACCTACCTGGGCCCTGAGATCATCATCAGAGGTCCTGCTGTCTCTAAAGGAAGCAGGGAGAACGGCTACCCAAGGCAGGGCCTTCTTAGTTGTGGCACTCCATCTATGGAATCAACTTCCAGGGGTATTTGTCAAGTGCCATCTTTATACATATTCCGGTGCCAGACTAAGATGTTTTTATTCAAAGAGCATTTTAATGGTTGATGATTTTAATTGGAATTTAATTTTAAGTATATTTTAATGTAAATTTTAGTTGCTTAATTTGAGATAGTTCCAATCTATTGTTAAACTACTATTTGGTGCTCCTGCTATGTTGTCATGTTATTTATTACTGCTTTTCTCATTTTAATTGTTTAAACTTTATATGTTTAGGTTGTTTTATGCTGTTGGTTTTAATCATGTAAACCATCTAGAGAGCCAAGTGGCTATGTGATGGTATACAAAAGTGTTAAATACATAAATAATTCAATAAGACAGGCTCTGCCCACAGCTTATAAATGAAAGGACACAACACACAAGGAAAATGATATGAGGAAGTATGAGAAAACCAAGCAAATTCTGGCACTCATTCTTAAAATTACACAGTAGTTCTTATACTTGGTTGCAATGGAAGCAGTCTGAGAAAAGGTCAGTTCAAGTGGAGCAGGATCTCAGCTGATGGAGTGGTCCTGCTTCACATAACTCCTTGTACTGCAGCCCTAACAGAGTGGCTGGAATGCAAGCAGTAAGGGGGAATTTACACAGCTCCACCCTTTTGGTCTACAAACTAACATTCATATCTAAGTGCACATTAATCAAATCCCTTTATATTATTCCAATCTGTAGAAACTGAATTCTCTAGATGTGCAAGTGATTCACACGCCCATCTGAGCAAAGTCATGTGAATTGCTAATGGCCATCCATACTTGGCAATCCGCATTGCTAATGGCCATCCAGCTTCACCTGGAAATCTAGTAAGTGGTCCTAGAAACACCAGGGGGACACCTATAAACCTTGATAGCCATGCCTCCACAGGGAGCCCTAGGAACTGTGTTTATGTGTGTGACCACAAAATTCAGACAAATGGCTAAACATTTTTATGCCAAGGAGGTGTGTCCTTCATTAAGGAATATTAGGAACAAATAGATATTCATCAGCATTATATGTGTTAATCTTTCTTCTGTCAGTGGGTTGAGAGTTTCCAGTGGAGAAATCTCATTACTGCTACACAACTGCAATTTCCTGCTATGGAGAGGCATTGTGTGCATGCATGCATGTGTAAAATCTGTGCCTTGAAGTGGTTGCAGTCATACTTTGATCAGCACTTTCAAAAACCATATAACTTTTTCCTCCACTCTGTATATAAATTGCAGCTCAGGAACTTTGAAGGATACCTTGAAAGGATCCCATCCTGCTGTACAAAACTAGTGAATCCACACAGATGCTGGCCAGTAGTTTAATGTCAAATGACACACTATTTTCTTCAGCTAGATGTGAGATGATGTATTTTCCTCCTGGAATTGAGTACCTTTCCTTTCTCTCTACCTGGAACTGATAACTGCTCCTTGCTTGCTCCATTCTGCACCTTCTCCATTCTACAATACCTTTATACAATCACACTTTGAAAAGTTCCAGCTACTGCTGGAGGGTCTCCTACTTCTCCTTCACCTGTGAGCATGAATGAGTGCATTGAAGGCTAGTCCATCACTCCAGCTTTTGGAGAAGTCTTTCACATTGACATTGGAATAGCGGGCAGTCTTACACTGACACCACATTAGCAGGGCCTCATTAGCAGAGAGGGCATCAGCTCTGGATCCATACTCCTCCTAGAAATAAAAGAAGGGAAGGAAACTCATAGAATAGTAGAGTTGGAAGGGGACATGAAGGACAAATGATAAATGATAATTGAAATGATAAGAATGGAAAAATCTGTTATTTTAGTTTTAATACATTAAAAATCCATTAAAAGCCAAATGATAAAGAATGACATTCTCACTTATTAACCCAAGAAAAAGTGATGGTGCTGATATGACCAATTGCATTCCTAAGCATTTAAGCCTGGAATCCTATTGGGATGACTGCAAGGTCCCGATCCCAGAAGATTATGGGCTTCCACTGCAAAACAGGAGGAGTGGCACAGGTCATCCTTGCCTCTCCATTCCCCCACACTGTTTTTCTGCTAGGTGGACATTTTGCCCTTCTTGATGGACCATCTTTTTGGGGTGGGGAGTTGCTGGAGGACACCCCATATTTTCCAGCCCTCTGAAATACCCCCTGCTTTCCCAACCTTGGAGAGAGGCTGACATGGTTCTTTCTGCCCCAGCTGTGAAAGGCAGTAGAGCACTGATTCCCAGCTCTGAGTCAGAAGTACTGTCCTGGACCTTGGAGCTGGGCACCAGAAAAATTCCTGTGGCTTCTCAGACAATGTCTAGGCATCATAGGATCACTTCCTTTGAAACTGATAGAATATTTTAAAACTACAATTGCTAAATTTCAACCTCTCTTCAATGGGAGGGTGCTAATAGACTAACTGAAGGAGTTCTTAGATTGACTAATGTAGAAAACAGGATGCTGGACTTAATAGACCTTTGATCTAATCAAGCATGGCACGTTTGTTCTCACCTCTCAGAATGTCACCTGTTGAACAGCTTTTTGTGCTCTTACTTTTTGCCCCTGACTTCCTTCTTTGCTTATATTCTTTGGTCTGGCATGTTCCTCTAACTTGGAAACTGAAAAGATGAGTGTTGTCCATCTCTTATTGTAGATATCCTTATATTAATTGGTAGACAACACTTGCCTTGGATTTTAGACATTAGGGGTTGCATATGACAACATTTCCAGATTTGGAATCGTCACACAAGCTGATTGTGTGAACGAAGTTTTGCTCTAAGAGAAAATTCAGAAAGGAAATAAAATAGAGAACCTTATCTCTTCCATGTAATTTAACCTTTGCTAGCACGTGCTTTGCTTTTGCTTTTTGCAATGTTTGCTTACAAGTGCCAAGAGCTCTATTTGGGGGTGGGGGGTGGACCTCATTAAACTTACAAGGAGCTAGTTCAAAGACAATTTTATCTCTGAGTAAACTTCAGAGAATGTCCAAATCTGGATATATAGCCACAAGTCACCACTTTGATTTCAGGCTATTTTGAGAGCCAGCAACCAGATTTTCATTATCACAGAGGGAAAAATAAGGCATAGCAGTTTATTTCCTCTTTCTATGCATGTTGGTTGGGAACTGTGTAATTAGCATAATTACCTCTCCTCTGGTAGGTTATCTTGATGACTGCACTGGCTCAGGGTGGGTGGATACATATTTGGATAATACAACTCTCACATGGCAAGGGTAATTATGCTAATTAGGAGGCTCCTGATCAGCAAATGCAAGGTGGGAATATGGTTGATTTTCCCTCTGTGATCCTGCTAACCTAGCAACTCTCTTTCCTTAACTATTTAAATAAGAATTTTTCTGAACAGTGGTATTTTGGAATATTGAGAGTCAGCTTATTGTCAGATCCTCAGAATGAAGAATTTCTGTAATAGCAGGTGGAGCTAATTGATCATACTATGAAAGCAGAAAACTCAAACGCTTTTAAAGTACAAATTTACCTTATCAAGAGTGATGAATGCAATTTGAAATCTGAGGATGATTATCCATATTAACCCCAGGATGAGGATTTGGTCTCCATCTACGATGTTCTCAGGGCCAATTAAATTCACATGTATCTGCTGAATGTACAAGGGATATATTTCAAGAATTATACTAATTGTAGCATATTTGCAGAAACCACTAAGGCAATAAAGAATGGCCCAGTTTGCACAATTCAGGAATATCTGGTGGAGATGAGCCAAGATGTCTTCCCCAGCTTTGTAACTGCTTTCATATGTTATGAAATTGGGGGTAGATATCAGCACAAAAGGAGCAACATTTGCCGTGAACTTATTGGCAAGCGCTGCGATCAGCCTTTGAAGTCCAGTGGGAAGCACAGAACCTCACCCTGTTTCATGGCAATGCTGCATTACAATGTCATAGTGAAGTCTATCAGAGAGAGGATCCATGTTTCTAATCTGTACTCTGTGGAGGGGAAGAAAATGGCATGTACCAACTGCAGGGACTCTCAGGAGCACCACTGCTGCTTTCACCAGGATCATAAAACACAACAGCAGCAGTGGAAAGGTATACAAAGGGGGATTTCACAAACTCTTCCATCCCTTCTCTCCATTCCCTGGAAAAGCTATTACAGTAATTATTGGCATAGCCCCAGTGGATTGTGGGTACCACTGACCCTGCAATCAACTGCTCTTGGTTACTCTTCCATTTGGAGTTTGCTTGGGAAGGGGGAAGCTGGTGGAACACTGAGGTGCATTATCTCCCCCCCCCCCCCAACTTGTTCAATCTTTTGGAAGGTAAAACAAAAGTTAAACCAGTTGCTTTTGAGATGAGGCAGAAATTTCACACATTTGAAACAGGGGCTGAAGTGCTGTAAGCTTAAAATATATAGAGATCAGCTTTTGCTGCAATTTTGACTGGCTTCCAGCCCAGCCAAGCAGTTGTTCATGGATCTGTGCAAATAATAACTTGGGACTGTGACTGTTTAGACTTTGATCATTTATATGACTTCTGAAAGATTTTCCTTTCACTGGTATTGACACTCCCACCTTACAGTGCCCTGGAACTTGATGTGTTTATACCTTGCCCCATAATTTCTCACCTTGGATTTAAGGAACTGAATGGCTTTGCTGTTGTTTTCAAGAAAATGGACCCTCATTCTGCCTTTGTTTGGCTTGGGCAGCTGTTCAGCAGACAGCAGCTCTAGCAGGAGGAGGAGGTATATCCCATCTTTCAGTTCAGTGTAGAGATCTTCGATTTTAATGCTCATCTGCCAAATCACACATCCCAAAACAAAGCCAAAATGTCAAAACTATTGCCATTAACCAGTGCCACACCCTGAGAAGTACTCGTAGTGGCTAACTAGAGCGGCAACTGCCATGTGGCAGAGATGGAGGAAGTGCTCTTTTCTATTTAATATTATTAATGGGAACACACATTGTATTGATGTCCATGGAAGCAAACTGGTTAGTTTAGTAGCACACAGGAAGAGTAGCCCAGTGACACAGAGGGAAGGGTTCTGTGAAACACTCCACAGACATGGCCCGGCAGAACAGAACAGGAGGAACATAGAGAGCGAGGCATTAACAGTAGGCTTGGTATATAGATAAAAAATAACCCCTATCTGATTCCTAAGTACTTGCAAGCACCATTTGGAACATGGTGGGAGCTGTTTAGGAGTAGAACTCAGCTGAAGCAGTGTGGTGTGTTGTGTATAAAGCAAGGAAGAATTTGTACATCATGGTGCAAGACATGAACTCGCCAGCACCTCTGGATGTCACTGCAACTGATCTAGCCCAGATACTTTGGATACTACCAACAGAGAGTCAAAACGACATGGTGACCTCAAAGAGCAAGTCTTGAGAAGGAAGGAATCAAAGGTGGTCACAGAACAGTCACTGACCTGTGGCAGCTGTAGAGCAGAAGGAAGGAAGGCAACTTCAGGAGGCAAGGATGATATTCCAGTATTTAGGCCTCAGACTGGAGAAACCTGAGAGTCTTCTGCCCAGGTTAATAAGGAAGGAGTTCTAAGGCCCCCAAGACAATGTCTATAGGATAGTTCAATTTCACTCATCCTGGCTTTGTTAGGCCTGGGTTGGAAACAATCGTCCGAGCTCAGAGGCAATGCTTAGGCCTCAAAGCTGGGAACTGGAGAACTGCTCTGCCTCCCCATTGCAGCTGGTATGGAAAGAACTGGGCCTGTCACCCTCAGAGAGGGGACAAGACTGAAGAGGCTAGGATACTGTTATTCAGCCTCTCTAGCCTCCTTCCTTCCCCCTCTAAACTGCCCCAGCCAGATGGCCAAAAAATTTCACCTAGCAAAAAATGTAGGGCACAAGAACAGGGAGGGGAAGATCTCCTCTGATGCTTTTCTTGCTCTGCACAGATGACCATAAATCAGGGTGCTTGCAGGCATTAAGGACACAATCCATGGGAATGCAACCTCGTCTCAACCCTCTTTATATGTCACAGGTGCCAAGGATGGGCTTCCTAAATTGCATGATGCTGCTTGCTTTGGGCAGCAGAAGTCCTGATTAATCCTGATGAGGAAAAGACATACACTGTGTTTGTTGAAAACATTGTTGATCCAGTTGGTGAATGTTTTCTGCTGCATGGTCATACGCTGTCCTTGCAGCTTCCTGAATTGGCCTTGTATGTATCCTTCCTCCATGGTTACCTTTAAACAAAAACAAAAAACCAGGAATATTCCAGCACGAATCCTTTAAAGTTCATCATGAAATATCCATCCCAACTTTCTGCCAATCTTGTGTATGTTCTTGAAATCAAGGGCAGCCCATCACTTTACACTTAAAAGCCCATGCTCTTGGTTTTTCCTTCTTTCCAAACAGAACAAGTTTATTCCCATATTTTGGAATGCTTTTCTTGCTAATAGGAAGAGGAATGATAATATTAAATTTAAGATATTTTAAAAAGTAGATTTTATTTTTTTATATCCAACTTTTTACCAAAGAATGGAACTCAAGGTAGCCAATGACAGTGAACTGAAGCAAAAACTGAGAAAAACAGCATGAAAATAAATAAATTAAAAACACAAAACATGACAAGATCACTGTACATAACTAGATTAAATGTTAATACAATAATTAACTAAAGCAGAATAGCCATGAAAGAGCCATACATAAATAGCTAGTTTTCAACATTTCAACATAAAACAAGTTATAGTAAGAGGAAAAATCCTTATTCTTTCACTGAATGACAACAACAAACATTGAATGACAAACAAGAATGACAACAAAAAGTTTTGTTAAAGGGTTACATTAAAAAGAAGATAACTGTTTTTAAAAAGGCTTGTCAGCAAGAAAGTTTCCTGGGATCACTAGGATCATTGGAGGGCATTCTTTCAGTAGACTCTAGTCAGGCCAAATGTACTACCAGGAGAATGTCTTCCAATGATCCTAGAGACTGGTCAAGTTGGTAAGAGGGAAGGTGCCCTTTCAGGTATCTTAGCCCCAAGTTGTTCAGGCCTTTGTACATTAGTGGTGGAACATTCAACCTGACCCAGTAATAAATTGGGCAGCCGGCGCATCCCCTTCAACAGAGGAACCGCATGCTGAAAGCGGGCAGTTCCCAACAACACGGGCATCTAGGGTGCACTTTTCTGTTCAGACATGACATGGGATCTCAGCACCAGTGCAAGGATCATGTGATCCAAGCCCTGAACTTAAAAATTAACTCATCCAGAAAACTTTCAAACAAGTCCACTTTACTTCATCCCTCAAGAAAAACTAGGGGATGGGGTTCTCCCAGGCACCTGCCCATTTTATGAGGTCCTGCACTGGCATTTCTGAAGATATCCAATCTCTTAAGGATCAATTCTCTGCAAGTTTAGACAGAAAAAAATCCTTTCCCTTGGGGCTGTTAGCTTCTAAACCTTTCATTTGTTTAGCAAAATGGTTGTCCCTGTTTAGTCAACGAAACTGTGAAGAACTTGAAAGAAAAACATGAAGAAAAATCATGTTCTCCATTACTGAAGCAGACCCATTTCCTTGCCTGTACAGCCCTACGCAATAGGATTCCACTCCTTTCCAGAAACTCCCTTTTCTCAGTTATCACAACAGGGATACCATTTAGCATTGAAATGTGTTTTTTACCTTCAGCAGCACTAAGAAAACCCACAGCCCTGCCCTAACCTGTATACAGAAAGCAAAGGAAACCTGTGTGAAGTCTGAACTTACCCAGCCTTGCAAAGATGTGAGTGGTAAATTCAAAAGGCACCTGTTTGATGAAATAGAGAAAATATTTCTGATCCAAAGCTATTGCTTTATCCATACATTCAGTGTGACCTTTGGATGCTATGAAAGCAGTTATTTGTAATCTATGTGAAAATGATGTGTCTCACCAGGAAGAGAACAGGTAATTTACATACCGGGGGTAAAGGTTCTTGGTAATGCTAAATGACATATTTGCAGCCATTCGAAGGCTTAGAAAATGTATCAGAATGGAAATTTGAGTTCCTGAGCTGGCAGATGCCATGATAAAGAAAATATGTAACTCCCACACAGGGCCAATGTCTAGCTACCATGAGACTTATCCTGTGAGTTAGTAATTTGCAGTCATTGAAATTGGATGAATCTAATATAAAAATAAGTATTATGGAAATGAGAAAGGCATTGTTTAATAATTGAATTCATAGCATTATGCCATGGCTAGAAATGAACTGCCCAATAGCATTCCAATTAACTTGGCTCCTTAGGTTGTTAGAGCTAAGACACATGGAAAGCAGACCTAGCCAGGGAGCTTGGGCTGGGCTTGCCAGTCCTGGCACAATCCTTCCTCTGTTGCAGCCTTCACTTCAGTGCTCACCTTGGTGGTACGTGCAGGTAGAGGGGGCTGAGACAGGCAAGTCATAAATCATGGACTGGCAGAAGTGTCCTGTAAGAGCCTAATAATTCTGCCATTTGATTCTTTTGCCCGTCAACATGATTTCTCATATTAAGTGCTGGCGTGCGTTCAGCTAGTAATTTTTGTTCAGTGGTTTTATGAATGAATTTTATATTGAAATGAAGTCAAAGCTACAGGCAACAAAAAGGAAGCACACACACACATCATCTTTAGCAAAGGTGGTGCCAGCAGCAGGGGGGACTTCTCATTGCCGTGCTTTGATGAACAGGCTATCTTGCCCTCTTTAGCTCATATTTGTCCATCATTTACAAAAGGGAACCTGAGGGTGAGCATGAGGGTCACTTTGTACATGTTTTGTGCTCACTGACTGGCTTTTAAAAGATTTCACACTTGGAGATGCAATGCTGGGTTTGATAATCTAACATATTTTCTCTGTCTAGATCTGTGAATGGGACCCAACATAGCAAAGATTCTGTACTTTGCTGAAGGATTAACCTGTTTAATTATTTTTCTTCAAATTAAAATAAAAAGGGGGCTTTAAAAAGAAGCTTATTAGAGCAATTTGCCTAAGCTGAGACCACTCCAGGATTGGGCGTAAAAACACATCATGGGTCACAAGCCATGGTGGCTTGTCAAACCATGTGAACTTGGATTGATTCCCACAGGGTGGCTTGTTCAGGGGTATCAAGCTGCCTCTAACTTGTCATTGAGATTTTTGGACCCACAATGGCATTCAGACCCCGTTATGGGAAGCTGGAAGTGAAGGGCTTGGCAAGAGTTTCAAAAATCCCTTGAGCTCTTGCCGAGATATCCGAGGCCAGTGCTGACCTGTCTTGATTGTGAGACTCTTTGCACTTTTCCCAACATCCCCTCCCCTTTTCCTGTTTTTTGGCAGTGAGTGTAAATGGTCAAGTGAGCATTGGAGGGGCTGCCACTGTTTTGCTGAGCCCCATTTAAGTGTCCCCAAAGTGCATGGTTCTTTTTTTAAACTCACCTGTGCAAGGGTGCATTTGTCCACTTCTACAGATCCAAAATGGATTGTTTTCCCTGGGTAGTATCTTCAGGGCTATCTGCTGTCAAAGTGTATGAAGCATCACTCCTGGAAATTGGCTCAGAAATGCTAGCAAGAACGTTTAATTTTTACTTTGGTTTCTGTTCCTACCTGTCAGCAGGCTGTCAAGAAAAACCAAAGCTGTGAGAGATCTTTACTCACAAAAAAGGGAGTTTTGAGTACATCATCCTTTTGGTATCAAGATCTGCAAGATATCCTTCTCCTCCTTTTCTCCTCCTTTTAGGTTTCTCTTACTTTTCCACCCTTTCCCGACACTCTATGTGCTCTGGATGGTGGAAAATTGTGAGCTGCTCTCTTTCATGAAAGCATGAAGGTTTGACAGCTAGCTGTCAAAATTCCAGTTGTCTTTAAAGAAGGGGGGTTGTTTTGGGTTAGGGTTGTAAAGACACCCAATTTCCCTAAGAGCTGAACACAGCAGTACTCATACCTTAAAGTTACCTTTAAAAAAACTCAGTAACTCCTGATTGTAAACCTTGTGCAAGATACTTGCATACTGGAAGAAAATCCAACTTCCCATTTATGGAAGTGATGTCATTGGAGTGCCCTTTGTACCCTGACCTGCAATAAGGGATCTCTTCATAGTTCCATAATAAAAAAATAGCAATCGTGATTCACTACTGTCAGCAAAATCCTTGGCTCTTATATTGCCCTTCACTGAGTAAAACTTGATTTACATTGTAAAACAACTTGCTACAGTTTCTATGATACTTGGGATGTAGTCATTTCCTATATGGCTTAGTATGTGAAACAAATGTTTTGGTGGCTCTTATCTTCTGCTATAATAGACATTATTGCCTTTATTGTCTTGGTAGTTTTTTCAAAAATGGACAGAAAGTGACAGCCTCTGCAGATGCTACCATTCAAGACATAATTTCATTTGATCTTGTAAGTAGACACAAGGCCCGAGTAAAGATAGTGTAAAATAGTGAAACTTCTTTGTAGGCTTGGTTTGGAATCTGGGAAACCCTGGGGATTTCTTGGACACTTAGCGGAGGCTCAAAACTGAAAGATTAAGGGTGAATAAACCACCATGGAAGAACAGCTTGCCTACCACCACTTATCTTCCCCTGCAACATACAACCGCCCCCTTGTGGCATACAGGCATGTTCTCAGTTCACACAGAACAAACAAGGCTGAGAGTTTGCACATCAGTATGTCTTCCATATCTTGTGCAACTGGAAAGTGACAGATCTGTATATGTTCAGGTGGGAATGTGGACAGTACCATCTAAGATGTTGTGGTTTTGAATGTTCTTCCATATTAAAAAAATAAAGGATGGGGAAGCTTGGTCTTTAAAAAACCCCAAAACATTCACTTCAGTGTTGTCTTGAGGCAAGCGAGACTGCAGATACCAGAAGTGCCCTAAAATCTGCAATAACTGTGAAGGGAGGTGCTAGTGGTATATTATGGGCAATGATGTATCCAGACCACATTCGCCTATCTCCTGCCAAGCAATAGCATCAATCATCTTCATTCCTTCCCTTGCTCAGGATTCTTTTTCTGACAGGGGAGTTCCTATCTTCTCCTCAACCTATCCCAAGTATCTCAGAGCTGAAGCAAAATTTAAGTATGGGTCAAGCTTAATCCAATGTTTTAAAAGCATAAATCTGAAAGGTAGTAATGTCTGTTTGCCAAGTTTAATAATAAACCTGTATCAGCTCTTTTGGAGTTTGTATACAGGCCCTATATTATAGAACGCCTCACTTCCGCAGTATTTCCTTTTGAACACCAGGAGGCAGCACTCCAAAGGAATATATAAATAAAATAAACCAACTATGAATATGCATTCTAACTTTATTGAACAGCATTCTTTTCCTAACACCATTACATACATGATTAAAAAGCAAATACAAAAATATATTACAGAATCTGTAATGTTTTGTGCAGATAATCAAAGTGCAACATTAACGAATTTAAACCCTGGGGTAGATAGGGGAACTTATATATAACCCAATAGTTATTCAGGCTTTAACAAATATATGAAATATTATCTCACAATCACATCTGAAATATGTAACAGTGATGCAAGTTACGCTCACTCATGGTGTAAGGTTTTTTTTTAAATGCCCTAAAGAAGTAACAGTAATGGAATTGAATCCAAGCCTAAAACATTATGAATAAATAGGGAATATCGCATTCCTGAAGACATTTTGAACTATATTAGACAACAAAAAGAACACACTAAAAAAACACACTTACAAACGTTGGATGGTATAGAAAATGACAATTTATCTTCAGTGAGATAAAGTGAGAAAGTTTGGGCATAAGAAGAGGGAAAGAGAATTCCTTTTTCACGAACTAGATTTAGCAGCTTTGCCACATACTTCCTACATGGTGCTAGGCTGGAAGCTGGACATTTCTAATTCAGCACTGAGACTGATGTTGTAGAACTACCATGACACATGCCTTCCGCAAAGCCAGATTTGCAGAATAGATTTAGGGCACAATTCTATGCATGTTTAGATAGGCATACAACCTCATCGCTGACTGGGACATACAGGAAGTTGGTAGGCCACTTTTCTGACTTAACGTTCCTAAGACTGAATCTTTAACTTCAGCATTTTGGAGACGCCCTCAGAAAGATGCAGGCTCTGCTTGTACACAAAGGCTGCACTGTGCCCCCACACATTTCTGAGGGTTGGGAAACCCTCACTGTGGTTCTGGAGGCCACACCTGCCTAGGATTTCATGACATTTGGACACAAATACCTTTTGTGAAAACAACAGCATTTTCTACTGTACTATGGCATCTTTAAGAGTGTCACAGCAAAATTCAGAACACTGTTGAAGGGCTCCATAATGACCATGATGTGCAACCCTATTTACCAAGTCCTGAAAACCAAGTTTGGACTGCTTTACATTGCTGTACAGGAATTGCTGTGTTTCCCTCAGTAAAGGTGCACGCCTGATATAAATACTGAGTGATGTGTGACATGGTAATTCACACAAAATGCCAGAAGCATGGGGGAAAGAGGAAACAAATCTCCTGCGCATCTTATCCACCATATGCTTGCTCAAACCTCCCTAAGAATCTTTTTTATTTTAAACCAAACATGGCCACTGAAATTCAGCCAGCAGTTGAAATGTGATTTTCCCTTGGATACCTTTTGCTTTAAAGATAAAGTGTGCTGTCATTCCTACACCACTGAATTTTGGTGGTGGAAGTTGTCCACTACTTTCAGCCCTCAGCTGCTGCAATACTGGAGTCCACTGAAGAAAATAAAACTGATTTCCTCCTTGGTGTATCTAAACATGTGCAGGATTACACCCTAACAAATTTAAACATGGTATACGTGGCACATTATGATGTTTCTAATAAGTGGAGAAAGAAGCCAAAGCAAATGAAACTTCAGAAATCGCTGAACAATAAGAAATGACAGGAAATTTATTTTATTTTGGAAACAACACTATTAACCACTTCACCACACTGGCTCTCACTGGGTTCACAGTGGGTCCACTGCTTTTTTTGTCTGACCCACAGAGAGTGATCTTGGTGAGGGAGAGAAGGAATGGCTCAGAGACTCCCCAAAGTTACAATCCTAAACAAAAAAATGTCAATTTCTTTGAAAATATTGAACCTTGGAAAGAAAAAATCATATAAATTAAGTTACCCTATACTATTTATCCAGAGTGATCTGTGGGGTAAAGAACATGAACAAATTTAGTTAACAGAAGTCAGGTTAAGACTGTAAATTCATCAGACTGATTTTTCAGTGAATTAGTTCAAGAAGAGATGCATTAAGATGATCACATATGTCCCGATTTCTCAGCTACACACATGGGCTGGTTAAACTGCTAAAATAAAGACCTGAGAGTGGAGCACAAACTGGAAATGTGGCACAATTTGGGTACAGCACAACCCAAGCACCTCCACATAAAAGGTGTGAATTTACTGGGATTGGAAAGATGTACCTTCTCTAATTTGGTGTTGCCTAGATGTTTTTGTCTGCAATTCTCAGTGTTCCTGAATAACGGCCATGCTGGCTGGAGTGGATGGAAACGGAGCACCAAAATATTTGAAAGGCGCCGCATTGGGAAAGGCTGCATCAGACCCAGGAGTGCCTCTGCTAGCCAGAGTAGAAGCTACTGAGATAGAGGAATACTCTGACTCTGTTTAAGGCAGCTTCATATGAGGAGAGAGGTTCCTGGGAAAAACTGGTTGGTGAAAAGATCTGAACCTACAAGTGAAGAAAGAAGCAAGCAGCCAAAAGAACAGCACCCTGACAATGGAGCAAGTGTAACTGACTCAGTGAAGCTCTCACAGACTTTCAGCTGGGTTACAAATTCACAGTACTGGACACATGGAGCAAACATTCCCAGTGTGAAGGTGCAATAGTCAACCCATAAACAAAGAACTATACAACTATGAAGTGAAGGCTATGTGGTATTAGCTGAGTGTGAAGGCCTAGAAACAGTTTTTAATCAAAGTAGCATTTTCAGTTTAAGTCTGAAAACAATTATTTTTGCAAACAAGAGAAACCTTGTTTGCCACACATGTAAAACACATTTTTAAAAAATCAAATGTTAAGGGCTTCACAGCACTGTAACATATGACTAGCCAAAGGAATTCACTCCCACAAGATCTAGTGATGGCCACCATCTTAGACAGCTTTACAAAGGAAACAGACAAATATAGGTAACTCTGTCATGAGCTACTCAATGCCACGCAGAACCTTCTTGACCATGGATGGTATCAATAGATGGTACTATCAAGAAGATGTCCGGGTCCTTTTGTATAGATCCAAGCTATAGAAAGGCACCAATGAAGGCCTCTAAAGGAAGCATGGAAAACCAGTAAGATTTAAAAATGTCAAACATATAATTTTATTACAATAATAATTCACTGACTTTTATATTGAATTTCCTGTGCATGTGAAAGCTCCTTTTTTCCTTTTCTGAATGAATATCAAGTTAGTTTCTTTAAAACTAAAGTTATTTTAGTCCAAGGCACACTTTACATTTTTGATTAAACGAAGCTGCTTTAAAATCTATCCTTACAAGTCTTAAACAGAATTTCAAGTGTACAGATAGATTCTGGTAAATCACGAAGGTATTTCAAGTATCATTAGTGAAAAAAATCAGTGCCTTCTTTTAGAAGGTATTTTTAAAATGTGAGACTTCTATTTGAAGAACTAAGAGACTTTTGCACTGTATTATCCAAGTTTTCATTTTTGGGGCAGTTGAACTTATTTTATGTCTTTTGACCCTTTTGATTGTAAACACAGTGGTAGGAAAAGTTACTGAAAAGGCACTTGTAACAAATACTCTTTTTGTCAGGGTCTGGCAGATCTATTCAGAAAAGTCCATCCCCACACTACATGGTTGGTTTATGTAACTTGCATGGGCCGTTCAGGGCCTCTGTGAACATCAAAAAGGGTTTCCAGTAGGAGATCCTAACAACTGATATAATACATGCCACAGCTTATACAAGTAGCAATTTTACTGTGTATACATGTTGTGGGCTTACCCATGAATAGATAAGCACTCACTGGGAAGCTGTGGCTAATCACCACTCCCCAGGGGATGCACATCCATTGAAATGGATTCTGGCTGCTATCATATTTTTCACTTTTTTCCTATCCAAACATATTTTAATAGGAACAGTTTGATGTTCAAATTGGCCCTGAAAATGCTTGGCATTAACCACAGTGTCTATAAAAAACAACCTTAGAACAGAATACGTAACAAGATCCTACCCGGAACAATTTTTATTGCATTCATCATTCTGTTCCACGGAAAGATTTTCGGTGTGAAGGAGGTACCAGATGGATGGGCAAACTACTGGGGAGTTCGTATCCCTCCAATTTTATTTTGATGAGATGTTTTGCTAATGCAAATTCTTCTTCATCCAACATGCCATCATGATCACAGTCAGCAAGCTTCCAGATTTTGCCCAGGACACTGTTTGGCAGTTTGGAGTTCAACATTTCCTTCTTAGCATTGGCCCCAGAGATTCTACCATTGACAGGCGAGAGTGTGTAAAAGATTTCATCATATACAGGTTTGTCTTTGGAAACGACCCATTCCTCTTCATCAGCTCCTTCCTTGACACCTTCTCCATAGCCATGGTCGAAAGGTCCGGCTGTGGTGCCTTCAAACGCCCCACCCTGAACCTTCTGTGGAGGCATGCTGCGTTCCTCCTGGGTAACAAGTGTCATCAGGAAGGCAACTTTATGGGCCAGCATGTTATCTACAGCTTCAATCATCTTTGGTTTCAGAGAATGGAACTTGGTGAAGTCATAGTTCTCCAACTGTTCCTGTGAAGTGATAAAAGCACAAGAGCAACATAGATAAGCAAGAACACTCGATGGTGCCTACTCCTGGTATCTGCCAAAACTGAGAAGGATGACAGAAAAATGACTTGAGCATACTATTTCGAGCAATATTTCAACATAAAGGCTTTAAAGAAAATGTGGAACAAAGATGACAGAGTACTCACAAGAATGGCTTTGCACTGACAAATACTTATCAGACAGTGCTCAGCTATTTCCTGCCACAAGATGTGCTCTTTTAGGAGCTGAATGACAGACAGTTTGCGTCTAAGAAAGTCATCATACATGGATGATTCTGGGTAGTTTTGGCACAAGTGAAACTATCCTGCGAAACTGGCAGCTTGTCACAGCAGGCGTCTCAAATAATTTCCATTTTGTGCTAAAATGATGATCCCAAGAGGTATGTGTGCATGTGTGGTGTAGAGGGAGATTCATAAAGCATTCTCACCAGAACTGGGACAGCATGAAACAAATGCAACGTATGACAATTTCATCATCAAAGACCCTGTGTGTAATCAGCCCTAAACACCAGACAATACTTGTTAATGCAATTTTTGCAGAGGTTGGGGAGGGCTTTGTCTTACTTAAGGAATGACAATTTCAATACGAAACTGTCCATTTCCTATTTGTCTTCCCTCTTCTCCATTTCAGAGATGTGAATGGAGACATGAATCGAAACAGAGAAGTGACCAAGTCATGTGATAGTTTTGCTTCCTGTATAGCATTCACGGACAAACTCCATTATGATGCAATTTGGAGTTCCCTAAACATTTTTCTCCCACCGTATGCAAAAAATAGTGATGTGCAGGCTACAACCTGAAGTGAAAAGCTTGTACAAGGGTTCAGGTCCTTTTAATCATTTCCTCCCAAGTGGTTCTCCCCCTCCCACCACATCTCTTTTTCCCCTCCTGGTGGGATAAATCATACAGGTGATCCCTCTCCTACCTCAGGTTATGCTTTTTAGGAGGAAAAAGATTTACGAGCTCCCTTACTTCTGCTCCACAGGCCTTTCATTTCAGACTGCACAGTCTCTACAGCTATATTTCATGAAGGAATAAAAAGGGATTACTGGATGAAAATCCCCTCAAGACTCAGTACCGTTTGACACTCAAAAGGGCCTGTACCATCTGTGACAGCAGCTGTTTGTGAACAATTCCTGACTATCAGTAACAGAATAAACATGTGCTATCACATATGAGGCTATAATCAGTTTGAAAATAGCATTTTAAAATATTCTCCTGCATGCATAAACCTGAAGAGGAAAACTGAAAGGCCTGTGATATTTTTAATGAGTGGTCAGTCCAGTAATCTTCATTTTCTCCCCATCAGTCCTATGGGCTCATTCACAGCAGTGCTTCTGAATGGACTCCCCATTCCAATGATGAAGAAGCACTGAATTCCCTCACACTGTGCACATATTAAACAGCCATGGAGGTTTCAAGGGATCCTTCCAGTATGTCAACACTGCCTCTTCCAGGAGTGAGAATACAGCCCACCTAAGTACAGCCTAAATGCCGGAGATAAAAGCCTGCAGAGAACAAGCGGCAGGGTTAGAGGGTTAATTCTGAGAGAGTCCAGCACTTGCTAATGATGGTAAATGTGAAATTGAGTGAACCATTTGGAAGAAAGTATTGGGTATTTTCTCTTCTTTTCTTTGTGTTATGTGGCTATTTAGAGTACCAAACTAGGACTGTGGAGATTCTGGTTCAAATCGTGCTGAGCCATCAAGTTCACTGGGCAAACTTGGATCATTAACTCATAGCCTAATGTATCTCTCTGGATTGCTATGAGGACAAAAATCAGGGGGATATGAATAACCAAGTGAGCCACCTTGTAGTCCTGACAGGAATGGTGTGATGATGGTGCTGATATTAGGGTTATGATTATTGCTTAACCTTAGCCCACCATTCTTCCTCTGGTGAGGAGGCCAAGGCAACTTACAAAGCTCCATTTTATACTCACAACAACCACCTTGTGAAGTAAGTTGGGCTGTGAGTGAGTGAGTGAGTGGCCCAAAGTCACCCGGTGAGCTTCCTGAGATCTCCTGGGTCCTCAGTTCAGCACTTTATAATTTATTTATTTAGAAAATTTCTATGCCGCCCCATTCGCCGAAGCCTCAGGGCGGCTCACAACATAAATCAATTAAAATAATATAAATTAACAATATAAAATAAGTTAACAATATAAAATAAGTCACCCTGGCCAAACAATAAAATAAATAAATACTATTAACAGTTAAAATGACGTTTGAATAAAAAGGTCTTCGCCTGGCGCCGAAAAACAAATAACGATGGCGCCAGGCGGACCTCTCTGGGGAGCGCATTCCATAGATTGGGCGCCACCGCAGAGAAAGCCCTCCTCCGAGTACTCGCCCTCATAATTTCCTTCATGGAGGGTTCCCGGAGAAGGACCTCTCCCGATCTCAGGGGGCGGGCGGGCATATATGGACGTAAGCGCTCCTTCAGGTAACCAGGACCCAAGCCGTTTAGGGCTTTATAGGTCATCACCAACACCTTGAATTGGGCCCGGACTTCAATA